GCTCTCCTTAGATATGGAGCAAGTGCATGTGACAAAGCCCCCCTCCACCTGCCCCCCAAAACTACATGGCATCACCCAACCCTACTGATACTGCATGTGAACTGAGTGTCCCTGGAACCCAAGCTCTGTAGAGATCCTGGTGTTGCTGCTGCTGCTCTCACTGACTGCTGGGGTGTCCTCAGGACAATGGCAGAAGGTGCTGCACCACCCTTTTCTTCTCTCTTCAGCATTTGCTCCTCTGCAAGAAGCCTCAAATGCTCTGCATACAGCATCTGTCTCTCATGTTCTTGAACCTTGACCTTGTCCTCAAGCTCCTTCACTGCCTTCTCTTCTGCTTCAACCTTTGCCTCAAGCATGGCTTCCTCTGCAAGCCTCTGGTCCACCTTCTCTTTTTTCTCAAGCCTTGTCTTTTCAGCCTGAAGCCTGGCCTCTTCTTCAAGCTGCTTCACTCTCTTCTCCTCTGCCTCAACCTTTGCCTGTTCACCCTGAAGCCTGGCTTCCTCTGCAAGCCTCTGGTCTCCCTTCTCTTTCTGAAGCCTTGCCTTTTCAGCCTGAAGCCTGGCATCTTCTTCAAGCTGTTTCACTCTCCTCTCCTCTGCCTCAATCTTTGCCTGTTCTGCCTGAAGCCTGGCTTCCTCTGCAAGCCTCTGGTCTTCCTTCTCTTTCTGAAGCCTTGCCTTTTCAGCCTGAAGCCTGGCATCTTCTTCAAGCTGCTTCACTCTCCTCTCCTCTGCCTCAATCTTTGCCTGTTCTGCCTGAAGCCTGGCTTCCTCTGCAAGCCTCTGGTCTTCCTTCTCTTTCTGAAGCCTTGCCTTTTCAGCCTGAAGCCTGGCCTCTTCTTCAAGCTGCTTCACTCTCCTCTCCTCTGCCTCAACCTTTGCCTGTTCACCCTGAAGCCTGGCTTCCTCTGCAAGCCTCTGGTCTCCCTTCTCTTTCTGAAGCCTTGCCTTTTCAGCCTGAAGCCTGGCATCTTCTTCAAGCTGTTTCACTCTCCTCTCCTCTGCCTCAATCTTTGCCTGTTCTGCCTGAAGCCTGGCTTCCTCTGCAAGCCTCTGGTCTTCCTTCTCTTTCTGAAGCCTTGCCTTTTCAGCCTGAAGCCTGGCATCTTCTTCAAGCTGCTTCACTCTCCTCTCCTCTGCCTCAATCTTTGCCTGTTCTGCCTGAAGCCTGGCTTCCTCTGCAAGCCTCTGGTCTTCCTTCTCTTTCTGAAGCCTTGCCTTTTCAGCCTGAAGCCTGGCCTCTTCTTCAAGCTGCTTCACTCTCCTCTCCTCTGCCTCAATCTTTGCCTGTTCTGCAAGCCTCTTGTCTTTCTCCTCTTTCTCAAGCCTTGCTTTCTCTGTAAGCTCCTGTGCCCTCTTGTCTGCATCTGCCTGTGCTTTCAGTTTCTGTTCAAGTTCATGCCTTCTCCTTGCTAAATCCTGCCTTCTCAATTCTAACTGTGCATCCTCCTGCCTTTTCTGGAGGTCTGCCTGTGCCTTTTCCTTCATTGCCAAGAGTTCAGCTCTGGTTTTCTGAAGTTCAGCCTCTGTCAGTGTAGGTGCTGGTGGTGCTGCACTGTGCTCTGGTGTCTTTGCTAACCCTTTGGCCATCTCTGGGATGGTAGCTGCAAAACCAGCATAGTCCCTGAGCTTACCTTAGGTTGGTGAGAAGTGCTGCTTGGAATATATATTGTGATTGGCACATTGCAGGTTCACTACCCCATGTGCCAACCAAGTGGCACCCAAGAACCTTCTCCAATTGCAATTTCTGCCAATGGTCATCTTCCATGCCTTGGAGAGTGCAATCTTGTGGGAGTGGGTGGAAACCTACTGAGCAAACAAGTGCAATGTATGCCAAGTGGCTAGCACAGGACTTGACATACTCATGGACCCAGCTGGATGCCTGGTGGCAACTGGCATACTTTGCCTCAGCTACACAAATTAATGATGGCTGCAAGTGGTATTTGAGGGGTGGGCAAGGTTTCAAAAAATGAGAAAGCCAAGCTGCAATGACATTGTACCAATCATGCAAACCAGTTCCAGACCTGAAGATGAGCTCCAGCTTCCAACATTTCCTTGGCTGCCCAGAAAGTTAACCCCAAGCCTGTCCAGAAACAGGGTGAGCCAGGTTTCATGCACTCATGTTTGGTTGGCAGCCACAATTGAATGAACAAGAGTCTCTTCAGAGTGGGTGGTCTTAGGCAAGGCAATGTTGTAATAGCCCAACCTGCACACCACAGAAGCTCCACAGTTTGGTGGTGCTAGGACCATCTCTTCTGAGTCCTGGTTAGCCACAACCAAGCTGCCATCGCTCCTGGCACTGCAGGGAGCTGTGACCACACCAGGAAACAAACCTGACAGAAATTGGCATCAAGCATCTTCAAGCCCAAGCCTCTTCCAGTGTGTGAATGGTGGATTGCCATCTCTGCCCTTATCTGCTTTCTTTGGCTGAGTCTTCCTGGTGGGCACTGCATCTGGTGAGAAACCTAAACTGGAAAGTTGTGGTGTGAGCAGTTTGGGCTGCCCATGCATGTCCTCTTGCAGTGCAACTTCTCCCAGCCCAAGTTGGATGCAATGTCCCACAAGTTCTCAAAGTCATCCTTTGGGAGCAGCAAGTCCAACTACCACTGGGCCACTCGAAGTGATTCACTGCCAGTGGAAAAAAATCAACTGAACTATTGCCACTTGGAAAAATGCTTGGTTCAATGCCAATCATGCCAAGGCTCACCCAAGGCTGCCACCCTTGTGTTCTCACTCTTCTTCTCCATGAGGTTGCATTGATCCTGGCACACCTTTCTCCTCAGCTACCATCTGAGAAGGGCAGTTGCACTTGGTTTCTGAGTGTGTGTGCCACCAAACAATGAACCTGCATAAGTGCCATCCAAAAGTCAGATCTCCCCTGGTATTGACCCTGAGATCCTTCAAGCTCACCATTGGCCCAATGTTGGTGGCAACAAAGATCAGCAAATCTATCTGCCAGTCACTGAGCTGTGCCAGGGAACCTTGGGAATGACTGCACACTGCACAAAGGTTGGGAAAGAGGCACACTAAGCCACAACCACTGAGTCTTTAAGTGACACTAGTGCCAATAACAGCAAGCACATACCAATCACCAATGCCCAATGCAGGGTGAAGAGCATGCTGACAGCTTGGGGCTGCCAAGGCTTGTCAGGATCCTGACCTTCTCAGACCTGCTCACTGCATTCTTTTCCCCAGGGTTTGCATTCTCCTTCCCACTTGTGGCTGACCAGTCAAACCACATTCTGATCCAGGACCTGGGATGGGCAAGGCTGGAGCTGGCATGTGCAGTGCAGTACACTGAAAAAAAATGTCAAGGAGGGGCAAGGACTCAAGTTTTCAAACCCTGAGCCCAGGAATCTTGAATAGCAAGCCACAATGCATCACAGGCAAAACCCAACATTCAACCAAAATCAACCAAAGTACTTTTTGATGGGCTGTCGATCCAACTGCTCATCTGTCTTTCCCAGGCAGCTGCTGCTGGAGCCACTGCTACTGGAAGAGCTGGACACACTGCTGGCCCTTCTCTTTGACTTTGCCTTGCCTTTCTTCTTTACTTTCTTGACCTGCCTCTTCTCCTTCTTGTGTTTCTTACTCTTGTTGTCTTTCTTATCATCTTTCTTCCTGCAAACAAGGGGCCCAACTACCTAACAAACAATCTGTCAAGAATGAACCTGGTAACCTAGCCTGGCAATCAAAAATGGTCTGTCCTTTTTTTTTTGGGCCTTTCTTCTTCCTCATCTTCCAAGCTATACTCAGACTCCTCCTCATCCTCTTCATCCTCTGGGTTTGCACCTAAAGAAACATGAAAATGCAATCATGCCCTTGGAGGTGAGGTGAGGAGCATGTGACCACACTGCTTGCCCACAAAACAGGACCCTGAAATTAAGCCTTAAAATCCAAGGCACTAACTACAGATTCAGGAGCCCTGCTGCTCATGGCCCTGCCATCTGACGAGGGGTAGGTGATGGCCAAAGGAGGTGCTGCAAGCTGCCCAAGTGACACAGGCTGCTGCACCAAAGAGCCCAGCAGGTTCAAAAGGCCACTGGCATTGGCACTGGGGTTATGGATAAACCCAGGTGGCAAAGTGGATTTGCCAGGCACACCTTTTTTTTTTCTCGTCGGCATGCTTCCTTGATCCAAAATTGCCTTCTCATCCATCTAAAAAAGTAAGAACCTATGAAAATCCCATCAAGAACCTACACATGTGCAAAAAGATTTTTTTAGATTCCTTTGGGGTTTATATTGGTTTTTCCCAGCTGAAAATTTCAGCAAGAAGGCCCTCAACAAGGGAGCCCCTTAAACCACCCTAAGATGCTTTGGGGGCCAGGCTCATTGTTAACAAGTAGAGATGTCTGAAAGTACCATCAAAAATAGCGAAACTTTTTGCACTGTCGCCTGCTGCAACCCAAAAATGTGACGACGCGGATTCCTGGAATTTGCGATGACATGCTGATGATGATGATGATGATGATGATGGTGATGATGATGATGATGATGGCTTCGAATAACAGACTTTGAATGTTTTTGAGCTGGGCATTGGGCATTGAGTTCGCCCATTTGCAGAAACCCAAGGCTCTTTCACTCATTTTGACCCACTAGGCACGCATTGGAAGTCATCTCAATTTCTCGCCAAGGAACAATGTAGGAGCACCTGAGCTTTTCGGGGGCATCCAAAAGGGAATTGAGTGTTTGATGGTCCCCGTCAGTTGTCGGAACAAACCTGACGTTTAAAGCGCGAACTAGGCACTCGGCACTCGACGCTCTAAAATGATCTAAAATTGAGGTGTGCACGCCTTGCTTGTCATAACCCTGTTTTTTCCATGGTGAAAGATGGGAGGCCAAAGGCAGGTCATTGATGGTCGTTGTGCTTTGGAGATGGGATGATCTTAAATTGCCCCTTTGGATCCGGCGTCCATCGGTCCATCAGATTCCATCAGTGTAGCCCACAGCATCCGTAGCCAAGGCCCTGGCTTAGAGTGGCAGGCTGTCCTTGAGGTGGCTTCACAGGCTGCCCCGCGCGCTCTTCCTGCCGACTCAGTCGGAAGATTTTTTGGGAACCCCGACTCGAGTCAGGGATTACTTTATATATATATATAGAAAAAATCTGACACTTGATGCCACCCAACAGAAATTGACATGTTTTGACAGGTGATGTGTTTGCCACTCCATCGTGAAAAAAAGGTAATATGTGGTGATGACATCAAACCCAATGGAAACAATGGGGGTATTGCATGACATTTATGAAAGAATCATCGAAGTCCAACGACGGTCAACCACACAAATCTTGGAAAGTGCAAAGTTCTAGGAAGAAAGCGACGGCAAAATCAATGTAGAGCAATCTAAAACATCAGCGATTCTCCGAATTGAAAAATGCAGCAAACATCCGTAAACCGTAAAGCCAGTTGTTTCAGCGGTAAGCCCGAAAGCGTGATTCAGATTTTTTTTTATAAAGCAACTTTAGTTAACAAACTGTGTTGTTAATGGTTATATCTGGTTATATTTCATTAAAACAAACTATCAGAATAAATGATGAAAGTTGGGCATTTTTTTCATGCGTTGGGATTAGCACATCCCAAAGTTGTCCCTCAGCTGGGCTTCCGTACGTCGATCCTGGACGAAACGAACGGAGGTGTCGGGTGCCAAAGGATAGCTGGTTGGTGGCTACCCCAAGCACCCCTGTGGCCTGGTTGTCAGTAGGCTTAGAGTTATCTTTTTTACCAACAATAAGCACAAATATGGCATATATTTGAATAAATAAAAGTATACAACAATGTGTGTATATATGTATTTATATCAAATACATACCATATCCCCTTATTATTATATATTTGGTTTAATTGTCGGTAGGCCAAACAAACGGTTTTAGCTGCTGAAAGGCAATCTTGCAAATGGCATAAAAAGGCCTTAAAAATTAACCCATCTTCTATCCATGGAGCACGAGGATTGGGACAACGTGCAGAACAAAAACAACGTAAAGGTTCAAAGTGACTGGTTCCGCAACATCTTTTGAACCAAAACCTTTTGGATTATAGGTGATGGTTTGGGTTGGTGGTTTCTGTCGCTAGCGCCATCAGATGCCATCAGCTAAGTCATGCTAAGTCCTCTCGTGGTGAGGAAACGCGAAACAAACAAGCAAACGCATTCAGCTGATGTGGGATAATGTGGTAACCCCCCCGCCACCCCAAAAAAAACAATCCTTATCTTTGATTTACTTTTGTGTATATTTGGGATGATGTGAAATGGCCACAAATGGTTGGTTAATGAGATGGTTTATTGTTGGGCTTACATGCAATGCTACCTCCTACTGTCCTACTGTAGCTTCAGGATCCTGTACCATAAACCACCCCGTGGCTGACAACTGGAGCCTCTCATCCTCTTCCTGGATGATGGGAGGGTAATCTCCTCGCAGAGTGTGAAACCCACCAAAGGAGGCACCCAGATTTTGTAAGTCTCCAGGCAATGCCCTGCGCACCTATGCCCATCCGATCTTCATTGCTTCTCGGTGTCCGGTAGAGTCTACGCATGTCTACGCCCTTCTATGCCACTTTTTGGTGTAGGGTAAGTGTCATCAAACATGGCGGGAAAATTCTCCAAATTTTTCGGTCAAAATCTCAGAAACATCATGAAACATCTCCACAACTCGAGCATGTCCCAAAGCTGGAGCCACGTTGCTTCTCTGCCTTTGGAGCTCTTGGCTTGAAGTGATCTCAAGCGACGAGCTGCCTGGATGATACTTGGGGGTGCAGTTGGGGTTATTCATGACATATGCCAATCGCCTCCATAAGTTGGGATCCAAAACAACTATGGCTCTCCCACTTATTAATGCAGTTATGGGTACCCAAATCGCTGAGGGGACTCCCAGGGCCCAGAAGTCTGAAGAAATCATGATGACACATAGGGACATGAGCTCGTTGCTGTGCCACGCCAAAATCAGTGGATATGTCCTTGGATGGTGACACATTCTCATATATATATATACATATATATACATACATACATATGTGTGTGTGACTGTGGAAAAATATGCCTCTTCCGCGGTTCAATGTTCGTGGGAATTGGCATGCTGAATATCATGGAGTTTTCATGCCATTCCATCCCATGCCATGGTGAAGCTGTGTGTTACCCTCAACGAAATTGTAAGGAAAACCTCCAACCTATCCACACAATCACAATAATTTCACCACTAAACTAAAAATATCTAAAAGCGGGAATTTCAGCACTAAACCAGATTCCGCACTTAAAATGGCTTTTCTGAATTTCATTCTTATGGGATCTTATGGGGTTCCCTTTTATAAAAGTCCATATCCATAAATCATAACCTCCATCATGACCCTTGGATACCCTTGGCGAGGTCACCATTGGTAAACTCCAACTCCCACCTCCTCCACTCGTTTTTCCTCCTCACCTGCCGGAGGCAAAACGAAACACTGGCTGAAGAAATCCGAAAAGTGTAGAGACAAGTGGGCTATAACTTATGGTTAATAGTTAATAGTGATATAACATGATATAACATGATATAACTACGTATATTCAAAACTTATAACTACTAGTGATAAAACCATAGTCATATAACTTATAACCCAACTATGGCTATATTCACTAACTATTTGTATAACATTTCTCACTATTTTAGATGGACTCACTTGGACTTTCATCAGGCTGTCAAAGTTGGGGTCGTTCCAGAGCCCTTTCGATGGTTTATGGGGAACCACTCAACAATTCCATCTGCGGCAAATGCCTCTCACTTGGAACTCCCACGCCCACAGCTGGATTTTCGATTCACCAGTGTGCCTATCAGTGTGTCTGCCTACATTCATCCACCCAAAGTTTGCTGATATCATCTTATATCATATTCACATTATACGTCGCGTGGCGGCGTTCCAGAGAATGGCAGTAAGCTTCGAGTTGTGACCGTTGTTGCCCTGTTTTCCTGCTCCCATGAGATGATGTTTCCCATTGATTTGCCGACAGCGACAGTATCCAAATCTCCCCATGACACACTAGAGCCTCCACTCTTGGGCGACAGGTCGTTGAGCGACATGGAGCCGTTGAGCGACATCGAGCCGTTGAGCGACATCGAGCCAGTGGCGGAGCCTGCTCTGAAACACAACAGCTCCGTTGATGGTGAGTTTTCAATGGCTTGAAGGGAAAATTGAGCGTGGAAACCATCACTGCAAAATGTGAAGCCTTGGTGTCAAGTTGTTGTTTAACCAAGTTTCTATCCAAGTCTGAAGGAACCCTGAATGATGGAAGCTTTACACGAAATGCTGGCGGGATGAAAGCTACCGGAGGACTCTGGGGCGGGGTCTCACACTTCGAAGTCCCCATCGGGACCCTGACCCACTGTGATGGCTTTCTATCGCTTCAGATTGATGAAATTTATGCAATTGATGGAACCACCATTCTCGTTGGGTAAAACTCAAGATTCAGTTGGCTGGTGATATGATGTGATATGATGTGATATGCCCATTACCAGCCCCCAGCAATTGTGACAGCTCCGGGCCACATTCCAATTTGGGTTTCACTTCAAACCTACTTCGAGGCCTTTAAAGAAGTGGCTAATGTTTGGCTGGGATTAATACCACCCCCTGGGTTCATCTATCCCGGTAAACAAGCGGGTATCGGAACATATCAGAGATGTTCGACGGAACAAATTGCCCAATTGAAAACGAATACTAGAAATACCAGAAGCAAAACATTGTTGCCGAACAATTACCCAACTGAAAACCAATCTTAACCAATACATTTCTAATTGACAAATCGAAACCCAAAACCTTACCCCAGAAGTTGGCATACTTTAGTCACAGGGGATATCGTATTCTACTATTGTTTCCGTCCGCAAAGTTGGCCTACTCTATTCAGAGGGAATCTATTAATCCCACATTATACATTCACATTGACATTCCTGAGATGGATATCATTTGTTATAACCCAATGCATATCCCTTCCCCCTCATATTAAACAGCCCCCTAGAAACCATGGTTTTGTGTCGGGAATTTCCACATCATTGGGACCATTCAGGGGATGGGATTCGTCGAATCTCAATGCCCACAGCCTGACCTGATTCTTCCTCAGCCTCGAGATTCCTCCAGCTGAGGCGCAAAAAATCGATGCACGTGCTTGGATCATACGATGTGAACATTGCAACAAGAAATGCCTTGGCATTGCGAAGACAGTTACATAGTTTTTATATGCTTATATTTACACTGTGAAAACTTCATGTTATTTAATTTTATGGCAAAACACCGTGGGACATGGTGATGGTCAACCCTTCATTACCCCTAGATTTTACATCAACATCTATTGAAATTCCTCAATGATCTCCAGCCCAACTATGCCCATCAGCCCCTGTCTTGAGACTGCGGGTCTGCGTCAAGGCTGAGCCATTGCCTTGGCAACGCAGTCCAGGGTCTTGTGGAATACATCTGGGATTAACCATAAAAAATTAGGATCTAATGGAATACCAATGGTGACATAATGGGATATGTTCTATTTGGGTGTGCTTGAAACTGGGCGAATGAACTTAACGAAATTGATTAGAACTGCCATTGATTGGGGAAAATGAGTGTTCGCCAGTGGATCTTGGGCGCCCTATCTTCAGGTAAACCCACATCTAGGATCTCCTAATTGGAGCAAAATCTTTGATTTCCACTTACATGGTGTGAAATATATGGTTGATGCACGCATGAAGCAACCTTACTGACCCACTCAGTCACTACCGGCTTTCAAAAGCATGCTGGCTTCCGACATATTTTCCTCACCCCGGGAATCATACTGATGGGCAAGAATAACACAATATACATATTACTGTATAATATACAGATACTGATCTGAACGCTAGTCAGTCAGATTCATTACGTCTCTCCCTCTGAACAGTGGCCACTGATGTTCCAACCCCAGCTCTTGCCCCAGGTGCTGTTGGTCCGTCTCAACATTGGGCTACCAGATTTGCCTCAGCAGGGAATGGGGGGAAGGTGAGGAGCCGTGGTGCACATCCATTGGTAAACCGGTGGTTTATCTCTCCCAGATTGATGCAGACGAAGAACAAATCAGTTTTGATGGGTTGTTTTTTGTCACCATATCAGGCGAGGTAACTTGATACTCATGTCTTTGCGCACGTGGATGTGGACCACGTAAAATTTGCTTACGTTTGGATTTTTCAAATGTGATGGCACGTCAGAAAAAATGACACACCTCTTGAAGTTTCGCATCAAAACCCACAACCGCAAGACTCGCCTTCCCAAGAAATTGTTGGTGTCTAAATAGCGGTTCTCTACGATCTCCAAGGGCTTGCATATATTTCTCAAAATTGAATATGGAATGAATATGGTATGTCCTGCAACGCTCCATGTATGTATTTCTGTTCGTGTTTGATTCCGGTATATGCCAAATTGTACCAAGGCGAAGGCCCGCCCCTCCAGCAATCAAAACTGGAATCCGCACAACCACACTCGCTTACCAGCTGGTGGCTGTCTACCCAACTGAATATTGCGTCGGCCGGGGAAAAAGATGGAAACGGTTTTGATATCAAATCACCAATGTCTAACAACGCCCCGAGATTAGTTCACATGGGGATTGTCAATGTATCATTGGACTTAGCACAGAACATCAGCAGCTACAAATTTTCATGAACCACCCATTATCGAATCAAACTAGGAGTTGGGACATGTTGGAGCCTTATTCATCATTATATACCGAACTTTCCAATTGGAATTACCATCCCACTCCCCATGACCTAAACTAGACCCCTGAACCCCAACCCATGGCAGGCTCCAGCCGGCCTGCTGGCGACGAGGGTGGTGACGGCTCAGGAGGACGTGGCCTTGGAATCAAGTTCTGATTCTTATTAAAAGTAATATGTATATATATATGTCTATGTAAATAGTTACATACCAAAATGCTTATTTACTTATTATTATAATTATTGTTATTTATTGGTGTTACATACATATATATATATAATTAGAATACTCTCAAGTGGCTTCCCCCCTGTGCGCCATTTTAGGCCCAAAAATGAAGTCTAAAATGAAATCTAAAAGGGGGGGTCTTAGAACCCAAAATGTTTGGTTGCTATTCCGTTTTTGGGTTCTAAAATGGGTTCTAAAATGGCATCTTCCACTCTAAAAAAGATCATAAAACATCATTAAAACAATCCTTGTTGAAACCATCGCATTTCAGAAAAAACATGAGAAAATCTGCATCTCAAAAAATATATTGACATGAGGCCAATCAAACAAAACACTGCAAAGAGCACTCTATGATACTCCAGAGCATTTTTCAGTGGGTGGCGGTCACAGATCGTCTTATCATTTCCTACCTCCCGAACCAGGTTTTTGCCCGCAATCTTTGCTTCCTTTCTTGCCAGGCCATTGAAGTACACCCCAACCCAAATGCCTTCAGAATGTACCCTAAATTACCCCTTTTCAAATGAATTTAGTTTTGGGCAAATTCCATTTCCCGTGTGACGGTTTGTTTACTGTACTTGTATCCAAAAATGTCCAACCAACGAAATTTTCAATAAGACAGCAAACTACTACATGCAGTGTTTTTCAAAACAGTAGTGTTTTTGCGTCACAGGAAAAAACAAGGAACAAATCATCACATGTGGAATTAGCAAGTGGCTGTATGTGGGACTACAGCTGTCGCAGCTGTCACTTGAGAATATGGTAAGTTTGCCTACATTCATCAGGATGGAGATCGGAAGTGGAGGCTCCAGACACCACTGACTGGACACTTGTTCTTTTGGGAAATTTTGGGGAGGAGCTGGGCAGCTATGGCGAAGAGATGTCACCCTAGACAATGCACCTTGATGATTTATCTTTGGAAGGGTTCTGGAATGGTTTCATGCTTGGCCAAACGTGTGAGGTACCAGCTACTACAAGGGGAAACCATTCTAGACCATTTGTATGTTCAGATAGCTTACAGTAGGTATCTTCATTTGTTGCACAGGCCTTGGTCTACTTGTACAAGGACAAAAGATGGCAGAAACAGTTTTAGATGACTTGACTATCCCTGAAATTCATTGGCATTGGGTTGTACCTGTCTACCTACCCCTGGAGGTGTTTATCTTTGGGAAGGGTTCTGGAATTGTTTCCTGCTTGGCCCAACGTGTGCGGTACCAGCTACTGCAAGGGGAAACCATTTTAGACCATTTGTATGCTTAGATAGCTTATATAGATATCTTCATTTGTTGCACAGGCATTGGTCTACTTGTACAGGAACAAAAGATGGCAGAAACAGTTTTAGCTGACTTGATTATTCTTGAAATTCTTTTCCATTGGGTTGTACCTGTCTACCTACCCCTGGAGGTGTTTATCTTTGGGAAGGGTTCTGGAATTGTTTCCTGCTTGGCCCAACGTGTGCGGTACCAGCTACTGCAAGGGGAAACCATTTTAGACCATTTGTATGCTTAGATAGCTTATATAGATATCTTCACTTGTTGCATAAGCATTGGTCTACTTGTACAGGAACAAAAGATGGCAGAAACAGTTTTAGCTTACCCTGAAATTTATTTGTCTGTCACTACAGCTCTTCCAGTTGGTGAAAATTTCTACCTACCAATTTGCCGCTCACTCCACCTATAGCGCCTTCTCTTTCAGAGATGCTGAGCTGGACAATACTTGACCCACGCCTTTTCGGAAAAAAATAAAAAACAACACAAATGCATGCAAATCCCCAGCAAATGCACGTACATTTCCGACGCGGGATTTAACAGCCTCTTCTGACACAACATGCAAAAGCCACTTTATGTGTCTCAAGTGACGGCAAAAGAAGCAAACATGCAAACAATAAATTCAAAAAAACATGCATTGTTGCGGTGAATGCAAAGGTAAAGGTACAGATAACCACTTCAAAACTGAGCTGAACCCACAAGTTCCCCCAGTCAGAAATGTTCTCACAAGAATCAAGAAACAAACTGAACTGTGAATTTGTCAATTTTGCTACCGTGTTTTCAGCAGGAGGATCAAACTGGCAAATTGCTTTCAACCACCGGCTCAGTAGGGATCACAAATACCTGCACAAAACCTGCACCATACATCATCATATATAGTAGTAAGTATACAAACTTCCAAAGTTTTACAATGCTTACGCGACCGGGGGTTCTACAATTGTTTTTATCATGTTAGAACCCCAGTCCGTTATCCCTAAGGGGGCCCCCAATCTAGAACCTTCCAACTTGAGGGTATTAATTAGATTATATGTATCATATAGTGAACCGATGTGTGCACATGTATGCTAGATTATGCTACTTATATCACTTATATACGTGATTATACGTGTATATACATGCATGCCTATCCGTCTCTATTTGCCAATGGAAAAATGCACTTCTTGGGCGTTTGAACACCATCCGAGATACATGGGCCATGGGTGGTCAAGATTCGGCAGGGAAAGACGTGCGAGAGAAACGCGCACCGGTCAATTGCCCGTCCAAACATGTCCAAATCCAACTTCTGAGTGTCCAACGGAGCAATTCTGGATCTCTTACCTGAAGTTACATTCTCTGAGACATACAGCCCCACCCCGGCCAAGTGAGAGAATTGCCAACCGCAATTCGAACCTTTTCTTTCAACAAACCAAATAATGAGGATACAAAATGCCAGCACAGCCACCTGAACATCATATTTGCCAAGACCATGGAAATTGCACAGCAGACAGCAAACATGCCGCCTATCTGGAAAATATGGCAGAGCCAAGAGGTTAGGCCCCGAGCAAGTAAAAATGCCCGAAGTGGAAAGCACTTCATGCCTGGACTGAGGCATCCAGGCCATCGATGGCCATCTATGGACATCTATAGACATCTACCATGGCTTCAACCCGGCTGACATCCCGGGGTACCTTCACATGCACGGTTGAATATCAAAGCTGTTAAGAAATAATCCAAAATGATGGTATCTGAAGATATCTAAAGATATCTGATTACGTAAAACACATCTATATGATTATGTGATATCATAAACCCCTTGTGAATTGAGTCAGAACGTCATGGGTCCCCATTTTATAGGTCTAAAATGCCGGGGTACATCCCAGCAGGGTCCTCAACAAATGGAAACCAATGACCCTCCTGGGGAGGGTTTACCTCGATGAAAAATATCAAGTTTGTAGAGGCCATCACTTAACCCTCGTTTAACCCCAAAACTCTTCAAACACTAATGGGCACTCTGACATATCGTCGAGCCTATCTTTATTTTCCTAAACTTACCCAAACTCACTATAGAGTGGGGGCCTATGACCACCCCAAATGTCTGGATTTCCTTAACAAACCTTAAATCTAAGGTTTTCTTTACGTCATGGGTTCCCATTTTATAGTGATTAGATACCCATAAAATTCCTGATTTTCTGACTTCATGGGTTCCCATGTTATGGAGGCATAACCTGTATATATCTGTAATATCTGGAATATTATGGAATGTTTTATGTTTTTTTTTCATGTCTTACATAATTTTCAATTTTATAGAGGCAAAACCGGACATAGCAACGGAATCATGAGCAAATCACCAATTAAAAGAACATCATCTTGCAAATGGAGATGTCAGCATGCAGGGAAACACCTTCTTGGAAGAAACAAAACAACTGCACAGAATGGGAAACCAAAGCCTCATGCGGCACTTTATGCCTGTATATATCTGGGGTATGCGGGATATTTTGGAATGATTTATGTTTTTTTTGTTTTTGTTATGTTTGATAAAAAAAATCCATAGGCATAACCTGTATATATCTGGAATATGTGGAATATTATGGAATGCTTTATGTTGTTTGCATTTTTTTGTAATGATTTACATAATCATTCTCGATTTGATAGAGGCATAACCTGTTCCACATATTCCAGATATATACAGGTTATATTATGCCTCTATAAAAAGGAAATTATGTAAAACATAGCAAAAACAAAAATCATAAAACAATCCAGAATATTCAAACATATTCCACAGACCAGATATATACAGGTCGTGCCTCTGTAACAAGTGTAATATGGCTCAATTTTGGGTATCTTGAAGCTTTTGGACAGATTTTGTAAAATGTGGTTAAAGTTGTAGCATGTGGTAGCAGCAATATGTAGCAATAATTGTGGCATTTCTGTGCTTTTTCCATTTTGTAGTGGCGGTTGTTCTAAATTCCTTTCTCTTGAAACGGCAATTCTTCGCTAATAAAAAAGTAATTTCGCGAATCTTTCGCGAACCCCACGTTTATCTTTCGCGGGGGTCTCATGTTAAAATTTTTGCTAAATCTTTTGCCGAAAAAAAACTTTCGCGAACTCAGAGAAACACTTTCCCGGGGTCTGATGTTGAAACCCGGCGGCCTTGGCAATTAAAAACCCTTACATGGACCATTAGAACGTATGGTGTGGTATGGTGATGTATGTTTTTTTTAAGTGATTACAGCTTCAGCCACTATAAATTCCAGAGTATATGGTCTCTATAGGATGGGAACCATCACTATAAAATGCTGCTCCGACCCCCCCGAAAAAATCTGTATTAAAAAAAAATTGGGCTACACTCGAGCCCTAAAAATGAGAGAAAAATGCTCTTATCGGGTACGTATCCCCCCCATTTTATGGAGGAAATTCCTAAGGGGATCGAATCGTAGGCGTGGAGAGGTCCTCTGAGAGTGACATGCCCCCGCCTAGAGACTTCGTTCTTGGCCGGGCTCGCCCTAAAGGGTGCGCGGCTCTGCCAGTGGGTCTGCCAGTTTCAATGGATTGGTTTCAATGGATTGGTTGATAGATGTTGATAGATGTTGATAGATGTTTATAGATGTCTATAGTGTCTCCGGCAAAGCATTCTTTTCACCAAATATGGAGCTTCCGGCAGAGCGTCCCTCCGATTCTAGGATGGTTGGTGGTTTCAACCTTGAAAAAACATATAATATGTATATAATATGCATATAGTATATACATATAATATATATATATAGAGATGTACACACATATACGATCATATACGGATATTTATGGGGATTCGCTTGTCCCAGATATCCATACATATCCCAGTTTGGGAAGGACCTAGAATATGATTGAAGCCACCCAACGGCTATAGCTGCTGCGCATGGATTCTTGCAGTTGCGAAAGATTCTAAGACCAATCCCTCATATGTGCAATAAAGTGATTGGCCCAATGAATCATAAGCCATCCCTCATGTTGCCTTAAAATTTGGTAAAGCGAAACCCCAACTGGTTCTTTATGACCGGGGCCATGTTTCAGCTACCTGGCGTATCCGCAAACTCCGCATGGCTCCGGTCTGCAGAAGCGTCATGGGAATACCTATGGATTCCTACGGGTTCTGGGGGAAACAATTATGAATATGATGTGATGACCATTCCCGCATAATTACAGCAGCGACTATTGGTTTCAATCTCTGGGTCTGCGGAGTAGTGCTCCGTTTTTTGTCAGCCTTAAAGACCGGAACGGAATCCTGCAACCCTGGAACCCTAGAACCCTGGAACCTTGCAGCCCTGCAACCCTGGAACCTGCTGTTGGGTTGCAAAGCTGGGTTATTGGTGTTTGGTGACCATGGCACATATAGGCTCAAGAATCTTCACTGAGCATTCCAAACATGGTGTAACCACAGTGACACTTTAGGACGCCCGCCTGAACCATCTTGAAAAGTATTGCAATCATCTCAGGAGATCTCAGGCAGGATCAAATAAATGCGTCTTAAAACATGTATATAAAATGCTTGAAAGGGTCAACCACTTAAACATCTATATACAATAGGCATCTATATATACATCTATACATCTACAGTTACATATGATGTGCATATATAGTACGTATATATATATATAGGATATACAGGTGGTGTCCCCACGTTCTCGTTACCAACTCCCAGAAACTTTGGCTTCACTAGTGGATGCTCCTGAGGGGCCCCTACAAAGCGAGAAGTTGCGCGCCATAGTCCTCTAACCTAATGGAAGCCCGAACGCATCTGGATGATTTACATTGATTTACCGTAGATCATCATGTTTCACTCACTTTAACCTACACACACACACATATACTGGTTGGTGGTTTCAACCCCTCTGAAAAATATGAGTTCGTCAGTGGGATCATTATTCCCAATATACGGAAGGTCATAAAAATCATGTTCCAAACCACCAACCAGTATATATATACATATATGTATATATATATATAGATATGTATATATATATATATGTATAACTATATATATATATGTCCAGTATACACGCCAATGTAATATCTCTCTCTAATCCTAACCACCATGCAAAAGCCTGACCGAAACCGTGGCTTTGGGGTCCGCAGAGTTGATCCGTGAGAAAACTCGTGGCTTTGGAGGAAGGGAACGTGATATTCTTATCATTTGCTAAATCCATCCTGGAATTGTGATTGATGAATGATTTATATATAATATATATATATATATGTATCACAAGTGGGTGCATAATCTCATACCTATAGTTATCTAGATGTTTGGGGAAGTTAAATATTATATATAAAATATATTTTATATGTGATATATGCATGAGCTCTAAGCCCTAGCTTGGCAAACCCTCGTATGAGTTCATGCTACATATCGGAAATCCTCTGCAGTCCTGGAGTTTCACATAAACAATCATCGGTGAACATCTTGTTATTTTTTGGTCGTGTGTTGGGTGATGCCACACGATGAAAACTTGAAATGCCCCAGCATTTCAACCACGAAATCAGGACAAGTACTCCTCTTTCATCCACTTACACTCAAATTTTCAAACATTTTCAAGGAAGGTTGTTGCCCTGGACAATTCACTCCATCCATTTGTGAAGCGCTTGGGATCAGCGAACCAAGCCCCCGACTCATCGTCTAGCCTCAGGTCGTTGGGATTGTTCGCCGCATATCAAATGGGTAACCAATGGAGGGCCAATGGGTAGTCAATGGAAAAGAACCCAGGGCATCTCGAATTTGTAGTTGGTACTTCCTCTTTTCACTAAATCTAAAACTCGGGGAACCACACAAAATGGATCCCCAAATGCCCCTCAAAACCATATTGGCAACCCATTGACCAAGCGAACTCTTGGATGAGTTTACCCCCCTTTGGGCCTTTCACGATTTTGCCGTGAAGAGCCAGGATGATAAAACAGGACGCATAAATAGTCAAGGCTCACATCACCTACGTAAGCAGTTGGGTCCTGTTGGGTCTCAATCATGATGAAGGTTGAAAGAGCAAAGCTTCCTGCATATGCTTCCCTGAGGTCCGTCTGCAGTGTTTCTGCTCTTAGCTATGTTGAAATGGAGTGACTTTAGTGAAGTACAGCAGCACTTAGCTATGTCCGGAAACTCTTACCTCCTCATAGCTCCAATTGGCTCCCAAGTTGGGGAATTTAGATACTCCGATGATACTCCATGATACTCCTAGCATGCTGGGCATATCTGGGCATAGTTCACTTCACCGCTCCCTCCAATCCGAGCTCCGGACTGCTTGATCTTTTTCTCGTTCTCAGCTTGCGTCCTAAAAGGTGAGCGAAAAGCCACGGCCACAGCAGCTGTTGGAAGATTCGTTTATATGGTATGGGGGTTCCAGTACAATGCCAAAACATTGAGGATTTCAACTGGGTTCACCACTGTAAAGCACTTGGCATCCAGTTTGCAAAACTTTCCCTAGAACTACCCTTGAACAAACATCTTTGGCAGAGCTTTCTAGCAGCTGCATGCCATGTAAATCCTCGACTCGTAACACCGCAACTCTAGGTACCAAATAGTGTGTTCGCGCCCAGTTGGAGTCAACGGGCAGGATGATTCAAAAACCGCAAGTCACTCAGAGTTTAAACACAACAAAGCCATCGCTTCCAAGCAGTCCACAGTTGGTTTGTGGTCCATGCTGACCTCTAAAAAACCCCTTGGACCAATTTGCATCAACCAGATATTGAGGAACCGATCATCCGGGATCATCTGACCGGAGGTGAATATTTCCCACCATCAATCGTTTCTGCCACACTCCTACACCAGCACGCTAGTCGCTCATCATCAATAGTTATAGACATAGTCATAGTAAATAGTAGTTTCTGCAACTTCAGATTCGATCACATCGCCACATCGCTGCTTCAAATGGAAAAAAAAAGGCCTGCAATTCGGTGCTCGTACATCCATGATTCAAAGCTATTACCCTACCATGGCTGTCAAATATTGTGGCGTATCATGCGTGCACCATCTGGGTCGCCTACATCAATCCGGAAACTGGCGATTCAACCCCTCCAAAGGTGACCATCAACCCATCATAGATGCTGAATGTGGTTGCCCTTCAGTGCTTGCGATGTTTGTCTGTGCCCACGAGGTTGCCAAATGTCAAGTTGATGGATCACGATATGCCTATTCATAGCTGAAATATATATCACGATCAGGGCAACCACCAAAAAAAACAGTAAAAACAGTTGATAGCTATCATCAATTCATATTCAGGGAATTCAACAAAGCTATGGGGAATTACCCGATTCAAAATGATGATTACACTGTATTACACTATTCCAAATCGTGTTTTTCCAAGTCGCAAAAGTGTGACAACTATTGACAAATAACCAGAGTCTAAATTCCCAAATCATCCCAAATCCATGTGCTAATCAACATTCTGTCAATTTCATTCATTTTATCATAGTTTTGATGGGTATTTGGATGCTTGAATCAATCCCAATCTTCTACCCCGCCACCTGAAGGGGTTCCAGGGCAGTGGGGCATCATCTGGGAGCGAGGCCACTGCCTTTGATAGAACAATCCCATGGATGAGGGATTTGGGGCTATGAAAGACAGGAAGTTGGGAAATCGATGGTAATGGATTGGTTAAAGGGAAAATTGAAACCCGAAAGCCCCCCAAGAACTTGGGAAAATCGCAAGGGTTTCCGGTGAAGAAAAACACCCTTACACTATCCATTGAAGTAAACTAACCAGAATCTGGGTCCCCCTAATTTTAGGAAACCTCCATATTATACTCCATATTGATGACCCAAACACTGAGATGGAATGGGTTACGCGGCTACCCAACCTTCAGACATCAAACAAACCCACATTACGTTGATTTGGGTTGCATCTTCGGACCCATATTGAGAAATATAGATAAGTTGAGTCATGTGGTAAACCCACTGCCAGAAACCATCCCCATTGTAATCATTATAAATGTGGGTTTTCAACCATCCCCAAATGGTAAGGTGTAAAATTCTTGGCTTGCCCACAGTATGTACTATATATATCTATATATACTACATGAAAAGAATCCTAGAAATTCAGCCAATTCAGCCATCTAACATCTGAGTTCGAAAAAGGGCATCTTTCACCATCATGGAGTGTTCGAGGATGGAGTCATAGGGATTCATCTAACCGGATGGGTACCAACTTATGGGGGTTTTCACCCCAAAAGGTGGGGTTAGTTGAATCCTCGGTTACAGTGTCCGTGTTTTCGAAGGCCTTGAAAAGCTGTAACACAGAACATACCCTCTGGTAAACGTTGGCATAACTGTGGAAAATCCTCATTTTGAATGGATAAATCAACTATAAATGGCCATTTTCAATAGCTATGTTAAATTACCAGAGGGTACTAGAGCCATGAAAAATAGCCCGACACCATCCTACACGGTATTGGGAGGCTGGCCAGCGATGGACTGGATTTTCTTTCACGCTAAGAAGCTTGAGGATATGTTTATATGGGGATATGACATGCGATGTAGCCTGCTTCCCCAACCAGTATGCCAAAGCAAGCTTCCCCACCAGGAAATCTCACTTCATAAGGGGAAACATCATTTCAACTTGTAGTTGGTGGTTGCCATTGATCGTCCCAGGATATCCCGGAGGCCCAAGGGACGGCATCTTTGTAGGACGGAAGCTTGCCGTACCTCTGGCGCAAGCAGCTTGGGTCGCTTGGCACCTCCTCACTGTGCCTACCATTGAGAGAAATGTTCTGAGGTTATGAGTAATGATGCAATAGTGATGCCATAGATGCCATTTTCCCAAATGTGGATGGAAGATGATGGAAGCTAGCTGAACGTGCGGAGGGTGCATACTATGATATACGATGTATCGGATTCAAAGCCACAGGAGAGATGAGGACACGATCTATGCTATCAAGACATGGGGGTGGGCATAGCCACCCTTGGACTTCAGACCTCATGTTGCTCGGTGACCTCGGTTTTTATCAGTGCTTTATCCCTCTCATGTATGGTCGAACCCCTCCTTAGATTCCGGTGTCCCGGTTCTCCCCATCCCACAATGGCTGATAGTCACCAGTCCTATCCAGTCCAGCTCTGTGGCCCAAGGGCGCCCAGAATAGCGGATGTTGTCCAAGAGCACTTCCACGGAAGCTGCAGGGATGCCATCCCGCAGAGCACGGGTGATCTGGTGCTTCTTGTACCTGGCCCAGCGGCGGTTTTTTTTGTCTAAAGATGGCCCAGGAGATGAGATATGACCCCCAAATCTATTGAGCCATGTTCTAAATGTCTTACATCCTGGCACCAAATAAGGAAATGCTTAGGCCATCTTACGCCATTGCTTACGTTTTGCTTACACGCGCACAGGTTTTGCTTACGCGCATATCTTTTCTTACGAGCTTACGCTGGCTTACGTGCACCACAGTTTTGCTTACGCCACACCCTTACAAGGGCCCCCTAGCTTAACATGAACACAAGGGTCTAGAACGTGGCTCTATTGGATTTGGTTCTAGGATTTCAATCTTGGACAGAAGATGATTCAATGATGAACTGGAAACCTGAAAGGATCTGACAGGGGGTTGGGGGAGGACAAAATAGCAATAGCAATAGCACCTGAGTGATCATCCACTGAATTATGTGGATTTTCTTACTTCAGGAACCCCCAACAAATCCAACACATATTCCCCTAGCAAATCCAAGAAATCGCCCATCTTTTCCTACCAAAAAACACCTGCATTGATAGTGGATGTTCCTATCTTTTCCCATTAATGTGGGTAAAGCAATCATAAACCGTCCCCCAGTCAGCATTTTTAATCATTTTTATAGGTGGTATGGTCACCATTCCCAGTCATGGGTGGTTTATTGTCTTATCCACATGAATAATCCATCAAATCCATCCATTGCCGGCTGAGTTACCCAATCGCCATGGCTTCCTCCACGAGCCGCCTCTTTTCCTCGTGGAGGCGTAGTTGGCCAAATTGCCAAACCGTTTGGAGCCCCCAAAATCATCGTAGACCAAGATCTCCGAGTACTCATGAAAATGGGTATATATATATATAAATGATACAGTAAACGTCCCATTAATCGAGGGTCTAGGATGGTCTAGGTATGTTCGATTTGAATTTCGTGGTGTGGCACGGCTATTCAAAGCTCACCCATGAGAACCCCTACCACGCCTCTTGCAAGAAGACTGGAAGGTTTTCTTCTTCTCGCTTGCTGGGCCTCAAAGTTCCGATCATGAACCATGGAGGTCCATGTTCAAACTCGAATCTTGCCACTTGGCAAACCCCCAGGAATTTAAAAACACGCCTCTTCACCAGAGGAATGACTGGATGTAAATGAGGAAAGACTGCCCCCCATGTCCGACCCCCTTTGTTTTCCAAAGCTTATCGCATCTAGAAACAAACCCCCCAAAAAAACACTGCAACTTCACCAAATCCCATGAATTCTCATGCTGAAACGTGAAATCATCCAAAACCTGGGCAGTTCCACTTGTGCGCTTCTTCCTCTGATGAGGACGACATGATCTCAGCCTCTGTGGAAATTCAGCGTCCAAAATGGGGTCCCTGAGGTGTAATTAAACAGGTTTGAATGGAAATATATTCTAAAATGGTGGGGGTTCCATTGCCATGTTTGACTACCGAAGTGTAGATGTGTTCAATTTGAAGAGTGTAGCATTTTTTTGTTGACCAGAAAGTGGAACAAGTGGAATTCAACTCATCTTTAGTCCTTACCTGCAAACAACAACGCTACGCGGCCGACCTTCAGAGAAAAAAAACATCCCTCAAAATGTGTCTTTCAACCTGTCCAACATGGGGCCAAATGATTTTGATACATTCTCATCCTCCCAAGGTATTCCAAGTTATTGGGGATGCTGGACAGATCAGCAATCAAAAATAGCATCTCCCAACTCACATGGACCCTGCCAAAGAAATGGTTGGAAGACTACTTTCTGAACTAAAAGTTGTCTATCCTCGTCAAATTCTTAGGGATGCTCCGGTTTCTATGAAAAGCCCTTTCTCTCGCCAGGCCCACCTCGGCTTGTATGGGCTCTTCATCCTCTTCCTCTCGCAAGCTCCTGACTGCACAATCTGCGGAATGAATCAACCATGTGAGAGTGACTTTTTTTACAGCAGCTGAAGTTTGATAACCATCCTGCTGAGACGAACTATCTCACTGATCTTCTACACAAATGCTCCCTGTTTGGATTCATCATCCACGACCAAGATTACCCTCTGGTAATTTGTTACATAGCTATTGAAAATGGCCATAGAAATAGTGGTTTTTCCCATTAAAAATGGTGATTTTCCATAGCTATGTTAGTTTACCAGAGGGTAAACATCAACATCTCTGGGCAGCCTCTGTCGCTATCGCCATTCGAATCCAAAAAAAAATCCATAGGTTTCAAGGCCCCGCTTGGATGATCGCAGAGGATCAACCCCCCCATTCAACAAGCAATAGGTCAATAATCATAAATCATATATATATATGCCATATATATATATAAATGTACCAGGTATATTATCGGTATATTTTCATATTTCAAATCGAAACCACAGTTTTCATGGTCCAGGGACCCTCCACCATTCTCTCAGCTCGAGCTGGGCCCCAGGGCAGTCGGTTGTCATCTGTCAGGGCGGGCGCGGCTTAAAAAACATGCCGGAAAATCCGCCATTTACCATCTGGTTATGACTAACATAGCCATGGAAAATCACCATGCTATTAATGGGTAAACCATCTATTTCGATTAGGGCCATGGCTTCCATGGCGGACTGTTAGTCATAACCACAGGGTACTTCGGTGATTTTCCCATTGAATTCCTGGATCTCCCGGCCATGTTTGATGACACCGGAATGTGTTTCTCCTGCTTTTTGGTGGGCAAAGTAATGGTCTTGGGCCTTGGGGCATCCATCCAATCGAAGTATTCAGGGATTCGTTACCTTGCGACTGCCTGGGTATTTCCAAGAATGCAGTTTATAGGCCACTCTTGCAGTATGAATTTACTTCTCTATCTTTTCGGGGGCTTCCAACTAGGTTACAACCTGCTATAGTGACTGGAAAGATCATCTACCATATGCATCCAACATGCTGTTTTAAAACCTGCCTTATGAAATTGCAGGATATTGCCGGATATTGCAAGATATTGCAAGATCACCAACAACCTTGAGCATCCTTGTCCATTGGAACCATAACCAGCTGGGACCCAGCTGGGACAAGTTGGGGTATCCTTCTCCTGATGGTGCCCATAGCACCCCATCAGAGGGACAGCAAATGTCAGGAGCCTTTCAATCTTCGTACGCTTCTTCGTAAAACACCACGCGCTACTCATCTTCTTCACATCATGCGAAGTGTATCGAACTGTATCATCCATCAAACATCCCCCGAACATAGTGTCCACATCCCGTGGCAAGTGACCAAAATGCCCACTGTGAACCCCGGACTTTATTCACCCCTGGGCTGCTGTGAAACTGAGGGGTGCCATTTTGAGCAGGTTTTCACTATTTAAGGGACCAATTAAACAGCTTAGGGGGTACAATTCCTGGGTTGACATTGTGAGCTATCTACAATTCTTTGATTGTTATATGCAAAAAAACACCACTAGAATGTGTCGTATATGCAGTATATATAGCAAGTACATTGCATATCATCATGATGTACCACTATATCACAATACAGAATAAATGATAAATTAACCATCAAAAAAATACCAAGAGAATCCAAGTTGGAGCTAGTTAATCCCACCCGCTGATATTAAACACCCCCGTTCTATTGCCCCAAATATCTGTAAATCCCTTACTTCGTTGGTTATAGATTATATATATTTCTATGAATATTCTCATCAATAAATCTCTGTTGATGCCCAGTAATGACAATTGATCACTATGCACGGGAAGGGATTACTGTATTCAGGATTATTCCCATGGTATAGGAGGATTCTAAAACAATGAAGCTCCCATCAGGCAGGGGGGTCCCTACTTGGATGTGCATCCCAGTTAGTTGGTGGTCTTTAACCCACATATCATCTGTAGTAATCCATTTATAACTGAGGATATTCCATATTTTCATCATATATAACTGGTATAAGCCATTTATCCGGAAATCTATCATATAGTGCCATGAAATTTCAAAGTCTTATATTAAAACAAAAAAAAACAACCATCCCGAATTTCACCATTTTTAAAGGTGGTTTTGTAAACCATTCCCTGTTTTAACCATATTACCCTCTGATAAACTAACATGTTCCTATGCAAAATCACAATTTTTCATGGGACAATTCACTATAAATGGTGATTTTCCATAGGAAAATGTTAGTTTACCAGAGGGTAATCCAGCTGCACCCTGGCGCCTTCCAGGCTATTCACCTGGCTCTGTCGACTAGGAGTCCGACCCAAGGATTTCGGCCTCGCTGGGCGTCGGGAGAACATTGGAACTTCAGCCAGCCAAAGATGAAAATTATGTATTGGAATGGGTCACGTATGCATATCATAAATCATAAACATGTATATATATAATATGAATATATGTATCCGTGAATAATTACATATATGGGGGCTGTTCTAAACTTAAGTAGTTTCTTGCGGTACTTTATCCATCTTGCGCTCGCCCTTGCGCCTTCTTGCGCTTCCGAGGGGTTTAGCGCAAAATGATATCCGAATACTAATTTAGTTATATTATAACTCTTGCAATGATGCAAACACCACGTTGAGAAACATGTTTTCACCATCATAAGTTTTCACCATCAAATGATCAGATCAATACGGCTCTGTATTTCTCCATCCGGGAAGCTGGATCTCAAAAAAGTTTCGACCGGCATGCCACCAGCCCAATTTGGATTCGGCCGGCATCAAGTCTATTTATTCATATATATATATATATATATGAGCTATATATGGATGTATGAATCACACACACATATAATATAACTATATATATATGAAACACCAAGACAACAGAACGCAACCAACACTATTATGGATGCATCATAAGGGTACCACCAGTCTTTATCTGCCTAATGCTTTCCGCTCAAGGAGACGAACCTTGGTGCATGCTTTCTGTACCTAAGCGTCCTGTTTTTGGAGCAATTGGCTCTCAAAAGCCATCATACTCCAATGTTGTCAGTTCAGAACTTTGACCCCCTGATCTAACTAGGAACATCATCTCCTGAACCCATGGAAAATCCTTTCTCAATGAGAAGCCCCCAGTTTGTTCACAAGGCGTGGCGTACCAAATTCAATAGTGATAAAGGAACCTGTTTTGGCTGTAAGGACCCAATTAATCAACCAGGTTTTTTTAGAATCCAATTTGACATTACCCATAGGATCCATGTATGCTATATATGGTAACATTTACCATCAATATATACCATACATGGATAGCATATATACTATACATGGATCCTATGGGTTATATTATGAGCTATCTGCAATAATCATCACTTGTCTCATGGGGTTCCATGGGTTTTATCCATAAGCGACGGTAAGAACCCCCAATATCTAGTGTGGTGTTGCATAGTACAACCCCAAACTAATCATCAACCATCATTCATCAGTTATACCAGCATATTTATGGTAAGAACAACAGTTATATCACCATGTCATGGTAAAGTCAAGTAAGTTATATATATATATATCGCCATATATTACAAACACATTGGTTATATATATATATTACCATTTATATCCCCATACATCTATTATTACATATTACCCTCTGGTTATTTAACATAGCCATGGAAGCCATGGCCCTAATCGAAATAGATGGTTTACCTATTAATAATGATTAATAGCATGGTGGATCTTTCCATGGCAAACTGTTAGTCATAACCAGAGGGTACCCTTTCAATGATTCTTACCCTCTGGTAATTTAACATAGCTATTGAAAATCACCATTTTTAATGGGTAAATCCACTATAAATGGGCCATTTTCAATAGCTATGTTAGTTTACCAGAGGGTAAATCTTAATGACATGACTGAATCATCATCTAACGATTGATGCAGCCCACCGAGGCTGCGGACCCAGAACCGGAACCTGAGCCAGCTGTGTCCTGCACTTTTTGCTCGCTAAGTGGCAGGGGTGGAGCTGTAAATTGGCTCCGTTGAAGTGCTGATTTTACCAAGAAAAATGGGGATGAGAATGGTTTGGAATGGTTTTCAACGAGAAAATGTGGGGATTGGAATGGATTTGACCATGGTGAGAAGTCATTGGATTGGTTCAAGGGAATTCTTACAGGAAACCTCTGCTGTTTGGTTCGAGCAATTCTGGGAATAAGCTGTGTGAATAGTTTCGACTAACAACCCTGTGCATGAATGCAAAGCCTATGCAGAGAAACTCAAGGAAATACCGATCCATATGTTTATTGTTTGGGTGTTGTGGTTAATTCACACCAAAATGGGGAACACAATAACCTATGGTGAATGGAAGAAGTCGTTTCGTATCCCAAAGCCTATGCAAAAATGCGCAACTGGCGCGGCTGCCGGTCGAAACGCAAGAAACAAACCAAAAATGGCGACCAAAAAAGATATAGAAACGTCATTCAATGTTCTTCACCACTATTTTACAGTAGGATTCTACTTGTCGATCCTTTTTTACTACCAAAAAACTTGGGTTAATGCAAGTGGTGAGGCTGACATGACGTCCCAAGAACGGTTTATCATTGGGTTTCCCTGCTTGGCTTGCTGGAAAATCCCTTGTTTTTGTTGTCATCCCATGACCCAAGGACATTTATACACCCCATCAATGGTCCCAATTATGTGGAAATGTCCTTCTAAACCATGGTTTCTAAGGGGGGTGTTTAACATGAACGGGGGAAGGGATTTTCGTTGATTTTCTCACACTCATCCAGGTCGTCACTGCCACTCAAAGGGGGGATCCAGAGGTGCAAGCCCTTGCCAAATAGTTCCAAATAGCAACTCAACATGCTGGGAGATGCCCAGTTGAGTGATCTTGTTGATATATCAATGATATACCTATTCTGTCCATTTTAGGTGAACTTCACCAAAATACCAAATGGTAACCCACATTGATGCCACAAGCAACCAGCTAAGGCCTTCCTACAAAAATAGGTTGGTTGAACCAAACATAACGCCCATTGATTCCGAAATCAAGCGCCTATAGATGCCTACAGATGCTGGTTGATGGGTTCAACGGATATCTTGGTATCATCAGAAATACCAGATGGATCCGGGTGATAAGAAATATATACCAAGTGCAAAGTATGAATGCGTTACTTGGACCACTCAACTAGCCAGCATGATATGGAGCTGGATCGTGGATAGCATGCAAAACCTGTGGAAAATCGAGCTGACACTGGATCCACATCCTCGGCTGACGCGCCAGCGACTTTTCTTGGGGGTTAATGCTGGGAGTTTCTGAGTTCTGCCTGGGACTGAGGCCCTCGTTCAACCCGTCAAGGCCTGTGTTTTTTTTTGTGGAACAGCTCGTGTTTTCTGAATCAATGGGATCCATAGAAAGTCAACAAAGGGTCCCAGTCCCTAAGGCTTTGGTCACCGGAATGACCGTATTTTTTTGTGACCGATTCGCGTCTTTACGCGTCTTCCCACGCGGAACGCGTGGCGTTGTCTTTTTTCACGACCTGCCCTCAGTCGACTTCCATATCTCGAGGCTCGTCGCCTGAGGGTTGGTGATGTAGGAATCTTCATGGGCATTTGACATGGTAAGAGCACATGAAGGTGGAACCTGCACATTTCCTTAAAAAATCTTCATGGTTAATAAATATATATACATATAGAGCGCTATATATAGCGCTATACATATAGAGCCAAATGACGCCAAATACTGAAATACAGTGAGTACATATCCCACAGTAAGAGTTTTGTGTGCAAAGCCATTGGTTGAGGCCCATTGATTCCAAGCCAATTGGAACTCCTTGGGCCCTTAGGCCCCGCCTTTCGCAGGCTCCTCTTTTTCGTCCACTGCCTTTTCTTCGTCCAACAGTTCCACCTTCGTCCAACGCCACGAACGATGCTGTCCCAACCCATGGAACCGGGTGTTGGGGAAAATCTCTAAGAAACCATGGTTGTTTTAACGACTGCATCATCCACATCCAAAAAACCATGCGGTCCATGATGTCCATGCCTCCTTTTCATCTTTTTCATCTAGATGAATCTCTTTCGGCTCTTCTTTGGGCTTTGGCTCTCTCAAAATCTCATCTGCCGTTTTGGCCAATTCCTGACTCCTGGCGCAGATTTTGGAGCTGGTGGTGGTCTCAGTGTCAGCACAAGCGGAGGTGATAGAATCATATAGAATCAAATGACACAGCAAACCTAGTCATGGTCTCTACAGTTCCCAGCCCTATCTGCGCACACCAATCAATCTCAATGCTCCACCATCTTGAAACTCTCTCAAATCTTTGAGGAAAAAAACTAACTAACCATTCAAGCCACCAAAAACATATGTATATATATATATACATTGCTATGGAAAATAACTATTCATTTGTTTGTGAATTAGGTGAATCATCTGGCTACATGTTGGTCATGTTGGCCATGTTCATCCTTCTTCTTTTTTTAACAAAAAAACAAGTAACATACCTGGTCTCGTCTCCTCTTCTCCATCTCCGTGCAGGTCAAAATCGGCTTCTGGTACTTGGGCATGGCCTCCTGCTTCTGCTGCAGCTCATTGAGCCACGACTCAAAGTCCTGACAGGCCGCCAGGATCTTCTCCAGCTTCTCACTGGCGATATGACCATACCTGCGACGCAAAAAAACAGAATGGAACTGGGGGATGCTTGGGAAATGGGAGGCTTCATGATGGCTAGTACGTACCAATAAGATAGGCACTAATGAAGAATCATAACATATTTGCAGTACTCGTAAGATTAGTGAAAGAGATCCTCAAAGTATTTTTTCTAATCACTGCTATTTGTTTCAGGCTTACCCAGTTCAACATCCTCAAGTAAGCTGACGGCTATGTTCAGCTCAGGTTTGGCAGCCATGTTTCAACTGACTTGGTCCTTGGAAAAACCTCAGAGACAGGAGACTTATGATATAGTGATTCTTACTAGCAACTCAGCAAATGGTCTTTTGTTTCATGTGTTGTCACTGCCATTCAACTCTACAAAGCAGTAAGAAGCACACACATATGAACCACTATGGAACTATACTATGCACTGAAAACACTACATAGATACATGATACATGTGACATTATGTGACTAGGTTTTTCCCATCTGCTTGAGCGATCCTTATCCCAAACGATGGAAAAACCAAACATGCTGAAACCACCATGACTACTCTTATAGTGAGCTCCCCCCAACTAACACAGAGAGAGAGAGAGAGATGTATATATATATATATATGCGTGTATGTATATATATATTATATACATATATATATATATATATCAATATAGATCTTGTATTATCATGTATTATCCTGCCAAACAGCGCTGAAAGAGCGCCCTTCTATCGGCTCTTCCAAAACTCCTTTCATGAAACCGTGGCCTCTCGCCCGGCGCTGCGGCGACTTGGCGGTAGCTGCTCACGTTGCTGCGTACCCCGCGCAGCACTTCCTCGCGACTGCCGGACTCTTTACATCTCGACCTCGGCCGAAACGGGATGAGATTGCACTGAGATCTTGGAGAGCCTGAAGCATTGTGGGAATTTGGCGGCAAAAAAATCCAGGTGCTGGTCGCTGCTTGGTTCATATAAAATCATATAAAGCAGGCACCATTCCATTGGGATTCGTTACTTACACCACCTCGTTTGCAAGCAACATGGGAACAACTGATTGGTGTCTATGGCGAAGTCACCTACTTATACAAGGATTTTTTTTACCAGGCCATGATATCAGGCACTAAGTGCCATGGGAGCATCAGGCACCCATGATGCCATGGTTTGGATCATGATCTCTCAGAAACCCACCGGCCATAGATCCGTACACTTGAAAACAGCGGTTTAAGGAGTCCTATCCAAATCAGCGACCAAAATCGCTTTTTCCCTTGGAAAATTCATGGCTTAAAACAGCACAAATCAAGAGTCAAGAGACTGCACAGGATCACCCAAGGCCTTCAACTCGTCGAGTTTGTCGATGAATTGGATCTTTGTTCCATCAAAGTGATCCTGAGCACCGCAAAAAAAAGAACCTTGAGTTTTCTTTGACACCCCACCGGTGATTGTCATATTTAAATGTGCGTATTCATGTACATATACTGTATACATCATGCGTGTATATATATATGCATATATATATATAGCGTATCTACGTATGTATATCATACAATATCATAAACAAATTTATGGGTATATGGACTCAAAACGACCGAAAAAAGGTAGCTAATTGGAGGTAGGGTACGCGATGAGAGCACCCTACCTCCCCAACCATGAAAGAGATGCACAGGCAGAACTGGCATCAACATGCCTGGACACATCATCATCTTTGGGTTTGTCCAACTCAGGGTACCCAAAATTTGGTGGCTGATCATACTATTAAAATGCCATTAATGGGGGCATCCCAATTGAAATTCATGATTTTGCAGCTGGTCATGTATCACCCAGTTGGGGATGTTCATTGACCAATTCGTTGGATGCTGTTGTATCCTCACTGCTAAAAATTCATGAGTTCCACCATGTCCCACACACCATGCAACAAATATTAGCGGGTCCTTTCAAAAAGCTGCTTGGAGGGGCTGGTGGTATCACTCCATCCATCCCACTGTATCTTGGAAGACCACTGTATCGTCAATTCTGCGAGGAAAAAATCCTGGTTGAATAATTGGGCAGGTCATCATCCCGTAAAGGAAAGAAGCGATAAGTTGCTACTCCCAAAAGGTTCCCCACGGATTTTTCACCCGAACTTGTCATGATCCACCTCAAGCTCCGAACAAGGGTCGAAAAGCCAGTCTTCGGCCTGCTTTTGATGGTGATTCGAGTGAGATTTGACTTTGGGATCATGTGAGCAGTGTTCAATATCCGTTTATCATTCCATTGTTCTGGTTGGTTTACAGGTACTGACCTATTGGATGATTATAATCCTTAATATATTGAGTAGTATATAATAAACTTATAATCATCAACCAGCAGGGGTGTTGAACACTGCTCATGCAGCAACTCTTGCAAGCTATCAATGCTTGCGCTCAAAACCAACCACCCCCCGTCTTGTGCTGGTTTGATTGCTATGCAGCATGCCAGCAATCAACGAAACAAGCAATGTTGGGCTGGGTCGATTCAGCGATAATATACGTATGAACAGAATATATCATTATGTAATATGGTGTATATATATATATATGTGTGTGTGGAATTCTTGTGTGGAATCATGCCAAACTGGGATGGTTTCTCACCGTGAGAAACTTTGGTCCTAGATATCTGTCACCCTAGCCCTGTTTCATGGGTTTGCCCCCAAATAGTGAGAAATGATATGAACTGATGACAAATCACTAATCAAGTTGGCAGCTCCATAATAAACTGGTGGATCCTGGCTTAACATTCCAGTCGTTACCTGCCCTGAGTGCCCTGGGGCCCTGGGGGGTCCCTGACCTTCTGAAGCTCCTGCTCGAACTTCTGCCGATCATCTGGCGCGATAAAGGGCACCCAGTCGCCCCCGTCCCCAATCTTGGCGCGGGCATTGAAGATGTAGCCTGGGCACAAAGGGCACACACTTGGTGAGGTTGAAGTCATAGGGATTTCCCTGGTTAAAAATTGGAGTTTAATGCTTAATGTGGGATGGTAACTGGGGATCTCATGGGATGGAACTAGCCAACAATATCCAACAATCTGATATTCGTGTGAAAACGGGGTCAAATGGCTCGACTCCCAATCTGGCATTTTGTTAATGAGGGAAATTATTATTATTATTACTATTATTCTTATTATTACTATATATATATAACTATGGTTGAATTTTCTCTCGGCTTTTTTCTGTTTTCCTTAGAGAAAGCCACATGGGTCATGATTTTGGGCACATGTGGCAAAATGTAGCGACATGGTTTTAATGTAGGTGATGTTGAACCATCCAATTCCAATTGCAGTAGTCACTGTAGTCACTTGATCTCCAAGCACTTCCAATCCACACAAGGTTGGGAGGTTTTCAATCTATGACCCTTCCAGGCAGGATGACAAACTATGACCAACCTGACTGGAAGGCGGAGGCATCTTGGAGGCTTGGAGCAGGGGAGAAAGCTTCATCCAAATCTCTACTATGGGTTCTATGGGTGGGCCCACCAATCTTTTGGTGTAAATATCCAGGATTTTCCTCCACATGTACATGTGTTGCTGATATATAGGATGTCCCCATTTCAAGTGTCACATTCATGGTTTCGAAAAAACAGAAATAAACATGCCCCGTTGATAAACGATACATTCCTCAAACTGCAGAGCCAACACTCCCCCCCAAAAAAAATAGCATCGACTATACCATCAATGAACAACTCTACAACTGTTCCGCCATCTGCCAGGATCTCTGCCAGGTGGCCCTCCAAGTCATTTTTCCTCTCATCGGTTTCGATGATTTCTCGCATTTCTGCCTGCATCTGCGTCTCCTCATCCTGCCGTTGCTGCAGGATCTCTGGAGATAGCCCCGGGCGGCCGGTGGCCGAAATCCGCAGGTCACTGGTCTTGGTGAGCTTCCGCTTCTTCACCACCTCCACCTGGGGGAAGAAGCGGAATCTGAAGGGAAATTTTAAAAGGGAATCTATAGCTGATTTGGTGGTTTTAACCATCTTGAAAAATATGAGTCAATGGGAAGGATGACATCCCATATATTTATGGAAAATAAAACATGTTTCAAACCACCAACCAGATAAGGGAATCCAGGAAATCTAAGAGATCTCTCATAAGGAACCTTTCTGTCTTTCTTCGCTCAATTAGCTTGATAGATGTTGATAGCATTGGAAAGTTCCTTCGAAGTTCCCACCATGTTCCAACAGTCTTCGGGAGATTAAATAAGCAGGGCGATACTAGAGTGGGTATCAATGTGAACGGCTTGCATTGCTAGACATAGAACAAAATGCAGGGCAGATCCTTCCTCCGCAGTGGGTCAGCCTTGACTGCAAAGGCATGGCTTGACCCCAGTCCAATGGAAAACATCTTCGCCTTTCGCGAAAACCATCGAAAACCAACATCCAACAAGTTAATCCCAGCTAGCCTAGGCCAAATAGTTGAACAATCCCTTAAAAAAAACATATCCATGGCAAATTTGCCAACACTTCAATGTTCGTCACATTCCCCACGGCTAACATTCCAGCACTTGACCAGGACCAGGCACCCACTCGAATCTGGGCTCCATCCTTTTGGGTGGAGGGGCTGGCTCCAATGTCTCCTGCTGATCGTCCCCATTTTGGGATTTACGGGGAGGCCTTGCTGCTGCATGTCCAAGAACCATCCAGCAATTATTCTTAAATCTGAGCAATTCTGAGCATCTGAAATTAAGAGCTGGATAAACAATCATATGAGTTTGCTGGGAATTTCCAATGATATGAGTTTCTGCAACCCTTCGAATTATTGCAATGATTGGTGCGTGCATCCCCAAAACGAAAGGGAAAACGACACCAAACCACCACTGAAGGGCAAACAACACAGTCAGTGGACAGACAATTCGACTGCGGCGTGACAACGGCAGCACAAGCGAAACAACAACCGTGACTGCGGCCTGATCAGGTCACGTTTCGAAACTTAGGTCGTGATATGTCATGATGGGTCATGTTTTGATGAAGCAAGCTTGACCATCGTTGAAAAACAGCACACTCTGTTCGCTCTGTTGTAATTACTCAGACTTCAACAAGCGGCATGAAGATGCATGAAGTACAGTGGTCCCACCTCTTCCCCTAACTTTCCATTTGTCCCTCATCGCTCACATCCCAACGCCAAGAAATGGCGGCCCCTGTGAAGTTCCAGGGAGGTTCTCCTCCTCCATGGCTTCATCCTTCTCCTTCTCTTCTTTGGCATCTCCATTACCTCAATGATCACCAGCTGGTGTTGCTGTGCCATTGAAACACGCCAACTTCCTACAGGTAGCTTCCACTCGTGAAACAACACCTTTCATTTTAATGGGAAACTGTTTAAATTCTGGCCCCGCACCTGAAACCATCAACAGAGATAGCCAAACCAGACTTCAAACTCCCAACCCGGTAAAAGTAGAACATTTCCCCAACAGGCCTTGACAGTATCTCAACATGAACATACGACGACATGCACATAGAGCATCATATAGATTGCCCCGTTAGTTGAAATGATTACGTGAATTAATATCCCCAATACCGTGCGTCCATGCGTCCTTATCATGGCAACTAATTTGATGGGCGATCATATTCTATAATTGATATTACATTGTATGTGAATATATGTGATCACTTGTTCATGTTTTTTGTCAATTTCTTCAACTTAATATGTTTCTTTCCTACATGCGGTGTGCATATCACTTTTATTTCAGGGCACCGCAGTGCAGCTCCAAGTTGCCATCAGCCTCTTTGGTCTCGTCCTCCGCGTTCTCCACGTTCTCCGAGGTCTCGGTCTCCATGGTCTTCGCGCCGTTCTCCGCGGGCGCCGGCGGCGCCGTATCCGCGTCCGCCGTTGCCTCCGCGGGCACCGCCTCCGGCGCCGCGCCGTCCGGGGCGTCCGGGGCATCCGGGGCATCCGCGTCCGGGGGCTGCCCGGCGCCCTCGGGGGAGGGCACCGTGCCGTTGGTTTCTGGGGGTTTCAGGCAGGTACAGGTGAGAATCATATGGGTAAAATTGGGTGAATAAGTAGGTACTGTAGACATTAAATATGAACAATCAAGGGGACCATCAAGGGATTGCAGTCTATTGCAATATGACCATGATGGATGCAGAGTAATCATGAAACAATAGAGACACGGCCATGAAAATTACTGGGTTGAACCGGAGTCAACATGCCTTTGCACCCAACGAAAGAGTAAACAGGTGATACCAGGTGATGATGAGGTTCTAATTTAATTTTTCAACCGTCTTTGGATCTCAGCAGCTAGAATTGGTTGGTAATTGGGTCATCTGGGCACCAAGCGTATGCTAAGAAACCAAATGCCATAAACCTCATTAACTATTCTTAACAAGTCAGCCTACCCTAATCTCTTATACACCCTTGAACTGTAACATGGAACAACGACAACTAAAACATACTAAATAATATCAAATAATCAAATACAACTTTCGAAACTTCAATAGGAATTGCCATCTTCCAACCCCACTCCAATCAGCACCCAAATAGCTCCCGCACGGTCCTTGGTCTCTTTGACTTCCTCAGGCTCGGGGGGGAGCTCGCGCTTTTCTCGCACAATTTCCTCCACCTCCTCCTCTTCCACCATCTGCGCGGAGTCGATGGTGAAGGTACCATGCCTTGGAAAAAGTTTGAGGTGCTGCACCGCCAAAGTTTGAGGTAAAATTGGTTGGTACTCATGACTCATGATATTGGTGCGCCCTAAAGTTAAATTGATTAAATTGTTGATCATCACTTTTCCATATTTAAATAGCCATACCCCATTTTGAGACAGAATCATGTTCCCAATTTTCCATGGTTTTAAGTTTAAGGGTTCCATAATGGTGATCAGGGCAGGGAACAAACAGCTGTGGCTAGCTCTCCTGCAGCTGCACAAAGGTCTACCCACATATATACATGAATTACAATAAAACAGTTGCTAAAAATCCACAACTGTGTCTAAATAATATGAATAATCAACTGTACATATATATATATATATGTACGGGGAGTATATATATATGTACGGGGAGTATATATATATATATATATGTATATTATATTATAATATATATATATATATATGTGTGTATGTGTGCGTGTGAGTGATTTCAATGTATACATATATGATATATGTGTGTGTGTGAGAGCACAACAATTGTCCAAATGCCCTTCGCATCTATGATTTTGACCACATAAACATATTGATCCCATGAACCGAAACTTCGCATCAGCCATATTGGATCCAGTTCTTAATGGGGTATCCGGTATGGCACTTAGGAAGGTTTTTGGAAACTGCCTGCTGTTTGCAGGGTGGATCCTTATGTTGCTTATATGCTCATTATATACAGTATCCCCATTAACTGTGGTTTGTTACATGCCTCCACTATTGTTGATTCAATTCCCTGTTATCCCGATCTTCGGACAGAGTGTTCATAGCCCATTGCCCAAAGACATCCCTGAATTAATTTGGCACTTCGATCCATGGTACTTTATGCATGTCAAGTCCTGCCAAATATCTATTGATATCCATGTCCTATCTATTTTGGTTTGGGTTTTGAGTCCATGTTGGTTGCTGAAATCCATTTTATCCATATTAAATCAGCTGTTCCTTACTGAATTCAATCTTAATCCATCTTCAATTGCTTCTTAAACCATCTTAAACCAATCATATTAAGTTAAAATCCGTGTTGGTTGGGGTTTCAATTTTTCCACCATGTGCAGCCAAGGTGCAGGGTCAACCTGGCCTTGACCTTCACCTTTTTCTTCTCCGTTTGCTGCGGAAGCTCCACCCGAAACTTCCCCAGGCTCCGCGGCGTCATGGGCAGCAGCGGCGCGTCCTCAGTGAACTCTGCCGAGAGGTCGAAGGGCTCCTGACGGAGAACCGTGGAATCCGGGGAACATAGGGAAAACCTACAGAAAACCCCTTGGTTTTCATGGATTTTCAATGTTTTCCCGACCTGCCAGGTGAGGGTCTCTAGATTTTCATTAGAGTTGCCTTCTCCTTCCCTTCCTATGGCTGGAGCCCACTTTCCTTCCGGTAAAAGGTCAGCATCTTCACAGTGTTCATCTGCGAGCCAGCCGGAAAGAGGACGGCCTGAAGGTGCCCAACAAGACGCGGCCGGCGCATGCTGGCGCTGGAGAGTGAAAAAGGTGGATTTGTGTCACTTATATATGGTATAAGTGGTATAAGATGGTATAAGGGGATTACAGTCTATATTCCCCTTGTTGTCCCAATTGAATCCGGTAATCAAACGTGGCAATTGAACACCCCCCAAGTATGGATGATTTTCCCATTAACATGTTCATGTATAAGGTATTTGCCATTGCTGCATTTGATTATATACCAAAGGGTAAAGAATTGAATGTAACATCTCACCTATCATCCAACACAAAAAACATGTAAGTTCTCAACTAGGATCATCTTCAACAAATCATCCCATCATCATACCACAAAGCACCGAAATAGAACACCCATACGCGACACAGATCGACACAGCACCCATCAGAAATCGTTTCTGATTGATAACATTTGATAACTATATATCCTCCAACTCTATCCTCACTATCCTCGAACTATAGCTGGTTGATAAAACACTGACAATCCTGGTTGTTTGTTAACATTCCCTTGCCCTCCAGCCAAGTAGATGTGCACAAATCCATCATTTGTAGATCATTCCTGAACAGGAAACAACCGCAGATTTCCATATCTTAGTCTACTGGAAAATTATTCCCACGACAACCCCATAATTGTCTGTTAAATCGTACTTTAAGCCATAAAATGCCATAAAAATCCCATATGCCATACACGAAAATCCCATCAAATTCCATTTTTGCCCCTTATTTCTATCCAGTTCTCTCATTGCAGTCCCAGGCCTTCTTTTCACCGTTCTCCTCCTTGGGCTCTTTCTCGGCTCCATCCATGGGTGGAGTATCACCTCCCAGGCCCAGCCAACTGATAGAGACGCCGAAGGGGGACACGTCCTGGAGATCGGGGTCCGCGGGGTCTCATCGTCATGGGGGATACCCCCAGCTGGATGGCTTTCATGGAAAATCCCGACCCAAAAAATGGAGAACTGGGGGTAGCTCCATGCCTTAGGACACCTCCAAGATGGATTCACATCTGAGCTTGGTTTCCATGGGGATTTCACCAAACTAAAAAAAAACACGTGTTTTTTTAATAATCAACATGCATATAAGTATATAAACATCACTCAAGGCAACTGAGCTGATTTGCTGTCAGCTTCCAGTTTGTTCTCAGTTCAAATTTCTAGATCTTGGAAGTCGAGAGGCTTGGAACCGGAATTTCTTCTGTTCAACTCGAGGCAAGTTGAACTTTGCACCTCCATCTGCTTCCAAGCCGCCAGATCCCGCTGCATTTCTTGGTGGAAAAGGATCCAAATCTGGTTGATGGTATACCTACCCCTCTGAAAAATGATGGACTTCGTCAGTTGGGGTTATGACATTCCCAGATGTTTTTTTCAGCCCACCAAGCAGCGACCGACCAGCGACCAAAAACTGCAGTCCTTTACATCGAAGTCCCGAACCTTGTACAAAGGTGACAGGATGGCAGCTTGTAAAGCGCATCCTCTTGCCACACTCTCCTGTTGAAAATGCACCCAAAGTCCCCAAACCATGGGCCCTCAATCGGAATAGATCCACTAAGCCAGAGCTGGTTGTGTTTTTGTGTGAGGATGGACTTTACTTGAAATTGCTCAAGCTCGAAAATGTGGTCATTTCAATTCATTTCATATCATTTCCTCTGGGTGTGGGATTTTCATGAAACTATTTTTGAGGTTCTGGCCTATTGGTTCAGGTTGCTGGGATTTCACCCCACTAAAAAGAGCGTATCCGATATACAGCACCCACTAAAATGATAGAAAGTAGAATCCTCCTAAAATGGTGGTAAGATATATAAGATATGAATAGGGGTATTATAGTCTAATATAAGCATCCTAAACGTTCCATTTCTGCGAGACTTTCCATGGGCAACTCACCAGCCCGTCATATTGCTGTAATGACGAGATATGACAAGCCATACGTGACATGCAATGTGTAGACCCAGATCACGAATTCAAATTCCATCGTACCAGATTTGCAAAGCTCCAAACATTAGATTTAGGTTCATATGGGTCCATGTATGTCCATGCTGAACCCAAAGCTAGGGTCTACATCTTTAAATATTTTCGATGCAATTTAAGATGAATTTAAGTATTCCCCAAAGATATTTCAGATATTCCCAGCTCCAATGGATGCATTTACACTGTTCTTTACCCAGCACCTGCCTCCTGGTTCATGGTGGTGGAGAGACCCTTCCCGCCGAAGGCTTCAGAACAGAGTCGCTTCACCCAAGGCACACGAGAACCACCTCAAAACTGCAGGGCTTTCGCGCCAAGCAACAGATCATTTACCAACAGTTTGGACATGTTTGGACAACAAGGGCTTAAAGGGTTTCTGGATGGGGTTTGTTCACATTTGTTGACCACCAATAGCTGATCAACGGCTTATATGACTTACTCAATCTTATTATATATATATAACCACACCATCTGTGGGTTGCGAATCCCTGGCTCTCAGAAGCAGGTGGTGGTAGGATCATCCAATTCCCACCCTACATGGATCTAGACAGGCCCATCAGCATCCATCAGCATCCATAAGCATCACCCCCCCTCCGATCATCCCAGGAGGCCTCCTACGATCTCCACACTATCGATCTGATCCAGCGGCACTTCGGATGCCTTGATGGCGCTTTGGAGCACGGCCTTGCAGCGTTCCATCAGCGGTGCACACTTTTTCTCAAAGTCCTCGCGGCTCCCCAGAACCCGAAAGGGAAAGGGAGCTGGGTCCGTGGCTACATGCTGGGAATTGGCCACATTGCTGTTGGCTACAAGACCCCAGTGGTTTATTGGTTCGGGTTGTAGCTTATAGATGGTTACTTGGTGGCTCATCCCACTGCTCGTAAGTGGGTTATAACCTCAGTTATAAATGGGATTTTTGTAGGGTTAATCCACATCAATCACTGGGGTTATAACCCACTTACGAGCAGTGGGTAGTTCGCCACCAAGTATATATGGTTGTTTTCTTCCCAATTGCTGCTGCATCATGCTGCATCTGCTGCCACGCCCCCAAAACTCAGCTCCTCTCGGCCGATCTGGCTGTGGAAGTCTTCATCCTCCATCAAACATTCGACGCTCATGTTGGCTTCACTATTGGCACTGAGCACCTTCTTGCCTCATTGCTGGACATTGGTGGATATAGACAAAAACGGAAGACCCCCCATTTGTTGGCATCCCCAAGGCCAAACTGTCCCATTTCTGAGGTGGCCAAGTCCAAACCAATCCTGAGAAGGGCCAGTTTTAATGATGTTGTCAGGTCTGGATTGAACAAAGAAAACAAAAAAAACGAGAGAGACACAAACTTTACCCATCCAGTCACACTTCGTGACGGCATCTTCTAATTTGAAGGCCGACTTCTTGTTGCTGAGGGGGTCACATCCCACCTGCAGGGGGAAAAGTTCGGGGTTCCTCCGCAGACGCGTTGAAGCTAAAAAACTGCAATGTAGAAACCACTGGCCTTAGATTCAATATGATTCAATAAAAACTGTGGGGGGGTTGCAAATGAGTGCAAATGGTGCGGGCTGTGGAATCTACAATTTTCAAATTCCTCGGACGCAAAGACCCGTACCAAACTTTCAATTGGAGACAAACTTCCTCATACATCTAAAACCTCTACAATCTCCACACCGCAACAAGGCAGAATTTGGCACATCATGTAGTAGTAAGGATGTCCAAACAACTTGGTAGCTTCATCCGGCGCCATTTTGGGAACTCATGAGTTTTATACTTCCAGCTTAGTCACCAAAGGTCACACGGTAGAAAACAAGCATGAATCCTGAAACATGCTGAGTTTCTAGTGACCTCCTTCAGGTTCTTCCTCGAAATTCAGATGTGCATAACAACTGTCATTCGGATCAAATCTCTGCTGGTCAAATGCGTTTTTCCTTCTGGTTTGCTAACTCCCCATCGGGGCATTTCACTGATGTGACTTCCAATTTCTCAGCACACAGACTTATCTGACAAGATTCTATTTTGCCTATTAAAAATTGCCATAATTAGGAGGGTAGATCATACGGTAGATCCTCTGTTTTGAGCACACTCACCATTATGCACCGTTGGTGGAAAAAATCCAATGATGTGTTCACAAACTATCACATTTTTCTTCAAGCAATAAGTGGTTAGTATAATTATAAAGAATATTATCAAATATTATAGTTGTAGGGGCAAAAATATGCAAACATCCCATGATTATACCCATGTGTTTCGACCCCAACGGCAATTTTCGCCGTAGTCTACTTGGTGGCTCATCCCACTTAGTAAGTGGGTTATAACCCCAGTTATAAATGGGATAAGTAGGGTTAATCGGTTAATCCACTTAGAACTGGGGTTATAACCCACTTACTAAGTGGGATGAGCCACCAAGTATGGATGTCTTCAGCCTTCTTCTGGAACTGCGCGGCGAACTCCCGCATCAAGCACTCGTCCATGTCACGACCTCCGACCCGATCCGAGGTCTCGCTAAGCACGTGCAGCTTGCCACGCACGAATTGGACAATGCTCACGGAGAAAATGGAGTGCCCCATGGAGCAAAACCTGGAGGTCCAGTTAATTCCAGAAATGTCAAGAAACATAGTGATAGATAGTGAATGATAGTGATAGATAGTGATAGATTGGGGACGATTCAATCCATGTGGGAAATCTGGGGTGTTGTACATCGCCAACGGGGAACTCGTTTGGGATATGACTTTTGGGGCTGAAATACCTCGATCCCGGCCACGATCCCATGCCATGCCCCAGTAACGCCACGGTCATGGGCTTCTCCGGGTCGAAGTCATTGGAGCGATAAATGCCATAGGCCAAGGCTGTGGCCGTGTGCTCGTTCATGACGCGCAAGATGTTGAGGCCGGCGATTTGGGCCGCATCTAGAACCGCCTCAATGGATGAGGACTATCAGTGACCTATTTATGGATGAGGACTATGGATGAGGACTAGAACCGCCACCGGCTGGATTCTAGGGGCAGCGCAGGAACTACAATTTCCAGTGGAATTTACAAAACAACAATGGATAAATCACTTGAAGTGAGCCAATCCGAATTGCAAATTGTAATTGGGAATGAATCCATGTTCAGTACAATGTGAAATCAAGCATCCACCTGCCAGTGGTTTCCCACGGGGTGTGCCGACACTCCCCCCGATGCACCTGACGTTGAACATCGCAGAACGAGGAGGGCACTGCAATAACCACGTCCTGCACCTGTCTCAAGTGACAGTTTTGGCAAGGCAATCGTGGCAGGGGGAAGTGACAGTTTTCTTATCTTTTCTTGAAGATACATCATCCACACATGGAGGATTTCCCATTATCATAGGTTCATATAGGTTCATTGCCATTTGCCAACGTCCGATGATCAGAGATGAACGCTTTTTCTTTGAAGAAAGCAACCGTTCCTATCGCCTTGCCTCCGCCAGAGCCAATAGCTACAGAATTTGTAGCACCCACTTTCAGCAAGTTAATAGTTCCACCACATATCTTTTGGCTACAGTACTGTAAGTGTATGCTCGCATATTCCTGCTTTCAAAATTATTCGCAAATATGGTGCCCCCAAAATCCACTGTTTAGTCATTGCCCCATTATGTAAATGGCATTTCTGGGGGTATCCCTCGTTTTCAGACACACCCAAAAGAGATATAGTTGGCTGTGTATCCCAGAAGCATCCCATCAACATCTCAATACATGCAACTATATAACATCGCCGTTCGACCATTGATGATACTAAACATCCCATTCAAGCATTATTAAACATCCCATTGGTTACAAAACATCCAATTCAACCAGCAATCCCATTATACAACATCTAACATCCCACTATCAATGCCATTAATCCACCATTCTTCAAGGGCTGATGGCGGTGTCATGCGGTGACATCCTGCCTTGGCTTGACACCACTTCTCCGAAATCTCTCGGAGCTTAGTGAGGAACATGGCCGTGCACTGCGTGGAGGTCATCTGTCTGGCCTGGCCGCGAGGGCGGCCAAAGTCCCTCGTGGGCATAAAAGGTTCGTGGAAACCATAAGGCGTTGCAAAATGTATAGCTGGTTGGTGGTATACCTACCTACCCTCTGAAAAATATGAAAGTCAATGGGAAGGATGACATCCCATATATTATGGAAAATGAAAGTCATGTTTGAAACCACCAACCAGATAGGGTTGATTCATGTTGATGCTTGTGTTCCGGTACATGTTGGTGACCCGGAATTATCCTAAGCTCTTCTGCCGGATCTGTGGGATGTTGGCAGGGGATCGTCATCCCAAATGCGATGGAACATAATATAACAAACCAACAACCCGCCAAGGACATATCGATTTGCTTCAGGATGATTCGGATATGCTGCTTCGAATAAGCATATTCTACGCAGTACGCAGTGAGAAGTGTCAATCACACACACCAAGATTGAACATCCTTGAGACATCCTATTCTTGGTGGTGCCACAGCGCCAATAGGGCCAACATCCCCATTACCTGCACATGCCGCGGCAGCGGTGCCGCGCCTCACCCTTGTAGGTGACGCTGTACCCTGCGAAGCCGTCGTCACACTCACACAAGGCTGAGGTGGACCAAAAATGCCTCAGTTTCAACGAAACCGCCTCCATTTCTGGTGATTTATTTTGGCAAACCAAAAAGACCTGCGGCTAGAGAAAAACGATGAACAATCATCAAAAATCCATCCTTCAAGGTTTTGCTGGGGAAGATATGGACGATGAGCTCTGGGTAAAACATTTCAGGACTATATACCCTCTGGATCCCTCTGGTAAACGTTTACATAACTATGGAAAATCACAATTTTTAATGAGAAAACTCACTATAAATTACAATTTTCAATAGCTTTTTGTATGTTTAGCAGAGGGTATCTTCTGCTGGACGTCTTAGTGACTGAAGCAACGCCCATTTTACCCCGACAAGGCCGCCGAAATGGTGCCAGTCCAAGCCGCTCATTCTGCAAATCTGGCGATTCTAACCTGAGTTCCCGGAATTTGGGGCTCCAGCTGTGCCCCAATTTTTGGAACAGCCAAAAACTGCCACATCATCCCCAAATAGGCATTGGAACATCGAACAAAAACATGGGTTGATCCAGGTGAGGGACTTTCGTCCCAGCAGATGTTTGAAGTTTCTGCAGGTGTTCTTGGCATTGGAGCGGATCTGTGCTAACGCCACATCTCCCAACAATCGCTCTCGATCGTTGAAACCCGTCAAGCTGGGGGTTGCCCGCTTGGACACCTGGCTGTCACCGGTCACCGATGGCATCCCCTGTTAGGCAACCACAACCACCAATGGTTCATGCAGGGGTTTGATCACCATCATATCACCATCATATCACCATCATTCACCAGCTACATTTTTGAGTCCTACATCCCATCATCTATTCTGGAGACTAGACATTTCACTGAACTGAAACCAGGCAATTTCGGTACTATATAGCTATCATTCCAGTGAATATCACATCCCATCCAAAAAGGCTGTGTTCCTCTAGTACCATCCCGCCAACAGTAGTGACCAGCCTCATTCTGCACAATGTCCACGATGCCCTTGCCAACATATGCGACATATGACTCACCTTGGCTTTACTTTAGGGCCCCCGCAAAGGGAAACAAAAACTCAAACAAATCCCAGTAGAAGACACTAGAAATGGTGGAATTCAGCAATGGCTAAATATAATGCTAAACACGTGGATTTTTTCCCACCTCCAAATATCATGCAGCTTTCCCAGATCTTTAGTGCTATTCTGGCAGTTTTCCCAAACCCATAGGATCCATGGTGCTGGTATATATGCTAACATTTACCATCAATATACCCCAAATGTTAGTATATATACCATACATGGATCCTATGGGAAATTGAGGAAACAACTCACTCCAAGTCACTGGCCCCAAAGTCAATGCCGCAGACTGCCGGCTTCGTTGTCATCGACGGTACAGGTGCCGTCTACCCTCGGAGTGGTCGAGTTTCGACGTGGCACACAACGTGGGCGGGTCGTCGCGAAACTGTGCTGCCGATTGGCCGAAATCCCCAAAATTGCAGAGCCAAAACACCTGCGAAAGGGAACTCTGCGGGGCAGGATGTGTTGCGTGAATGCCATTCGATGCCATTCAAACTCGGTTCCCACTTTGGCTCCATGCAATGTGGCTTGTATGTCTTCCCTCGCACGTGAAGCGAGTAATCATGGAGTGCTATCTGGCTCACCAGTTGGACACATGTTCTGCGCAGGGATTTATGCCCCCCCGCAAAGTGGGCACACAACATGTCAACATGCGCCAACATGCAGGGACCCAACTTGTTACAATCCGTTTGGGCATCATGTTGCATCATCCATTCAATGAACATTGTTGATGCTCAGTTTCCCATTTTAGTCTCAAACCAATATTTATTTGGCGTGGAAAATCTTTCACTTATATGATTTTCCCAGCTATAAACCATTATAAACCTCCATCTATAATGCTTTTTTCCATGTTTTCCCTATATTTTCCTATATGTTTCTATCATTTTCCCAACCAGCCATTAGTTCAGGGACTTCCCCAACCAGCCATGCCACGTTCGCAGGCTCTGCGCCTTCGATGCATCGTGATCCCGCCGGGTGGTCCTCATATAGGCTCCATACTGAGTGGCAACCTCCATAGGGATAGTTAGCACTATTTAGTACTATCTGGTTATTTAACGTAGCTATGGAAAATCACCATTTTTTTTTTGGATAGGTAAATCATCATAAACCCTCTATAAATGGACCATTTTCCGCTATGTTAAATAGCCAGAGGGTAATTTAATAATCAAATGATAGGGATAGTTAACACTATTTAATACTATTTAGTAGGGATAATATCTTTTCATATTCATGGATATTCATGGACGTTACTTTTACTTCACTGAATTTAGCACTGATGAATGTTATATAATGTTATTATCAATGGCAAATCACTGAAACACCAGACCCATGAACTGGCAACCTCGAAACGAAAACGATGATCAGCATGGGATTTGGGGCGTGGGATCCCCATGAATGCCCCAATTCCATCCACGGGTTAATCAAACATGTTCAATATGTTCCCACTAAAGAAAAGGGCACATTTGGAGGTACACACAATTTTCAGACACAGCCATTTTGGATATGATTCTGGATCCCATGATTACCCCCATCAATGTCCCCTTAACCATCCTTTTTTTTTACTGGTTCAAGCACCATGTTCAAACAAATGCCATCATGCAATATGTCCCATGATAGTTCCAGTATGTCCCCATAAAAAAATTGGCGACATTTAAGAATCTCCATGTCTAAGTCAGAAAATCTGGGATCCCCAGTTGATTTCCCTTCGAGTTGCCTGCTGGCCATGATGTTCTCCCGCGCTTTTCGATCCGCGGTGCGTTGCTCAGCGGCTTTCCATTCCTGGGCCGGGGCCTGGACAAACGAGTCATAAGGGTCATACAATGTGGGGCCCCCCTCAGTTATAAGTTGGTTTCTAAGCCCCAGTAGTTATAAGTGCCATACACCATAGTTATTGGAGCTATAATTGTAGGTTTTGACCAGACTGTAATTGACAAACGAACTTCAAATCAGCCGGTATACATAATTTAAAATCAGGTTGTCAGTGAACCAAAATCAGTGTTACCACATAGCTATGTAGGCTGTTGAACTGGCTGATTTGGTAAACACAAAAACGGCATAGCTACATAGTAACTAATTGTACTGAAAGTGATTTCACATGTGGGGGCACACTGAAATTGACACCGCAAAATGTTCGTGCTGTCTTGCTGTTTGAGAGGCACCCGAGCAAAACAAGTTGCAGAGAGAACCATGGATAATGACCCTAGCAGCCTTGGAGAGTGACAAAAACTCAAATGATTTATATAAAATTCCCCCTGGCGACAGTACTTTGTGAGTCAGTTCCGTTCTGGAAGGAGCAAACCACAGCAATGTCAGGTGTTCGGCCCTGGGCCGCCGTACCAGTTTGGCAGCTTTTGGCAAAGGCGTCGGCACCCTTTGGCTACGACAGTGTGCAGCAACAGCAGGAGGTCTTACGGAAGCACAGCGCACATCCTCCGTTTAAGAAGCCCCTGCAACGCAACTTGTACCCTCTGGTAAACTAACATAACTATGGAAAATCACAATTTTTAATGGGTAAATCCACTATAAATGGCCACTTTCAATAGCTATGTTAAATTACCAGAGGGTACCCTCTGAAAACAAGGGGTACTGTACTGGCCCTTTGGGGGCCCCAACGACTCGCCAAAGCGGTTCTCGAAACGATCCAAGCCACGTGGCTTCACACCCAGCATGCGGTAGTACCTAAAGGTGGCACCCATGTGGGTTGGAAAAAAATGTGAAGAAATGGGTGCAACCATGGTATCAACCCAACTGGGATATGGGGCCCCCAGAACTATAGCTATAGCATGCTATAGCTATACCACATCCACAAGTAACATCATATAACTGCACCCCAAGTAGAACTGGAGGATGAAATGCGCTGGAATGGTGCCCAGCTTGTTGGGCCAACTGGCTTTTTCGGAAGCGGCTCTTAGGAACACATCTACAAAAATACAATTCAAACAGCAACAACATGTATAGATGTGGAAAAACATGAAACAACAAGAATAGCATTGAAGTTGGACTCTCAAGCAGCAACAACACCACAACTTTATACTTTATACACAGAGCTCCCTTTCAATGATCTCTCTCTCCAGAGTATTTGAACCATCCAACTGGAAAACCAGTTCAGCTTTCAGGGCTCACAACACGATTTCTCTTGGCAAGTCCTGAGTAAACTCAGTTGCTAAGCAGGAGTGGAAAACTGGCAGAAGCATGAATCAAGAACATAACTGAATCTACCAATTGTCAAAGGCCCTTCTCTTGCAGTTCCAGCCTCTCTTAATCAAAAAAACTCTTCAATGTCAGAGGAAGAAATCAAAAGAACAAGGTTCTATGGACAGGTGTGTCATGTGTGCACGAAACCGGTACACCTGGAACCTGATCTCTTTGGAATCTATTTGCTCTTGGGCATTCTTGGACCATTGGGAATCTGCAGCCTATTCTGCAATTAAAGAACATTTCCACACGCGTGCTTACAATTTTTCCCACCCCCCCAAACAAAAAAAACAACAACCAGGAAAGCAACCACAATAAGTTGAAGTCACCCAAATTTTCACCAACAGCAACACAGCTCAAGAGCTTACCACATCTCCAGAAACTTGACAGGTTGCCAAAATCTTTCCAACAAAAATTGACGATTCAGTCTGGGTGATTTAATCCCCAAAAGATGCTCGTCCAAGCCATCACCCCTAGATTCTTTATGCTTGAACAACTATAGTAACTATGACTGAGACAGCCAAATGATGACCCATCCAGCCTTACCCCGCTTCGGAATTGTCAACCCATCCAGGCCCTGAGGTCAGATCCGCCAGAGTAGCAGCAACCAACCCATCGGGGTTGCTCTCATACCTGGAATCCGCTGCGTCGAAGCTGATGAGGGGTCGCAGGTTTCACTACAAGAGGTTGCACACAATTAGGCAAGGCAATCTTCCGCAAAAGACTCTCCCTAGAAATAAGTTTGCTCTAAATATATGTGTCATATGTACACAAAATCAGTTTTTCCACTAACGCAGCTTTTCCAACCCCAAGCCAAATCCATCCAAATTCTTCCTACCTTTTTGTAGCCGTGTGGAGCACCTGTGACGTTTGGTGACCGGTTACCGGTTGGACACCCCACCGGCGCACTCGCTGTATTGGACAAATTGCACCACTCGGCGACAAACTTGTTTGCTCCTTCAGTGGTTTCGCAGGTGTTCGGCCCCGAGGCAAAAGTGCTGGTGGAAACCCAAAGGCATCTTTCCATTTCTATATATATGTCAAATTCAGGCCAAGATAACAAGCAGTTCGATCCTAAGTCCCAGATTCCTCGGGTCATGAACATCTTCACTGACAAGCTTACCATGGACAAACACGAGCAGCATTTCTGCTAGTGAGAACATGTTTAAGAACCTGTGGCCCGTACGATTTTAAGTCTTTAAAATCATAGTTCTGGATAAACTATATAAACTATACGGTACTATACGTGTTACAGATCATGCACGTAATGTGCAACCATTTTTGCTGGTTACCATTGGTTACCCAAAGATCTAGTTGCAGTCCCTGGCATCTGCCCTGGGCCAAGCCACACATTCTCCAACTTCGGCTTGTCGAAGTCCTGGTTTTTGAGCTGGACAGTCTGGTCGAGACGCAACCTCCCAATGGTACAATCAATGGATATCACCAGGGGATATGATATTATGTAGTTACAGTAGATATGTTAAAAATCGTGAAACATGGCGAACAAATGTAAACACGATTAATTAATTTAATATACACAGGTAACAAAGAATGTAGTGTAATCAGCATCTCTTCATATTTCACCACAGCATGAGTAATGGCATCTCAAGCCATCCTTGCCATCCACATGTGACTTGACAAATGCACAATCGCGATCAATCTCCATACCTGGGATTAACATGGAAAAACGACGAATATCTATGAATAAGCCCCTTAAAAAAATAGACCCGGAGCCCGGGTACCGCCAGTTTGTTAAAAAAATCTCTATAAAATGATGCCCCTCCTTATAAAATGGCAGTTCCACTATACCATTGACATTGCTGTTCTCCAGTCCCTCAAATTAATCGAACCCATAGCAAGGTTCAAGCCAACCCCGCCACCATCACCCAATGATCGACGTCCTTTTCGAAGTAAAGTGCCATGGCATCTGGCAGCTCTCGCATAAAACTGAAGTCCTGCGCTGGCAGACTGGCAGAATCGTGTGGAAAATTCATGGCATGGTGGTATACTGTTGGGATGTTGGTCCATTCATCTAACTGGTTGCAACGGTCGCAGTTTCCATGCGGAGACCATTTTTTTGTTGGGCCATTTCTGACCGTGGCTAGTAAAGATATTGGAGGAGACAATGTAGCAAATTAGCAGCTCGACACAGTAGGTGCAGAAATCCAGCGGAGCAAAACTTCTGTAGCGCAAAATCTTCTTCCAAAGTCTGTTTGGGGTCCCACGTAAAAAGTTCCAGTGACCAGTGTTCAAAACCCTCTGCCATTCCATGATGGTTTGCCAAATACGCATTCCCAGCTCGTTGATTATAATACTCCTCAATATACTGGGTAGCCATAATCATCAACCATAATTAACAAATTGTGCACACACACACACGCATATATATATATATCCCATATTCTTGATTGTTAAAACGCTATAACTATATAAATGATGTCTCAATCCCCATGACATCACTATAAAATAATCAGCCAGCACGGGTCCAGCAGCCACTTCTCAAGTGACAAACAGCTCCGAGTTGCTCTCCTTGCTCCCGATGCCAATGAAACACACTGAGATCGGATATGCCTAACGGTCAGCAAACGCAGGTGGCTTTTCCGGCCAAACCGTGGAATAGAAAGACATCGAGGGGGTTGGTAAATGGAAAGAGCCCACTGATTAGTGAACTGATTATTGATAGCGTGATGAAACAACATCCTACAAACCATTCAAGTTCTGTTGGGCTAAGCCCAGTTGGTTCAACCGAATCGGCATGTCTTTGAACATCCCGGAGCTGGTTTCTGAGGTTTTCGCTTGCAATTGCCTGGCGCATTGTTCCAGGAAATGGGTGCCCGATAGCATCATCACATGATAATGGTTGTAAAAAGTGGGGTTCCCATCATGGATGATGATGACAATAATTATATGAAACTCCCTATGATCATCAAACATAATTTATCACTTATCATGTTTCATAGTTAAAAACTATAAATGATCTGGGTAAATTGTAGTAATTCACTAAGGCTAGGCTATATTGGGATGATGTTGCTTACATTTACCATGATCCCAGTGAAGTCACAGAGAGATCACTATACTTTACCCAGTCATTTGATAGTTAAACCGTTAAACCCTGAAAATGATGGCTAAACTCTATAAATTATGGTTAATTCCTATAAATGATGGTTAAATATTATAAATAATTGTTAAATCCTATAAATGATGGTTGACCCCTACAAATGATAGTGAAACCCTATATATGATGGTTAAACCCTATATATAATGGTTAAACCATATAAATGATGGTTAAACCATATAAATGATGGTTAAACCATATAAATGATGGTTAAACCCTATAAATCATGGTTAAACCATATAAATGATGGTTAAACCATATAAATGATGGTTAAACCCTATAAATGATGGTCAAACCATATAAATGATGGTTAAACCATATAAATGTGGTTAAACCCTATAAATGATGGTCAAACCATATAAATGATGGTTAAACCCTATATATGATGGTTAAACCCTATAAATGATGGTTATATACATCCTATAAATGATGGTTAAACCCTATAAATGATGGTTAAAAACTATAAATGATGGTTAAATCCTATAAATGGTAGTGAAACCCTATAAATGATAGTAAAACCCTATAAATGATTGTGAAACCCTATAAATGAGAGTGAAACCCTGTATATGATGGTTTAACCCTATAAATGATGACTAAATCACTATTCAATGGCCATTAAAACTAGCCAATCCACAGGGCGAACCTCAGCTCTTCCACCACCTTCTTCTCGCTCTCCAATTCACCATCCTCAGGCGTAACGCAATATCCTCCACCAAAACATTAAACATGACACTTATGACCAGTCGTGATGAATATAATCATGATGCATATTCACAATGAATAAAAATGAATCTCCATCCTGAATATTCAATGATAATGGTGTGAAAATGAGGTTAGAGAACCCCGTCCATGATGACTGCCACTGTGAAGTGCCACCCCTTCATCTCAGGTGCAAGCCGTTAAGATCAACAAGACCTGGGACGCCAAACGCCGGCGAAGTCCCCATTCGCAATCAATGAGAATGGCAAGTGTATTTAACAGAAAATTTATCCTACCATAACCTATGCTATAACCATCATCTTCACCATATGTTCTACCAATGTTTCTATGTCATTCTATATCTTCCTCTAATTCCATCGATTTCGCCATCGATTTCGCCATGTTTGTTGCCCTCTGCCAGGGGCCCCCTGGCAAAGTACAGCATCTCCGGCGGAACGCTGGAGCGAAGCATTTCCTTCTCCGGCTCCTGCCATCTCCGGCGAGGCGTCGTACGGATGCCAAGAAATCTCAGGAAAAACATGTAAAAATGATGGATATATAGTGGATATATGATATATGAGATGGATATAGATGGATAGTGAGATTGATAATATGCATTTATAATTCTTGCGCATTTGACCGAATTTGACCCTGTAAATTCTGGGTCTCGAGTTCTTGAAGGCTCTTTGCTCATCTCATTGTGCTAGTTGATTGATCGGTTTCCCAACTATGGGTTGGGTCATAATCTCCTATTAATAACCCCGCTACAAAGTGGGGCCCCCTAGATAGCTAAGTTGGTTTATAACTCCAATAACTATGGTTTATGGTACCTATAACTATAGTTAATGGGGTTTATAAACCATCTTATAACTGGGGGGCCCCACATTGTAGTATAATCTCCTATTTCATCACCAATCAACCAGGCAGTCGGTCGTCTCCTGCACAAACTTCTTGGAAAAGCGGCCGGCCAAGTTTAGGACCTCTGGGCCCGTTGGCCCCTAAACATGAAGCCCCCCGGAAGAACAAAAAAACCTCTTGATCTGAAGTTCTAGGTCCCCAAAAGATTACCCTCTGGTAATTTAACGTAGCTATTGAAAATGGCCATTTATAGTGGATTTACCCATAAACAATGGTGATTTTCCATAGTTATGTTAGTTTACCGGAGCGTAATACCTGTAGGAACATGTAGGAACCACCTCACATATCTCAAGTTCTGCCGGTGATAACTTGACCCGCAAAATCCCTGCCTCCGCACAACAGGACGGACCATGCAACTGCACCACATTCAGTGCTCGACGGTAGGCCTGATGACATGGCAACACATCCCGAAATCCATCTGTAGCTGGTTGGTGGTATACCTACCCCTCTGAAAAACATGAAAGTCAGTTAAGATTATTATTCCCAATGTCTGGAAAGTCATAAAATTCGTGTTCCAAACCACCAACCAGAATCCATCTGCAGATTTCCCAGTTCAAACCTGGGGATTACCCAGCCATCATAGGTCACCGCAGCCGACCTGTAAAATGCCATCCAAGCCTTTGACCTGCGCCACCAAAAAACGCGCAAGTCATGTCATGACAATCCGCAAAATGTTGGATAGATATGGATAGATATGGGTAGATTGGTTTGTATAACATTGTATAACCCCATGTAATCATGAACCAACAGGGGTTTGAAGGAACACTGCTCACATGTCATGTTATAGATATTTGTTATAGTCAATTGGCATCATGGGGCTACTGAAGGACGTTCAACTCCATTCAAGGCTTCAAGGATCACTTTGACCTCTATATTCATATATTCATATATGACCCAATGGTAAGTATGAACCCCCGACTTCACTGTTATGAAAATTTTGACCCTAGCCGGCCTTGGGGTAGAGGAAATCGCCGGTCAAAGCAAAGCAATTTGAACAAACCTCAGTTCTTCGACTCGGGCGTCTTAGGGGAGACTGAGAGACTGTCCCCAAAAGGATGCGCCCGATTTTAGCTGGTTGGTGGTATACCTACCCCTCTGAAAAATATGAGTCAGTTGGGATTATGACATTCCCAATATATAGAAAATCATAAAATTCATGTTCCAAACCACCATGTAGCATGACAAAAGAAAATGCGCAGGTCATAAAACTCCTCGGCCTTTTACCCACGGTGGACCGTTGGAGCATCACAGCGGTTCCAATGACACCAGGGACCAAGGGGTCCCCCACGGTATGACTTGGAGGAATTTTGGCCCCGAAGCCATACACAAAATATTCGTTGCTGGTGTCATAGCTCCTGCCGATCCAGAAGGCTCATGAGAAATGGTGGCAATCAGAAAACCAAATGCGTCCAGATGCGAACCAAAAATGATTGAACTGAAGGATGCTGCACCGAAGAACCATTTTACTATGCGATAGCTGAATTGTCAGGAATGTTTGTTGGACTCTCACAGCAGCTCCCCAGGCCACAAGTCGTGGGACCTCTATGGACCTCTGATCACACAAGCTGCGCTGCACCCCTAGATGGACATAGTGAGGCCAGCATCCCAGCCTCAACACCTGCCCCAAGTTGCAAATGGCGTCTTCGTAAGCCGTGGCTAAGCCCTTCTCACATTGACCTTAGGACGTCATGGCTGCCACGGCCAGAAGATGCAGCAGTTCCATTGTCATTAGGCCGAGCTTGCAGCTGTGCAGGGAGTCGGGGTTCATCACGTCCATCTGGCCGAGTGGGTCATTTCTGGCGTGGCTTTTGAAGATCTGAACGGCAGTGGGAAACAGCATCAAAGATCATCAATCTGGAGATGGCCCAAAGAAAGGGCTGAAATTTCGCTCAAAACCCTTCCAACCCTCAAAATGCAGCTGTAAGTCCACGAAAGTCCTACTTGGTGGCTCATCCCACTTAGTAAGTGGGTTATAACCACAGTTATAAATGGGATAAGTAGGGTTAATCCACTTATAATTGGGGTAGTTATAACCCACTTACGAGCCGGGGGATGAGCCACCAAGTAGATCTTGGCTTCCCCGAAATTCGTTCCAACATCTTCCAACCGCTGCACTTTTCAGCGTACGTTGGAACGGGTGAAGTCGATCCCCAGCATCGTGCGAAGTTCGAGGCCCCCACCTCAATGGGGCTGTGGTGCTTTTTCAATAGGAATTTCAGCCCGAAATGACCAGGAAATCACTTGAAATATGGTGGCAAACTGTGGTAATTACCATGAACCAGAACTGGGGGATGGCAAAATTTACAGGAAACCGCACATGTGAAATGGAAACTAGCTGTTGATCCTGTTGATTCCCCCTAAAACGATCCATTGACTAAGGGGACTTAGGATGATTTAAGCAAACTATGGAGATCATGGATGATCATGGATGATAATGTGGGATTCACCTGGTTATGGTTTTGACCGCCCGTTTATGAGAATGGTTTAGAGTTGAATTTGCCATATATGCAATGCATCTTTACGAATAGAAAGAAAAACAAAGCAGTAGAACAAATAGATAGACCTAAGGAGTTCAAGAAACCAGCGCAAACAAACATGGGTAGTAGAGCCCAGTGGGGTCAATTCCATGTAGGGATGCAAAGGTTTTGTTTGGACCATGACAGCCCGAATGAAAAACGCAACCACACAAGCTGGCGAGATATGACTGGGTGTGTTTGACCAAGAAAAGCGGATCCAAACATAGAAAGCTGCCAACACACAGCAAAAATGCAGCTGGATTTAACAATGACAGGACGAAGCCATGAGATCAAAAGATGATTGAAGCTGAATCCAAAATCCAGCTGTGGTCATATTCTTTCACTTCCCAAGTTTAAGTGCGGCAGTATACTTGCCAAACATGAATTTATAGGATCAATGATTCATGTGACGCCTCAAAGCCCAACATGGCAACCCCAATCAGCCGGTGTGGCAACCCTCTGGGCAACCCTTCGCACATAGTCCAGGAAGGTGTAGGTCCTGTCCAGAATCATCTCCTGCGATCATCTCGGTGGGAAATGACAGTGACAGGGCTGGCAGCCCTTCAACCGACACTCACAGGCTCCTGGACACTCACCTGGCCTATCACGGGTCCAAAAAACAAGGTCTTGTCCGTGGGAGTCAGGCCACCTGGCAACGTACCCAACTGTTCTGCAACTCATCGCGACTTCTTTAAACGAATTACAGCTCAATCCCTATCTTTTTTGCTGGTGAAGCCCTTGGAAATGCCCATTTTCATTGGCAAAAACACCAGTAGTATAACTGCATCACCCACTCATATTTTGGTGATTCATCATCCTTGACCCCAGGAAAACAAATCGACACAAATCCACAACAACAGCGGATTCAGCTGGTCTCCCGCCTAGACCGCTGGTGGTCATCCGGGCAATGGTCTTGCCTGACCTGTCAAGGATCTTGAGGAAAATCATGGGATATCCATCTATAAATGGAGGAAAAACCATAAATTTGCATTCAAATGAGTCTAAATATTAGTCTAAATAAGAAAATCATTGAACTAAACTAAATGGAGGCTTTTCCAGGCCTGCTTGATTGCCAAAGGCTAATGATTCTGAACATGGGTGGGGAAAATCCACCACTGGTCTATCTATCTTGTTGTTTTTTTTTGGGTTAAATTTATTGGGAAACCCATGGTGTTTTTTTTGGCGTTAACACATGGGCAACAACCGTCCAGGATCATCCCCTTCGTTCGTTCTCGTGGATTTTCTGGCTGGAAAATCCGAAGAATGAACCATCCCTCTTTGGGTTGTCATATTACCAGCGGCTACAGCTGTATTTGGAACCAGCAAACATGATACCGCAGATATCCGCAGATAGACCCAAATATTTTGTCTGGACAAATAAAATTCATGTTCCAAACCACCAACCAGTTGTGAGATGGGTCTACCACATGTTCATCCATTGATTCTTTGACGCAATAGGGGCCTCTTCTTCTGTGAGGAGCGAATCGAGCTCATTGACACTTGGGACGTATAGGATCGCTGCGTGCCTGTGATCGTCTCCCGGCAAGCGGTTGACTGGTGCTTCAGCCAGCCATCTGAAACAGAATGCGAAAGACATTGGGGATCATCATTCCAAATGGGACACTGTTGAAAATAAACAACTATTATCAAATATTTGCAACCAACCAGTTGATGATGGTGGTTTCAGCAAAATCCAACAATATCAATAGACTGGTTGAATATGAATAGACTGAACAAACATGATTGGAGGTCAATCACCCCCGGTAGGAATGGAGCCTTCCCATGCAGTTTTTCACGGGAAGCATGAAGAACGCGTACAGTATTGCCAAACGATGCAGCGATGGTGCCAATACCAGCCGTGAGCAACCAATACATTTCACAAGTTGCAACATTTCTATCAGCTATCTTCCTGGATACATCTGGATACTAATCTTCTCTCCCTATTACTAACCCTCCCAAATGGAAAACATGGTGATATATTTTTACTATTAGGTGGTATTTTGTATTATCATCTATGTATGTATTAGGGTGCCCCTAATATTCCAATGAAAAACAATAATAATAATACAATAATAATAATAATAAACTCGATTTCAAATTTGATTAAATCCCTTATTAAAATTCATATAAAATATTGCCAAAAACTCGATTTCGAAGCTTTCCCCCAATATTCCATTGAAAACCTTAAACATAAAATAATAAATAAAAACAACAATTTCAGGTTTGATTAAATCCTTTCTGAAAATCTACATGATATATTGCCAAAAACTGGATTTCGAAGTTTTCCCCTAATATTCCAATGAAAACCTGACCTGAATAATAAAAGTAAAATATAAAACTTGTGAGATGGGACCCTCTATTTTTAGTTTTTAAAAAAATCGGAGGGGGTTGAACCCATTGTTTCACCATCCTGTTCTCCTATTGATTCTCAATTACCACAATTAAGAATCCAATTGTGCCCAACCAAAAACAAACAAACAGAAGTGCCACACCAGTCCATTTTTTTTTGGGGGGGGAGTTTTAGCAATAGGAAGAAGGGGTTATATAATGTTATATAGATCATCAGCTCACCAACCTGAAGATAATTTCCCCTACATTCACCATATGGTTTTTCATCTCGGTCCCTTTTCTGCGGCCTCGACGCAAGGTCTCTTCCCGCGACTCAGCCTCACTGGCTGCACCTCGGGGCGATTGCGCAGTTGGAGTGCTAAAGGAAGAAACAATGGATCAAAACTAACCTTGGTACCCTCTGGTCATTTAACATAGCCATTGAAAATGGCCATGAATAGTTGATTTACCATGATTTACCAATGGATCCAACATATCCAACATGATCACCCCACCATCAGTGCTGTTTCGGGGCCCCAGCTGAATTCCGAACTGAAGACGTGTTCCTGCAGTCCAGTCGAATCCCATGGACTGTCATTGGGATCTCGGGGTTGAGGATCAGAATTGATTAGAACCATTACCCATGACGGATCCATGGTGCTGGTATATATGCTAACATTTGGGGTATATTGATGGGATCCATGTTACCATATATAGCATACATGGATCCTATGGGTTATGCTGCATCATATTGCCAATTGCCAACTTGTAAGTGGGATCATGCTTCAACCTGGGATGCCCATTTGCTGGCCACGATTGTGAATCCGGACCTCCACGTTCCTGAAAAAAATGTGAACGAAGCTGACCCGAGGTGAAAGAGAGACCGTGTTGGTAATGTTGCATCCTGACTAGTAGCTGGGTTCGCTATTGTGGCTAGACATCTCCAAATAATTCAGCACCCCTGTTTAGTTGTCTTTTTTTTGGGTATTGTGGCCGATTTTTTTGCAGACCATGGATGTTTTCTAAAAAATGCTTAACGCATGCTGGGGCACAGCCTGTTTTTTCATAAAGGCTGTGGCTCAGCCTCTTTTCGTCTCAGCCCTCTGAGTGCAAAGTCAAAGCCTTTCCTAAAAGGATCAAATCGCTTATTAAAACCTTGTTAAAGAACAACTTTTCCACAAATTTCCAAGGCACTGGAACAAGAGAGGGTCCAATTCACTTTTGTAGGTTTGTTCCCAGGGTTCACAATTGCAGCAAACTTTTCCAGAGCTGATTCTGGAGCCAAGAGAAGAAAGGAATGCTTTTTCCAAAAGCAATTTGCTTTTTCTCTTTCTATTTCTCTTTCTCTCTCTCTCTCTGTGTCTTTCTCTTTATCTTTGTCTTTTCTCTAAAACAATTTTAATTAGTTTTCAATTGTCGCCCATTAAAGATATTAAAGTCCTTACTTAAATGTACGAATGCATTTTGTCTGGGGAACTGCTTTTTAAAAACTCAACTTTATATAGAGAGAGTATATTGCATTTGTTTGAGGGAGGGGGTCCCCACACAAATCAGGATGGAACATTAAACAAGTTGGGACTTGCATGAATTTGCCCTTAAGGATGCCTGATGTAAGCCTAGATTGGCAAGTGGACATCCTGTTAACCAAGTCAGACATGAGCCACTCAGGCCCCCTTCCGAAATGGTGAGCCCTGACCATACAGGAACAGACTTGACTAGTAGTTGGCCGCTGATATGACTTTTCGTGTGGTTCGATGAGAAAGGACCAAAATTTGGTGCTCTTGGAAGCTCTCGCAACACGCCCAGCCAACACACATCGATCATCCAGAAGAACAAGTGACATGCGAACAGCCCCTCGGCCCCAGGGCCTTTGACGCGACTTGAGTTCTTCGAGCAAGTGTATCCTGCGGAAATACCGAGGTACTTGAGCATCCCTCTTTCCAACTGGTGGCTAGTGCAGAATCAACTGTTGGTAACTGTTATCTATTGAAGGTTTCCTAAAATGGGGATATATGGGGATACCACCAAATTATCCAAAATTATCCAAAATCAGGCAATGTTTGTATTGATGGTTTTTGGGGATTCCCCAATTGAAGAAGCCTCAATCAACTAGAAATAGAAATTCGCGTGTCATTTTCTCCTAAGCTATGGCTAGTAAAGAATCCTCAAACGATCCTCGTGAAACAGAATTGAGGGGGCAGAATCCATGCATAGCAGTTTCCCAAAAATTCAATTGTTTAGCAGTTTAACACCTCACTCCTTAAACTCATGGATTTTCTGGCCGCATCTGTGTTGAGAACCTGATTCCTGCCTTGGATTCAGATGGATATTGAGAGCTTCTTTGGTCCTGAAGCGATGTCTGGCGATGTCTGACAGACATTCCTACAACTAATCCCGCCCAGAGTTCCATAGAAAATGTCTTAGCTTGCAGCTTGGAATTCCGCCCTCCTGCTTGCTACATCTTGCTTTTTTTTGCCTTACATGATTATCATAATTTCTGCCGTGCATTTTAGAAAGCACCGGTAACCAATGATTCCGCACAACTAAATTCAGACGTTTGCAAGATCCACCGCAAGCAGCACTCCTTGGACCCTAATGCAGAAGCATGGGAGCTGGATCTCTGATCCTGCGCAATTGATCACGTGATGGGAAATACACGTTGGAATTGCGGACCGGTTTTCCAAGAAGGAAATGCCTACTGGGACATACTTGGATTATACATCAAGCAAAGAATGAGCAGCCGGCGCCCTGGAGAAGGGTCAACTGCCCAATGGATCTAAGTCAGATTCATCGTGAAAGCTATGCACAAAGCCTCTGCATTGAAATTCACTGAACAGGTTGGTCATGCATGCCTTATCTAAGTAGAATCTCCCCGTTGCTGGTCAGTCGTCCTTCAACACGTGCGATTTTCGAGTTCGTCGAGCCGAGTCCTATGGCATTCCCGACCCGATCCTGAGGGGCTTTCGGGTCCCAAAAATCTGACCATATCCTTTACTACTGGGTAGGTGGGTCGCCACTCCTCCTATCAACAAATACCCTCTGGTAATTTAACATAGCTATTGAAAATGGCCATTTATAGTGGATTTTCCCATTAAAAATGGTGATTTTCCATAGCTATGTTAAATTACCAGAGGGTATCAAAAAGTCAGTTGAAAGTTGCAATCATCATTGCAATTGCAGCTAGAATGGGAGACAACCGGCCCATGGGCAAGCTTATTTTGGGAGAAACCTGGTGGGTCTTGGAATGTCCCAATGTCCCAGCACTCCATGAAGCTCCCCATAAAATAGTCTAGGTCTACCGAAACAAAGATGGAATGTGAAGATCTGTGAAATGGGCTTAAACCACCATCCCTGCCACTATTGCTAATGACATTGTTACCATGAAATGGAGCGCACACATGCATCAACCAACTCGGGTGAAGATGCACGGCGCTCCTTTGACCCGGGTGGAAACTGAGAGCTTCTTGGCTCCTGAAGTGATCCCAAGTGGGGATTGCCACTTTGGTGGCTTCAGAATATTGCTCCCTGGGATATTGATATATCATATAGTCTAGCCATATCTAACCATCTATTTTTTCTATATATCGGGATCTTCTTCCTCCTTTCCAATCCTGACGAACTTTGACAATTGAATGCGTTTAAAACAGCTTCAAACAACTAGCCACTTTCTTGAATTTCCGAGGCAGTCTTGTGTCTACGGAGGTCAAACATCCCCTTTCTGCAGCGGAACCTCCGAAGCAAAGGGCGAGCCATGGGAACTGGATCGATCCTGACAGGTCCGGCATCAAAGATGCCAAGAGCTGAGCTGGTTGGTGGTTGAGCCCTACCCATCTGAAAAATATTAGTGTAGTCAGTTGGGATGATGACACTCCCAACTGAATGGAAAGTCATAAAATTCCATGGCTCCAAACCACCAAGCAGTGATGTTAGAAACTCACCAAACCACAACTCAAACAACTCGTGTCCTTGGATTCTGGGGAGCCACCAGGTCGTTCCTGATCGCCATGCCGTGGCACAGAACAAAACGATGGCCGACTCTGTCATCCCTTTGTGGCTTCGACCCATGACATCTTCGGGATTCGCTTAGGATGCTGGAAGATGTATATTTCACATCAAACCCGCAGAATAAAAATCACTGAAGGATATGGGACGCCTTGCCAACCCATGATTGGACGCCACGCTGGTTGCAACCTCTGCTTGCTAGGGTTTTCTAAAAATCCTGCTTCATGTGACCTTGACAGTGGAAAAGGAGCGCGAGAAAGTTCGGCTGAAGGATCTTCCCACAGGTCCTCAGCTAGGAGCAATCTTTCGGGTTCTCTCAAACCTGCTGAGCCCAGCGTATGCAAATGATGCGGTCTCTTGGTTCATTACACTTCCGGATCACCATGATTGTTCACATGCATTCCGACATACTGTGGTTGCGAAATCCTGCACCAGTTGACAACGGTGTATAATTCCCATTATTTATAGGCTTTCAACATGTTTCAACAGGTGTTTTATCCCATTATATCCCATGATTTATAGGGTTTCAACCATCCTTTTGGTGTTTATCCTATCATTCATAGCGTTTGAACCATCCTTTTGGTGGTGCAGGATTTCGCAACCTGGTTGCTTCAGCCAAGTCTCCAAAGGTGGTGCTTCCCATGCGGCTGCCCAATCTCGCCAATGTGCCGGAGAAGGTTTTTCGTGCATCCTGGTGCAGCTACAAGCTCCATCTGGTAAACATACAAAAAAACATATGGAAAAACATGGGAAATAAATAGATTTACATAGATTTATATAAGGTAAAATAACCCCCCTCTTCCTAATGTATTAATCAAATAGGGCACCCCCCCAATAGATTAGTTAGTTCCTGGGGATGAACATAATCATAAAGCTATGGAAAATCACAATAAATTACCGTCTTTAATAGGTAAATCAACTATACATGGGGCCATGTTTAATAGCTATGTTAAATTACCAGAGGGTAATCCATCTGTTGTTCTTCCATTTCTTTCTGAAAACATGATGACAGATATTTAGCAGGATGCTCAACCATTTGTCATAAAAGACAGACCCATCATCTTCCATCTTCTCTTGGGCATCTCAAATCAGATCTTCGCGCAGCGCATCCCATCCCGATCCCCATAATCAGGGCCAGAAGCACCCGAACAGTGAGGGTCTGCCGATGTCGCTTGATCCTAGGCATTTCGCACTGATAGTGTCTATTGAAGAATGTTCTGGAGACACCATTTACTATACAGAAAGGAGCGTTATCCATTTAAATAAATAAATATATATATATATATATATGTGTGTGTGTGTCATTATACAGGTCCAGGATTCGTCAATCGTGATCTGATGGTGGATTGGACCCTGAGACTCCAAATCTCCAAGGAAATTCTACAGTAGCCTCGTCAGCCTCTATTTGATCCGAGGTGGTGCAATCCATTGAGTTGGAAACTCCTGTTACTGCATTGCTGGTTGGTGGTATACCTACCCGTCTGAAAAATATGAAAGTCAGTTGGGATGATTATTCGCAATATATAGAAAAATAAAACATGTTCCAAACCACCAACCAGATTGACTTGGATGCCATTTGGCTGAAACGGATGATATGGACGTGCCATACTGGACCGATTTCTCGTCTACTTCTCCATCACCACGTCTGGGTCTCCCGCTGTGCGTAGGTATATCTTAGCATGCCCTTCAACCTGGACAACATCACTGGGACGGTCCTGGAAATGCCATCAACTGGGAACACAGAACCCGAAACTTCCGCCTTTCAGATGGAGAAAAAAACCGAAAGAACCCCCAAGTAGTCAACTTCACACGGAAGCGGCGATGATTATCCTTCAACTTCATGGGGGCTGCGCGGCTGCGCACCTGATTGGCTCTTTTCTACTGGACACGCAAGGGGTTCTTGCAACAGGAACCCAGTATTCTACCAATTGACAGCCCATGGAGAGCAGTCTATGTCAGGATGTTAGACCCTTGTGTTAAAGATACTGTACTTATTTAGGTGACGAACCTTTGTGAAGCATTAGTGTAGACTCATGACTCTGGCAAAGGTTCAGCCATCAACCAGCAAGACACAATTTCTGTTGCTCATTGTTTGCCCTTTAATTCCATTCCAAATCTTCCAACAGCAATGATCAACGGTCACCACACATCGGCAGTGCAGGACGCCTTGGACCCTCTCTTTTACACAGCGGCATCTTCAAGTTGCGTTCCCCTGCTGCCTGGCGCAGGATTTGCGTAATGCCCAGAGAAATGTGTTGAAGTAACCATGTGGTATGACTCATATTGACGTAATATTGGTACCGGATGTGCTACCATCTATAAACCAAATATGCCATACTTACATACATACACACACACATATATATATATACAATTGTGTGCATACATATATATTTATATAATGTTGATACGATAACAAATATCATCATCTAGGATGTCACACCATTTTGAGCCCCCGTTTTACCAGCCTTCCAGAGTTCATTGAAGTTCATGACCACCTCCCCTAGAACTTTGGATTCCCCCAAGCGGTTCCAATCTTTGACGGTGATGATGAAGTCCTGACACCAGTTGATGGAAAGAAAAATCCTCCACAAAAACATCATAACATGGCCCAAGAAACCTTGGTGTAGTATGGGATCTATTCACTTTGGAGGGACCATGTGGCGATATTTGGAGGAAGGTACATGAAGGTACTGCCCAAACGGAGATGGGGATGGACTAAGCCACTAAGCTCCAGCATGGGCGAGCGCCCTGGCAAAGTGCTGAACTTCTGAACTATCAGTTTTTGCAGCCCTATTACAATAATCCCAAGTTGTTTGAAATGCAGCAAACGCATCAAACAGAGCAATGCTTTCTCCACCGCATGGTGCTGGTGGCTTGATAAAAGGCCTGTGTCCCGTAAGGCAGGTGCGTCAATCATGATGGGGCAAGCTTCCAAAGTGCTTGTTCTCACATGGTTGGGTGGGTAAAAGCTTGACCAAAGTTGAGTATCAAACCCAAAATTAACTTCCCATCCCAATAATGACATCACCCTAAATTTAAATGGTTCCAGAAATGTATGAATTCACTATGACTATGATATTTCTGTTTGTTTTTCCGGGGGGGAAAGGATTGCAACTGGGCAAAGTTTAACCTCATCACATCTGTGGATTCGTCTGAACATAGAGTAATTACCCCAAAGTCTCTTGAATTATTATCATGTGCCCAATTCTCCAAGTTTTGGGCAACACCCAAAAGCTGTTGGTTGTATCATTATATCTGATATCCATCACTAATCATTGCTCTGTGTGTTCCATTGTTTCTTCATGAAACGGTTGGTTTGATATCCCCAATTTCCGGATTGGCTTTTATATCCATTGTGACACAGCTACAGTATTATTACTGTTATCATTGTTATCATTGTTATTATTAGTATTATTTTATTATTATAATTATTATTATTATTATATATTCTGGTTGGTGGTATACCTACCCCTCTGAAAAATATTAATCAGTTGGGATGATTATTTCCAATATGTTAAAAATACAAAAATGTTCCACACCACCAACCAGTATTTCTATTATAATTGGTTTGATATCCCCTTGCGGTTGAATCAATGCTAAACCAGCAGGCTATATCCGGACCCAATTGTGGGCCAGCTGGTTCCCAACTATCGGCCCCGAAGATGTTCCTGTTCTGCCACCCCGTGGCTCACTTGGGCTGCTGTAACCACGGCATTCCCAAACCTGGCGCCGTTTTTGGACCAAAGATCATCCTTGGTGAAACCCCGAAAGAATTTGAGGCCCCCTGGATAGCTACGTTGACTTCTGTTGACTTATAACCAGTATAATTGGGGTTCATGGTAATTAACTATATGATACTATATGTAATTATTTCGTTGATGGGGTTTAGAAACCAACTATTAGGTGGGGGGACCACCTCCAAGATGCTTTGGCCAAACAATGATTCGTGCTTTGGGTTGGTGACTAGTGATGGTTGGGGGGGTTGAACCCGCAAGCAACCCTACCAAGAAATCATCACCCAATCGAGTGGGCCAAGAATAGATCGACCCCCACTGCAAGTTTTGAAAGTGATGCCATGTGAGGCCTTTGGATCAGAAACAATATTAGGCAAAAATCGGGCTTTTGTGATTCCGGCATATTCTGACTTCAACTACTTGGTAGATTTCATGGCTTTTCACCCCCCTGGATTTTGATGAATATCTTGGTGGTGACCAATGGTCGTTCCGAACCTGGGGTCCTGCGTTCTGCGAGCCTCGAATGGAGGGAATGGTCTCGGAGAGCCGTCCAGGACTCTACTGAGCCCATTTTTTATGCAGAAATCTTGGGCCCACGAGGGTAACGCAGCACGCCACTACCCCAGAGTTCATAACTCACGAAACAGTTTACAAAAAAGGGTGGTCAACAGTATATTATTATTTCACCAAGTCTAAGAATTGTATAATAATGGTTAATAGTGAGGATCATCACAATATCCGATTGTGGATAATCACTATTTTGAGGATTGTTATCACAATTTTGAGAATCATCCGGAGATTGGCGCTGGCGAAGATATCCCTGGGACTTCGACCACCTCGCTGCGATAGCAAGGAGCTAGCCTCAGCTTTGGGTTCCACCAGGGAACTCTGAAAAAGATCTCTTTTTTGCACCGCAAAAATAGGATTAAATGACTGCCCTAAACATCCTAAACTTTGGTTTTGGATGGAAAAATGGCAGAATGCTCACGCACCAAACCGCTGTGTGCATTCCATTGTCTTTTTCAATTCTTCTATAGCTTGGCCTGGCCTCTGAAGTAGTGGCAGCTGCAGTGACTAGTGACTAGAGTTATGATTTTACCACCGGGGACAGCACTAAATAGTAAAAAGTGGATCCCAAAACATCCCAAATCCTCAGTGGATCTTAAAAAGTGGATCAGATTGGGCCACATTAATTGCCATGCTGGGCGTATACTGCAACATTTGGGCCATGGGTCAAAACAATCAAGCATCAGCATCTTTTTTGCTCGAATGCGGTGCGGTATGACAAGTCAAGAACATATCAGATATCAGGAGAATAGCCTGGCAGCCTTTCAGAATACAACGGTCCTTCATTGGAATTACCATTTTATGAATTCCTGAGCCAGCCGAAATCAGCATTTTATGTCTCCCTGAATTCTTGGACCTTCATTAAATCCTTAGTCATTGAAATGTTCTTTCTGTCTTAGAACCCTGAGCCGGTCACATGTTTTGAGCTGGTAAGAAACCGAGGGCGCATGAGGTGCCACAGCAATAGCACTGTGCCGGGACATCGGTCTATGTTCTTGTGGGGCAAGTTTAAATGGCTAATCTTGCATACCAATCAAAAGATGGCAGGGTACGGGGTGATATATGCCCCATCTAGTTGTGGTAAAACGTGAAAACAACTCAACATGACACTCAACTATATAAACCACCCCACCATATCTTCAAAACTCAGGCAATAAAGCCCTAAAGCCCTGGCAGGGCTCATTGCAGTCACGTGCCTGTCGCAGGCAAAGGCTGTGAAGTGACTGGTTGGTACCTATCAGATGACCTGAACATAGGATAAAACTCGGCTTTTGAAGTCAGGTGGGCCATAGCGCAAAACAAAGACAAATGCTATGAAGCAACCAAACCCAAAGCCATTTCCATATGGCAAACACAACATTAACCACTGGCCAAAAATGATGTTTCAAACGACCTGCTCACCAGCAACATGTGTAATTCACCGGTTGTTCTGCCACGAAGCAAACCTGACAAAATGACAAATAACGTATCTAATCTTAAGCCCCTCATCCCCAACAAGATACTGAACGTGTCTTGAAGTCTTCAGGTGGTCACCTAGTGCCTTTTTCCTCAGCAACGCTGCCACTTTCCGGTGCTGCGCACGGCAGGCCAGATCATAAGCAGTTTTACCATCGTGGTCTTCTGCTTCCACGTCCGCCTTCAAATCCAACAGCAGGGCCCCAGCTTTCAAGTTTTGATCCCTCAATGTGGGTGGGGTCGCCGCCAAAGGAACCAACACCGAGGAAACGGCGTCACTGTCACCCAGCCCTTGGGCACAGGCGTGCAATGGACTTCTCCCCTGTTGGTCTCGAGCATTGATCGCTGCACCGCGCCGTAGTAGCAGCGCCATGACCTCACGGTGGCCTCTCAAAGCCGCATAGTGCAGGGCGGTCTGACCCAGGGCATCAACAGCGGCATCTCCAGCTGCCAACAGCTCCACAGCTGCCAGGTGACCTCCAAAGGCTGCTTGGTGTAGGGCGCTGCTGCTGTTCACATGCCGATGATCCAGATCAGTCACCGTTGCGAGCGTTTGAAGGACCTCAACATGGCCGTGAATGGCCGCCAGGTGCACTGGACTGCACCTTCGGCTGTCCAGGGCCGAAGGATCTGCCTGCTGATCCAAGAGCCATTGCACCACCTCCCAGTGCCCACAACTGGCGGCTTCGTGACATGCGGTGGTGCCCATGGGCAAAAATCCTGGCGCCAGTGCGGATCAGTGCGGCAATCTGGGGGCCTTGGTTCACCGAAAAATCTGGGTGGAACTAATTATAAGATCGGGTGGAAATATGTTGAAAGGCTGATCCACCAAGTCTTTAGAACTACTGGGAACCATCCCCACCTGGCAGCCACCACATGCGATGCAACAGCATGGTGTCGCGACCATGAAGCGTCCACAGAAATCTCAGGATCTCCACTTGGCCCGTGCGCGCTGCAGCAATGGCCACAGATGGCGCTTCTTTGGGGCTTGGGCCTTGAAAGGTCCTTAGATGATCAGTTCCGGAAGGGGATAATGGCTGACACACCTGGAGGAAATTCAAAACGACCTTAAACGTAACTTCTGGATTTGATACATGGTGGGTTGGTTTGTAGATTAACCAAGGTTTATGATAGAGATATCTATAGTCAATGGGGTTTATACACCAACTTATCACTGGGGAGCACCAGCTTGCACAAGTATTCAAAGTTTGGGCGCGCTGCATGATTGCTGGGGTTGAATTGGTTGCTTGGTCTTATACGCCTCCTGCCAATGTCGTAGTGAACCCCCCGCCGTGACTGCCTCATTGCTGGAGGCTTATGGTCAATGTAAAGCTACCTCTCAGCATGTTTAACAAGACCGCACCAAGGAGTCAATTTTTGGGTAGATTCATCTGACAACCCATTCTCCATGAATGACCCGCCAAGTACAAAATAATCGCATTCCACGATATTAAATACCACCCCAAAAACCTTGCATACTAATGGATGCCTACTAATGGATCATTTCATTTGGGGTCCCTAAAATGGTGGAATCTCTATATATACCAGGGCCATGTGTAACCCAATTCCTGGAATTTAACTCATTCATTTCAGGAACTGATCAAAGACATAAGAGATATTTCCAATTGGGTCAAGTTATAAACTATTCAAATGAACACCATCTCCCCATGATATGTGTCATAATATCAATCTAAATGCCTATGGATTCCCATAGATCTCAATATTTTCTGGGTGTTTCATCCCCTCCAAGCTTTAAACTTGCCAGAACGTCTCACACAACCAGCGCAAGATCTCCAGCTCTCCGCTTCTTGCAGCTGCCTCCAACATGGGCAGCAGCCCACTCGGAGCTGCTTCTGTCGCCAGCGACTGGAGCCTCGACCTCGGTGATGTGGGGAGCTACTGCCTGCAAGAATGGGGATTGAGAAAGGTCGAATAGGGATATGATGGAATATAATTAATGGTATATATAATTATATAATGGGTTAATCATTAATGGAATATTAATGGAATATAATATCATTAATCATGAATGCATTAAATGGGTTATGATGGGATATAATTTAATGCTATACCATGGGAATATCGTGGGAATTTCATGGAATCATCATGGATTTTTCCGGTAAACCAACAGTTGGCTGTGGAAAATAATCTGTTTTCATGGGGATTTAATATGATTGAACCAAGCCACCAAGGGTGACTGCCACCTTGTTAGATGATATCAAATGGTTAAGACATGTTAAGACATGTTAAGACATGTTAAGACATGTTAAGAACCCCCGAAAAACATGTCATGTTTCTTGGTGGTCAACATGCCCCTAAGACCTAAGAATTCATTCTCGGAGGGTTGTTTTTTGGAGCAACCGGGATCCCTTACAAAGGTCACTCACTGCATCCCCAAAAAAGGCCAGATGTGCACCTTGCCGTCTGATGACCAAACCAACCAAATGACAAAGAAACCGCATATATCATCACCAGTAGCACCACTTTTGCCCCCACATTTTCACTGGATATCTGAAACTGTAAAACAGCTCATATTGAACAGGCGACATCAATATATTATATAGTATTAATTACATGAATATAGTTTGACCAGTTTGACCATCCCTGACTCATTTATCACATGTTCGGCAGCATAGTTACAATTAGTTAGAATCATTCACAAAGCTGAAATGAGGCCACATAGTACCCCTACCAACCATCATTCCAGTGACGTCGCAGGCCGACATAATCTACCCAAGATGTCAGCCAACCGTGATCAACCAACAATTTAACCGCCCCAATGATCAACCTGCGACTGGCAAACATGACAGTTAAAGTGACTCCAATGTATATTAATTCATCGGTTAATTAAGCTGACATACTTATGGTTAAATTAATCAGGTTTGTCACATTTATCACATTGACCCAGCTGTGCGACCCCACAGCAGGTTCCCGGGTTCCAGGGTTCCTTAGTTTCCCTAGGGTAAACTAGCATCGCTGTGGAAAACCCACCATTTCTAGGGAAACCATTGGGTTTTCCACGTCTTTTTGTATGGGTATAGGCTCCCAAAGCTCACATAATCTCAGCCAGCTACAGGTCGCCATCCACAATGGCTGCTAGCTCCGCGCCGAACAACTCCTCGTCTGCCGCCTCCCATCCAACCTATGGCAAGCCAAGTGAGGGGTCGCCAGCAACCAAAAAAGAGCAAGAAACTACCCTCTGGTAAACTGACATAGCTATATATATATATAGCTATTGAAAATTGCCATTTATAGCTGATTACCCATTAAAAATGGTGATTTTCCATTGTTTTTTGTATGTTTACCAGAGGGTACACCAAACTATGGAAATATGCTGAAGAAAACTGGGAGAACTAGAGTTAACCCAGTTGACCTCCGCAATTTTTCCTGGAAAGGTGGCCCAGGTACTGCGATCTGATCCTCCAAATTCCAGGTGGAATGCCACCAGCCCTCCGGCACAAAGAGAACCTCGCCCGGCTCCACGACACACAAAAACAGCTCCTCTGGTGGATCTTTCAGCAACTGCCATGGGGCCCTGGAGGCTGGCTGGGCAGCATCTGGTGGCAGCAGGAACCAAGCTTTTCGGCCCCACACCTGTTTCCATGACAAGTAGATGGCAACGACCTTCCAACCGTTAAATCCTCCAGCAGGATTAAAGTCCTAGAGTTAACCCCCAAAGACTCTACATATGTTCAAATCATATGATATATGTTACATGTTATATATGTTATATATATTTATATATGTCATAGTGTCTGTGTTCCACACCCGTCAAAATAATCTCAGCTTCTTCCGGTTTAATTTTAATCCCAGGCTTCTTGGTTCCATCCCCGGTGTAGCCCCGCCCGCCATCTGCCGGTCCGCATCCTCCATGATGGCACCTGTGCCAGCCAATTCTCCTTGTGCCGATGCATGCCGATCCCTGTGTTCTTTCGCCCCGCGCTGAACCTGGCTGGCGGAGCTCAGTGGCAGAGTGGTCAGCCATTAACGGTTGCCCCCCATTTTGAACCCCCCAGTAGCGCCCTGCAACCCTCGGCAAAGCCAAGCATCAATGGCTTGCCATGAACATCCTTCAGCACTTCAGGCACTGAAAATTGACGACCCAAAATGGGCACGCGGCCCACGAAGTCGTTCTCAAAGATCACGGTGCCTGCGAGCCTGGAGGATTTTTGAAGGCAAGGTTGGAGAAAGATATCAATGCATCCCCTGTCCGAAGAGCATTATGGATTCACCTCCCAAAATGGGCAACACTAGACAAAGCATGCGGGAAATGGACATTTAAAGGGAAAAACTACATCATAGATCATCATAGTGCAAGCGAGTATCGAAGATTGATCACCCTGGAAATATTCCTTCAGAGTAACCTTGGCTTCATGCTGGGCCGTGTCTGAATTGTGGCAGCGTCTTGAAAAATGGACGGAATGAAACTGACCTAACCGAAAAGAAAAATAAACGCCTCAAGAGCTGACGCCAACTGGTAGCATCAACAAAGTTGCACATGATGTGAGCCCCTAATCAAATTTGGAAACCGCTTTTCCAGCTGAGCTGTGCTTAACATAGTCCAATAGTACCAGCACATGGGTTGGATTGGCATGACAGGGTTACACCATGGGTTTTAATAATCATTGTTATGATCCTTATTGTTGGACTTTGTTTTACTAGGAATGGTGACCATTCCCCCGAAAACACAACCTATCATAATGCGAAAAACCCTATGGGGTAATAAGCCAATGAGTGTTCAACTCTCGTGTCACACTATCATTTGTCAAATCCACCATTGCTCAAACCTTTGAAAATGCAGAAAATGCTCAAATTAGTCAAGGGGGGTATGTAGCTGCTCTCAAGATAGTCACTGCACACGGAAGAGGGTTCAGTTACCCCTCTCCCCTGTGCACTCCGGAGCACACCGCCTCTCCCCGCCAAACCTTGGGCCATGGATTCTTGATTGCACAGCCCCTCTTTGATTTTTTTTAAAGCCGCTCTTAAGATAGTACCAGCGAGGTGGTGTGCATTCCGGAGCGCTCAGGAGTGCATAGGGGAGAGGGGCAACTGACCCTTCTCCCGTGTGCAGTGACTATCTTAAGAGCACCAAAGCTATTCCAAGTTTAATTACTCAATTTTGCTCGATTGGGCACTTTACTACTAGTACATCTAATATCGGAACAAGTTGCACCCTCATTTTTCACATCTCCCTAGTCAGTGAGCCACATCTAGATGTTTACATCCAGTTAAAATATCTGGAAGGGAGCTGGGATTGTTGTTTTGCTGCTTGTGGGTTTATGATGGTTTGTGTGTGTGTTAAAAAAAACTATCAGGGACTATTAGACTATCTATCTATCTTAAGTCCACCCCAGCCAGGTGTAGAATATACATACTAACACCATCCGCCGACAAACTGTAACTGTAACTTCCAACTTGCACTGCAGTGTTTGAGGTCTATTTCCTCCAAAAACCGAAGGCTCAAAGATCAACCCAATTGATATGTTTGATGGGGTAGGGGTCTATAATAAACCTGCCCAATTTGCGCTTGATGATTGCCGTGAATCTCGGCCACTAGCGGCTCCACTCTGACTTATGGCTCCTAAAACTCCAGGATCCAAAAATGATGGATACCTGGAGGCACCCCAACTTGGCAATGTCCATCACCTTTACTTTACATAGAAAAAATATGATGACAACGAAATAGCACGACTTGGGCTTTGGGATGAGCCACCCTTGTTTCTAGCTGGCAATGCCAACCCCGGACTTCAGCTCAAGGGAGGGTTCATCATCAATCAACCCCGGCACACCATTAGCAAATCCGAGTTTGTCAACCCCGGCTGACTCTTCACCGGGCTGTTACCCCCAAAAGAGCCCTTTAACTTATTTTAAATTACTATATTACTTCCTATAATTCATCTAATTGGTACCACCATGTACCACCCCTCCCAATAAGCTATCATCAATTGGGGGTTTTGCATGGTTTTGCGACATGGCAGTGTGTCAAAACCTTGTACCCCTGGTGAACATCAAAATAGCTGGTAAATGGATATTCATCCCACTAAAAATGGTATTAATAGGTATTGATCCATACCCACATCCTGGATTTTGACAGCAATGCAGCCCTAGGTACCTGGCCACAGGATGGCCCAGCATAGCCGTACTCGTGCAGCGCCGCTGCGCGGCGCACGCGAAACGTCGCCCCTTCCGCCGCCACGAAGGCCTCGTAGCTCAGGCGCCGCAGGGGCCAGGCGTCCGTCAAACCACGCAAGCGCAAGGGCTGGGTGCGATCTAGCCTGGGGATGGTTCCAGGGATGGATATTCAACAATATTCAACATCAACATCAGCCAACTATGATTGCGTAAGATATTCTAGATATTCTCATCTTCTAAGCATCTGAGGTTTTTTTTGGGGTGGGGTTTGTCATCTATGTTTGTCTGACAATTGGGTACCCGCGCTAAAGTTGATGGTATGCGCAAATATTTCTCAGATACACCCATCGACAATTTTCGGGTTGGGTTGAATGTGGATTGGAGGCTGTGAGTTATGGGGGTAGTAACCCGCCTTCAATTTCACCAACGCCTACCCTCCAAAATTCCAGCATAACAGCAACAAATCTGTTCCCTCTAACATTCCCACAAGCACTGTACCTCCGGATCATGCTCATACCTCAGTGCCCATGCTCCAAAAACCATCAAACACCGACAAACTGACTATAACTGACTATAACTGACTATAAGATACTATAAGTAGTCGCAAGCAATTCCTTGAAACCAGTGTGAAACCCCACAGCCAGCTGGGACATGAAACCAGACCCCTGCAGGCCCTGCATCCAATGGGCCAAGTGGCTCCTGCAGGCCCCGGCCATCGATGCTGGGAACCCATTGCGCGCATGAAACGTCAAGGAGCTGCTCCACTTCGCCTTCCGCCGGGTGAGGCCAGACAGCAACTGCCTCGGCGAAGTCGTTGAATCTAAGGATGTTCTTTGAGCAGAACATGTCATAAGCATCGGGGAATCTTTTTAATTGTTGAAACAGTAAATCAATTACTCAACATATCAACATTATCTACCCGGCTCTGTCTGAAAATGGTGTCTATCGCCAAAAAGCATGGAAAACGCTCATTTAAAAGAAAAGGGACACGAATATACCAGACACCCATGGATACCATTGGATACCCCCTGATACACCATTGGATACTCTCACAATTAAATATCATAAAACCATTGGATTTTGGGACGCCCATGGATACACCAGACACGCCTTTCCCAGCGCCGCTCGTTTCACCGCGCACGTCACCGCCAGCGCCGCCGCCGGAAGCGGCGCCGGAAACGGCGCCCGCGGCGCCGGAACCCGCGGCCGCGGCGCCGGCCCGGCCACGGCGGGCCGTGGAGGCAGGGCCAGCCCGGGGAGCTCCATTCACTCGTTGACTGCGTTGATTAATGGGATGATTAATGGGTGGTGGTTTTAACATGTTTTAACCATCTTGAAAAATATGAGTTTGTCAATGGGAAGGATGACATCCCATATATTATGGAAAAAACATGTTCCAAACCATGAACCAGATTAATGGGTGGTTTGAGTTTGAAAGGGATACCAAGGGGATATCAAGTTTGAGGAACTGAATAGAACTGATTCTGATAGATTTGCATGCATCCTGCTGAGGTACCAACCTCCTGTTGTGAATAAAGTGCTTTGGTGCCAACATATTTTCTTTGGATGGAGCTATGCTATACCCTCATCATGATCGCACTCTTGAGTCACAACATGCCTTGATTGAGCCAACGGCTGTGAGACTTGTGTTTGACAATGATACTCCTCAAGCGGACAAGCAAGGCCAAACACTTGAAGAGCAAACATCGGCAAACTGTGGAACCATGGAACCTAAATGAAACAAAGGGGAAGACATACGGATCATTTCAGACTTTCTGCGCGCTGTGAAGCACTCAAATCTTTCAAAACACATGTTCAAATCCGCAGCAGGGTCTCACACAAAATAATCAATCCAGCCTAGAGATATCTGGAGCTCGCTTCGGACCCATGAGCGAACAGGCTGCCGGCGGCAATTCAATGCCCGCTACATGTCACCTGAGTCTAAATACATCTAAATACCATGAAATACCCTCATGTTGAGTGACGTCGATGCCGATCATGCTTTTCGATGTTTGCATTCCCGGTGTTCCCTCGAAGATTCGTAGGGTCATCTCGTGTGCTGCGATTTTGAAGGCAACATTGGTTAAGAGCTGTGCATTTTCTACCCCACATTGTCTTGGGCGATGATTGAAGGCTCATCTCAACCAGCTGGTCGTTGAATCTTGGAACCCAGTGGAACCCACGGTGTCCCGTTCCTTGAGCCAACAGAAGTCATGCCTAGTTGGAGCATCAGTGGCATCCTCTTCCCGGATGGACTTAGATCAGCAGCGAGGAAGGATTTTACATGTCCTCTGTCAAGTAGATTCATGTAGGGCAATTACAGTACAATATAGAAATGTCCAAAAGTGTACACTTCATACTTCATTCTACACCTCACTACTTGGGCACTGGGGGGGTGCCCGCCCATGTTTCAAGTAAATCGGATGAGATCTAATGTAAGGGTCCCCCAACCGAACTCCCAGGTTTAGGACGTTTTCTTGGTGGTACCCGCCCCACCTTCAAAGCTTTGCATGGTGCTACATATCATGTCACACATCTATCCCATCATTATGGTTGATAGCCAACCTGCCTTCAGCCAACCACTCCGAGGGCAAGAAACCCTACTTCTTCAAGGTCGTAGGCATCCGTTCCAATCACCTAGCAGAATTGCCACTTCAAACGGGCCTGTTGTAAAGAACACAGGAGAACCCCCTCCCGACCTGAATTTCAGATGGTGAAATGGGATGAAATGGGGTCCCATTTCGTGTCCCAAATTAGACGATGTTCATACTGGATGTGGATATGGCCCTTCTTGGGTTCCCTTGAATTTACGCACAAACAAAAAGTCATCTTTGTTGATGCTTCCTGGAATGTTGAGATGCACATGTTGCATCCAAGGCAAGATAGCGGAGCACAGCCAGCTGTTCGAAGACACTGCATATGCTCATTGGTAACATTATTTTTTAGCATGTGTTGGCCTTTGGTGAACTAATGCACACCAAACACAATATAATTGATGGTTATCATATAATATCACATACCATCATCATTGCCCCAATGCACCCCTTGATGTCTTCACCAAACTCCTTGGGGGCTGCTACGGCCAAACCTCCCACTGACAGTATTCTGCACCTGCGCTCGACTCACTACAAAGAACCTGTCAATGGAGAGCCGAAGTCTTCAATTGGATACCTCCCCTTGGCTAGAGCATGCTAGAGCTAGTACGCAAAATCATCCAACATGTAAATAACACACATTTTACACATGGTAAAATGCTGTAAACTGTGGGCCTTCAATGGTTCCCGGGCCCTCATAGACACCCTGATTGAAACCATGTAGCGGCTCAGGTCTTCCCAGCAGGATCTATGAACTCACCAGGCTCGGATTGGCAGGATCTATGAAACTGGTTTGAAAGAATGGAAGTGGAGATGTTTCATTATTCACATACCCATGACGGATCCATGGTGCTGGTATATTAATGCTAACATGACTGGGGTATATTGATGGGATCCATGGCACACCATATATAGCAGCACCATGGATCCGTCATGGGATATTGTAAGTCACAATTTCCACATATTCCCACTATTGTGGGGTCCCTTATTATCCAAAGCCCGGTCTCGTGGTCAGATTGTCATCGACTTTCCGCACCCGGAAGCAAGTCCCAGCAAGTTCTTTCGGGCCCCCAAGCGGATCTGGCTTCCGTTTCCAAAATTCGCCCGTTTGCAGCTGCGTCGCTGTCCTCACTCTTTATCGCCCAATGCGTGTCATGGAACCCAATGTGTGCTCATCAATTTAAAGAAAATGTAGGAAGTCATCTTCAAGATCCTGCCGCGAGGTAATTTTCATGGAGTTGACAGGAAAAATTGGAGGCTTACTATGGCTTACTCATATATGTCTAATCCGAATGATGCCCGCTACAGTGCCGCTACAGTACTATCCCTTCTCACAAAGACCCTGCCACAAAGACAAGTGTGGAACATCTGGGGCAAGGGCAACTTGAAGTACCTGTGCAGCGAACAGCATTACTGTCCCGCCATGTGCAATATTAGCCCTGAGGCAGTGTTTTTCTGGCCCACTTCCGAAGCCGGCCATACTTCGACTCCATCTTCAGGTTGCAGCTTCAAAGGTTACCAGCAATTTGCTTGGATTGTGATGCTGCTTGATACTGCTGCAATCCCTTGGGCGAAAGCATGCCCAATAGCCCACCGGTGGGTCACAATTCCAGCTTGGAACTATGCTTTTCATCGGCAAAAACCTGACAGGTCTTGTGACTGGATGATGCCTGCTGACCAAAACTCCATCCAAGTCGTCATAAGCGCAGCGAAAAATCATGAAACAAATCTACAAGAGGCAAGATTCGAGAAAAGGAAAGGGCACACGCGGATTTTATATGATCGAGCTAGCCAGTGTTCCAAGATGTTCCAATCAATTTCATCATGTTTCATCATGTTTCATCTATCATGCAATCTGATATGCTTGGGACTCGGTGATGAGAGCTGATCACATTTGCCACTCAAGAACATGAAGAGGTGCCATGTCGACACCCTGAGCCACGGGCACAGACTCTGCCGGGATGTTTCCTGGCTCCGCAGTGAATGGTTGGGTGGTTTGTTCATTGATGGGTGGTTACAGGTTGAACCGTGGATTGCCAGAACATGCCAGAACTCTTGGAGACACAATTTTGCTGTGGTGGCTTGTTTGGCATTTATCAATATTTATCAAGCATCCCCATCTTTGCTTCTATAAATCCGGCTTCTTGGTTCCGACATGCAAGCTTCTGCTGAAAATCCCCATCCCCATCCGTATGAACTTCCCATTTCTGGTGACATCCTCCTTCCAGCCATTCACTGGCATCAGTTGGCACGGCTGCACTGAGGCACCATGCTCGCCACGTTTCCGGTGAATGTTCACGAGCCTGGTGCTGCGGGATTTTTTACAGCGAAGCTGCGGAGGGTAATCTCAACATATCTCAACCGTGCATGAAATGAAACTCTTGATGACCCTCCGAATCTGACGTCAGACGCATTGAAATCATTGAAATTGGAAGATCAGCGACAAAATGGGGGATTCACCATTTACGCAGAGGTTAAATGGGGGATACTGGGGGGTCTACACCAAAAATCATGATAGACTATAGGTACACCAACATTATAACATTGGTAGCCTATTACATCCTATTAATTATCGACAAACTGGGGGATTGTTGATCATGGATCAATATTAATTACGAATGGCAATATGTGGCATATTGCATGGTATTAATTATACATGGTGATGACCGGTGGTGACCACATCGCAAGCACCGGCACTTTCAACAATCACAAGCGCGTCCGAGATGCTTCTTTCGCAGCCATCCGTCTGAGGAATTGTGGACCTGAAAACTGCAGTGAGGTATATTAGATGGGGCTTGATGCCCGCAATTCAGGATGGTTCCAACCTCAATTAATTGTTTAGAAAGGGACCCACCTTTAAGAGAAATTAAAGCATACCGGAATAGACCAACCTATCATAGAGGAATGTAATGGAGGATGCAAAGCATCCATCACCACTGCTGGGGTCAAGCCTACAGATTGTCCATGAATAAGAGGCATAGTCCAAAGAACATCATGAAGACAGGGCTGCCAGTTCTCCGCTGGAAATTAAGTACAGTACATGTTATATTTGCGCATTTCATTATAAATCGCTAAGTTGATTCATCCTAGGGAAGCAAGTCTGAAATGCCGGAACAAATTCTTGAATATGACTTACATTAACTTCGTTGCCAAGGAAACTTTGAAAGCCATGCAAGGCTTTCCGTCAATGTAATGGCTTGGTAGAGCTGCAACTACTAAAACCCAACTAGCAATAATCGATAAATAGACTTGTGGATCTTGTGGGAATTCTGGGCCCACAACTTCAAGCAACCTCTAATCATACAATCATACATATGATATTGCAGGGCACAGCATTTGCCACGTCTTTTCTCCTTTGAAAAGTTGCCTGTCGAAACCTGCGATGCCACCTATTGCCACCTGACAGCTCCATCGGGGGGACAGGTTCCGCCCTGAAATGCCCTGTCAGTGGCTCTGGTCATCATTGGTCACCCTGGAGCAGTGGCCAAGTGTGACTTTTACCCCATCAAATTGCCATGGGAAAATGGCGAAAAATGGCGAAAATGGCGAAAATGGATAAACATGGGTGGTTAAGCCAAAAAATGGCCGGGAATGATCTGTGACAACTTGGAAGATTCTTCAAAGACGGACACACACATGATCCCACCAAATTCATGGAGCCTGAGTATATCTGTTCCCCCTTCTGGCTCTCTCACCCTTGACCAATCGCTGCTCCTTTCAATCTCAGCCGCTGCGGGGGGCTGCGAGAAGCTGACAGCTCAGTAGGGGAAGCTGATGATTTTACCCAGGATCGGGAAGATGGCAAAGGTAATGCCCACATCCAGGGAAACTCGAATCATACGAGGCCAGGTGCCCGAGTAGAAAAACATGGGTCCTGGGATATGGCAAGATCGAGAACAGCTGGTGCAGGACATAGATTATACTTACCCTCTGGTAATTTAACATAGCTATTGAAAATGGCCATTTATAGTGAGTTTTCCCATTAAAAATGGTGATTTTCCATAGTTATGTTAGTTTACCAGAGGGTATACCATCTTATACCAAACATTGGGAGGAAAAGAGGATCGTTGGAGTTTGGCTCACAGAACAAGGCAGTGGGCCCAATCAACTGGATGTGCACACATCAAGTTGGAAATCATGGGCTCCCAAGTTTTCCTATCAGCCATCCATGGCCACACCGTTTGGATTAATTTTTTTGTCAACTCGTGACATTTCAGCCAATGGGTCTTGATGCTGTGGCCCAACAAATGCAACACGCCAAAAAAAAAAGTCAACCCTTGACATGCAACAAGGGCATGCGTGTTGGAAATACTCGTCGGCCTAAGAATTGAAGAGTGCAGGTCAACTCCATCAAATCATCTTACAAAACCAGTGAGCAGCTAGATAATCACTTTCTCTCCTCACATGCGACCAAGACGTTCAACACACCTCTAACCAATATCACCATATCCCCAAGCCGGGAATTCCGCAACCCAATCATCCCCACTGAAGCAGGCCGGCGCAGACCCTATCCTTCTTTCTTCAAGATTTGCATTGCGCAATCTGTGGTACTCTTGTAGAGCTTCTTGGCCTCTTCACCTTGCGCTTTCAGCAAAATCATCCAACCCTCTGAGAGTGTTTGATAGACGTATACTATCACAATATATGACATCAGTCTGATTGGATGTCAGCCCATGATTGAAGAGCCAAACTTTGGGACCCAAAATTTGTCCCAGTATAGCGAAAATTCCTAGATTTCGAACCACTAACTTAGAGACCTCCCAAATATGGCTGCGGATCACTTTCAGTCTTTAACAGTCCTTTTTTTTGGGATGGCTAATCCATTATTTTCACCAGCTCTCTGCGAAATCCTCAGGAATTCCCCCAGCATCCCTAGCATCCCCAGCATCGCAGCGGCCTTGCATTCGTGTCTTCACCGTATCCTGCGGCATGGTCGCAAGAACGGAGACGGCTCCCGCGAAGGCGCCCGCGAGTCCTTCAGCGAGCGACACGGTGGGATCATCCCCATCTGCGACACTTGGGATGGGATCATGGGAGCCCAATGTTGAGAGGAAGTCAATTGAGACATTGAAACCACCTATAGGAAGTCACAATGTTTTTGTGAGTTGAGTGATCCCTTGAGACATTGAAACCACCCTTTAAAAAAATATAAAGTCATAGTATAGCCATAGTCCAAGTTTCCGTTGTAGATGGGGTTGGTTTCCAAGCTCTTGTCCCCACCGGTCAAGAACTGCTTGGCATAGAACTGCACCGGAAATCGAACTGCTTGGTTGGTGGCTTGCTTGGCGATGGTGGGCACCAAGCCTCGGGGCCAATGGAAAGTCATCCTGGAATGGCCTGAACAACCGACCTGGCCAAATGAGTAGCTCCCAGTCCCAAATGGGTTTGTCTGAAAATAGGGTATATTCCCAAACAAATAGCCATTTAATAGGGATAATGATCATTAACCATTGGGTAAAAAGGGGTACACTATTTTCAGACACACCCAAATATCAATGGCCAGTTGTGCTTTCCCATCAGCTCCATTTAGAGCGCAGCTCAGTCGACTCTCTTTGGTGGATTCAGTCGACCCTCATGACACTGGGATGCCTTGAACCTCTGATTCAAAGCTCAAACGGCGGACAAATGCAGCTGATGAAGGGCCCCATCGCATCAAACAAGTGAACTAAGTGAACTAAATCTCTTTCCTCCCATGTTTCAGTCCAGAAACCCATGTACAACCCAGCTGGCCCTTCGCTTTTGAGGATCTTCACCACGGCATCGAAGGACCCCGTGTAGTTCTTGGTCCCGCGGCGCACGTCGTCCGTGACCCGGGTCTTCAGCGTCTCGATGGGCGTCACCGCCAGGATGGCTTCGGAGACGCCGCCGCAGGCGCCCGCCAACATGCGCTTGGGGATGGTCAACTTGCCCTGATCATCCTGGATCCACTGGAGATGCCACTGGAGGGACTTTTTGAGGGAAGAGTGATGAAGAGTGAATGTGGATTTTTGATCTTTTGTGATTTTTTTGATGATTAATTTGAAGGGGCGATCATGATCTAAAAATCTTGTCCATTTCTTGTATTCTGGGCATGCTCTTTTCTATGAGTTCAATAAGTGGGCCAGCAACTGCCTGAAGATCTGTTGAATGCTAGCTGCACCATGCCGACATATGCCGACTCTCCCTTGAAACGAGGCTTACTTCACACCTTATGTGTGTGGCTCTTGTCCTCCCGTATGCCTAGACTCCCCCCATCATGTCTTCAGAGAACTACAAGACTCCCAGACGTCCTCATCTTGCCTGGTTCTGCCCATCCCCCCCAACAAATATATATATATATACACATACAAATATGGTATTTTATGTGTGTATATCATATCATATATATATATATATCTGTGAGTGGCCAGAATCCAGCTCAAGGTGATTTTGTCCAACTCAAACATCGATGCGGCGGTTGATTAGCAAGTTGCCTTATCTAACAATTACCCATCTCTGTTGAAAAATGCATAAGCTACTCAACCAGGTCTACCCAAACATCAGCCCATCACCCAGCAAAACATCAGCCGGTTTTGTCGGTGAGTGACTTATCACCTAAGAGTCTCATCTATGAGTTTTTTGTTGTACATTGGGAGGTGCCATTCAGAACTGGAACTAGCGTAACTATCATGAATGATCATTATATATCGCTATAGAGCAATAGGCTACAAGTATCATCACTATTTGTGGGATCTCCATGAATAAACTGGGCGCTTTAGCAGAAATGGGGGATTGAACTAATCCTTGATCAACCAAATCAACCAATATCTTCCAGCCATCCCTCACATCCCGTTCCCCCCATCCAGGCCCATCCACGTCTCCCGCCGTCCTTCATGGCGTTGGCGGCGGTTTCATATCCCGTCCACCGTGCCGCCTGCTTCCCACTCGAGCCCAGGATCAACGGCAGGGCACCGCGATACAAGCCCTGCGGCCCGTGCTGCGCCACGGTCTTCCGGGCACAGTCCAACATGCCGCTGTATTCCTCGGAAACATGCCATGGCTGCCATGGGGATGAGGGCAACATGTTTTGTATAGAGCTCGAGTGTCAGATTGAAAACCGGATCTGTTCAACCAATAGATGCACACGCACCAATAGATACACACGTGCATGAGTTTGTATCACAGACCTTACCTGACCTCTGGCCTTGCATAATTTCCGGATCTGATGGCAAGGTTAAAAAGCATTTCCGGATCTGTGGCTCATGTAATAGGAGAATTGCAATACTGTAGATTATAGGGCCAGGGTACAAATATGCAAACCCGCCGAAAAAACGCTTTCTGAAGCAGGCAGTCTTTCACTAGAATCCCAGTCCTTTCAGGTGAATTAGCAATGAAACAGCTATCTTTCGCCAAGCCAAGTTGCAGGGTTGGACTTGGACTGCAGCTGCAGCTGTGTCTTGACAAACTCGGTGGGGTAGCAAATGATCGCTTCAATAAATCCTGTAAGGCCACCCTTCACAAAAGTACCTGACTGTCAGACTTGGCAGAATGGCAGTGCTTCGAAAATCGCTATCATAAACTGGTTGGTGGTTGAGCCTACACCTCTGAAAAATATATAAAAATATGAGTTCGTCAGTTGGGATGATGACATTCCCAATATATGGAAAATAAAACATGTTCCAAACCACCAACCAGTAAACCTGACAAAACGCCTTGATGGGTTGGTACCAACATGTACTAACGATGCGTTATTTGTTCACAGCTTTTGCATTAGGAGCATGGCAATACCACTGCGGACTGCCACGCTGACTGAAAGCAACGTCTCAACATCTAGGGAGTTCTGGCGAAATTGGCAAAACGCGCTGAATTAGTGCCAGTCGCATTTGACATTTTAGCTTTAACCAAAACATCTATAGGCAGAGGAATTCTATGGAATTCTAGTCTTGAGCAAATGTTGGTGTTCAGATTCCACTTTCCACACACTTGCTCAGCGCATTTAGTGTTTTCAGACTGGGGCACTGTACCCCAAAACACAGCGCGTTGATCATCACGTTGGACGATTGCCATTTCAAGAGGTTTCCCCGTTTTGCGAATCCATCACATCATTGTTGTCGGATGTTGGTTCTATATACATCTATATAATATATATTTATCGTCTCATCATGTCTCATCTATCATATCGCAAACATTTTGCCACAGAATGTCTGTTAAAATCATGGCACAACATAGTTGGCTAAATTCATCAATACTTCCGGAATATCCCCAGTTCCATAGTTTTTTTCCCCTTTTATACATGTACTAAATTTATCATCCATGGCACAAATAGGACCATCATTTTCGTTCTTCTTAAGGCCCATGGCTGCACACTGGCGCTGGCGTTTTCAAAAAAAAGCGATCGCTGGGCCCAACGTTTCCGCCCACAACGGCTGCAACGCGCGCGGCAAATAGTGATGGTTCAGGACTCTTTGTGCACCCGGCCGATTTCTGAGGTCCTCAATTTTTCCTGTCATCTCATGTAATCAAGCATAGCAATCATAGTAATGGAAAATCCATCACCATTGAAAAAAGATGAAAACAGAATATGTCCAGCTAAACCTTTATGAGATTTCCTATGGTGCCGGGGAGGGAACATTTCTATGGTGAAAAAGTAAAGTCCGTGATCCCATCCCATGGCCATCCCCGCCTTCGCACGGGAGGTGACTGCCTCCTGCTGTGGAGACCATGGAGGGGATCTAATCAACCAAGGTATATCCAGGTATGCATGACGTAATTTCCAATATATAATGGTAAACATATATATATATATATGGTATTATATAATAATTATGGTGTAATATATGTATACCATTATTATTATTACTAGTATTATTATTATTGTTTTATTTTATTATAAAAGGGTATATATATAAATATATATATAATGATGGTATACATAATAGCCATGAAAAACAATTGACTAAAAAAGAACAGCAAACAAAATGGCTGATGAATGACAAATTCTCCCCTTGGGGGGTTGTACCGTCTTCTTTCCGCCAACAGTACATGCAAGTACATGGTCCCCATGCAAATTGTCAGTTGAACCGTTTGTGGCACTGGGAGGAGGATAACCGATACAGCAATTGATAGTCAAAACTCATCTTGGAATTTGTCGCTTCATAAACACCAAGAAAACACCTTTTTTTCTTAACATACAGCGATAAACACGAGAATAAACGACAAAGAATCGTCCCGGCTGATAAAATGATAAATCATACAAACAAACGCATATAGGTACGAGTCATAACCCTGCACCCGAATGTCAAAATAGCTGGTATGGATATTCATCCTCTCAAATAATTTTAAAGAACTATCGAATCATATGTCAAATGTTCAGTTCTCTCTATATATATATATAATGATATATATATATATTCTTCTAACAATTCCCAGCCAGTCTCAAGGAACAACGAATTCCGGCCAAGGCCAGGGCTGTTAGTAAGAACTCACAGGCCCCTATGAACCTGGAGCGTCGATGGGATTCGTCGGACTCGTGTTTCGTATGGTCATCCCCCAGTCATCTTGTAAAAAAAGGGGGGTTTTCTAAGAAAAATGGAGGGTACCCCCATGACTTATCCTCCATTGTTTTTTTTTTCCGGATTTTCTATGGAAATCATGGACCTATAGGAACCCCCCATTAAAAGGAAAGGCCTGTGAGCGGTGAATTTCAAGCTTTTGGGGTAGACATTCAATGAAGAAACCTACATACACACAACAATCCCTCCCTAAAAAAATGGTCCGAGCACCCAACTTGTGATGCCAAAGCTCCTCCAAGGAGTTGCTGGACGACATCTGGCAGATCTTCGAAAGTCGCCCATAGGTCATGGGAATAATATGATGAAAACATAGCATCAATAGATATCAATAGCATCACAAAGTTCTGAGGCCTCTCAGTAGTTTGCCTCAAAACTAAACATTTTCGCACATCATCATACATCATCCACAGTAAGGCGCTCTTAAGTTCAGCAACATCTGGCGAGGTTTCTCAATGCCTTGGATTCTTGGCATGTAACAACTGGCATGTTGGTCACAGCATGTTCCGTTTCATCCCCAGCTTTGGTATCCAAGTGATGCGGGATGTCCCAGCCATTTCCAGCCACTGACGAAACGTGCGAGATTTCATGACTGCTGGCTCCGACTGCATCTTACCCTCCGGTAATTCAACATATCTATGGAACATGGCCGATTTATCTATCAAAGATGAGGATTTCCATATCAATTTACAGGAGAGTACTTATAGTATCATTCTTTTACCATCTGGTTATTTAACATAGCCATGGAAAATGGCCCATTTATAGATTATTTTCCCATTAAAATCTCCATTTATAAGGGATTTTCCATGGCTATGTTAGTCATAACCAGAGGCTAATTTCTTTGTTGACTCAGAAGCCACACAAAAAAAAGGTGGGCCATCCAATGATCCACGGATATATCCACACCTTGTAGGCTTCGCAGCGCATGTGTCGAATGACTTCCACCTAGGGCTATCCATTGGATGGGAACTCCCAGTGACACGGTGACATGAGCGCAGTATGCGCAGTCCGAGGCGCCCGGAACTCCAATTCCATGATCGTTCCCCAAACGGGCCACCTAGAAAGGGCTGAAGGTGGGAACTTGGACCCTAGAAAAACCATGAAAAAACCATAGGGTTGCAGGAAAAACATGACCGGAAGATGTTTCTTGTCCATATGCTATATCAAACATAGGTGGAAATGCAATCGCCAACATCAAAGTAAAAAGAACAATCGCACCGAATTGTACCTATATATATATATAAATATATATATATATAAATAATTATATATATATAAATAATTATATATATATATATATTAAAAAAAAATAATATAATTTGACCAAGGGAAAAATTAGCCAGCTCTAGATTCACTGAAAGTTGCTAGCTCGGATTGAACAAACCACCCCATTGCCAGTCCTTGTTTGGGATTGCTAGACCCATGGTAGCCCCGTGCTGCATCAGAGCCGGCCAGCGGCTGAGTCGCTGACGTGGTGTCAAGTGAACACACCTCCGTCTTGCCTAACTCTGTCCACAAGTTCTCACCTTGCCAGAGCTTGAAGCATCACTGGCCTTCCGTGGCTCACAAAAAAACTGCTGTCCGATCTGGTCCGATCTGGACATAAACGCCCCCATTCGGCTTTACCAAAAAATGAATCGTTTGTGCCCGAAAGACTCATGGCAAGTCAAGTGCGCTTAAGGCTCACACCAGATGCCTTTGTGTACACCACCTCAGCTCATGCCGGCCCAGTCCCCGAGATCGCCCAGTCCAGTTGCAGTTGCCGCTCTCGGAAACTTCAGGCGCTGACCAGAAAACTTCGTTCGCCGTCTTTGAGGCCCTGTCTCCACCGCATCACTTCTCCACCGCTCAACAGCCCAAAATTGACGATATAAACATGTAGTGAACATGAAAAAAACATGCGCAAAGTCAAAGTTATCGATTTGTTTTAAAATTTACAGGTGATGCGTTTCTATGCTTTTCCATCCGCATCATCATGCTAACTTGGGAAGTGGCACACATACACACACACACACTTGTGGGTCAGGGCTTGTGGCTTCTGGTTTGCACAACCCGGATTGCAGCCTTCAAACAACTGTTTTTTTCACAAACTAAACTAAGCTAATCATAGAATCTTGGCGAAACAGTTTTTCGTTTAAGTAATCAGGGACCTCAACTTCATAACACGTGCCCCGTTTCTGCACGGAATATCTCTGACTTCAGTGGTGTCCCAGCCCCAGGCCAAAACATGGGAAATGATGCAGAAAAAAACATGCAACACCATTAACATCATGCAACATGTCACCCGCCCCTTCCAACACCTTAGCCCAAGTGAAACTGCACCCAAAAAGAACTCCCCGCAGTCAAGCAGCCTCCCCACGAAAGCTTAAGGTCAGCCTCAACGGTGTAGGCCATCGAACCAAGTACCAGTATCACCCGTATCACGCGGTGATGCATTTGGGGAATAAGCGTAAGTAAAACGGGTCAAATTATGTAAGGATCATTACGGATTACATATCTAATTAATCTGTTCTACATATGTCTGCCCAGTAATTTCTGGTTGGTGGTTTTAACCATCTTCAAAAATATTAGTCAATGGGAAGGATTATTCCATACATTATGGAAAATAAAAAATGTTCCAAACCACCAACCAGATTTTGAAGATACGAGTTTGATTTTCTGTTCCACAACTAGTGGCATTGTGCGTAAAACCCATCACAATGGACCCGAGGGTGTCTCCTGATATCAACAGCCACGCCATCAAAAACTGTGTTGTTATTGCGGTGATGCCATTCCTTTTCTGGTTGGTGGTATACCTACCCCTCTGAAAAATATGAAAGTCAGTTGGGATGATTATTCCCAACATATGGGGAAAATGTTCCAAACCACCAATCAGTTTTAGTATCATTTATGATTTGAGGAGTGCGAACTATGGCGACAGTAAGGATGGAAAATAGATACAATACATATCAATACATAAAAGAAAAAGAAACACCAACCAGGCTGCGACAATTTGAGGAATTGACCATTTCTTACGATCAGTTACTCAGTTACAATTAGTTGATCATAATTTACCCTGATTTACAGCATCAAAGCCGTCAAAACTAACCATCAACATCAACCAACCACAGCCAGGTATGATCCCATCTGATCCAGCACGGACCCCCTTGGCAGCAAAGGCACATGGACGAGAAGTCCCGCGTGAGAATCTCCGCTGGGGGCGTCACTTTGCGCCTGCGGCCGCCCATCTAGAAACAACTATTATCTTCCATAAATTGATATTGGGGGGTGTGCGAACAAGTATATATATATATATATCAGTCACTGAATATTGTTTAAGTATATATATATATATGGGATATATACATTATTATATATACCATTATATACCCCATATTCAGTCACACCCAAATGTATCCTGCAGTCTACGGCTAACTCTGTGGCCAATCGTATTCTGACCCACGCCCGTGCCTCCCCTTCTCTCCTTCCAAGTCATCATCATCTACCTGGTATGTGGGCCCAGGTATGTAAGTTATAACAAACATAACCACCATGAACTGTAGGATAGATCTACCATAAACATCCATAAACATCCATAAACCGTAGTTGACCGAGCTATTGGAAGCAACTTCGCCAGCTATCACTGGTGGGATCCTGGTCACTCCACGGGGTCCCCAGTTGGGATGGACCGCTGATCCTCCCGTGATGGTTGGATCATGTTGGATCTGGTTGGTGTCTATCACACTGACCATGCTTCCAGACAGAAACAACCCACACAACATCAGTGTTCCTGGTAGCTAGTTTCCACCTTCCCAATATATACACCTGATCAAATTACCCATATTTCTCGCAACGTTTCAAAAGGTCTGCAGGCGACTTTGGCACTTTGGCCACGCTGGAGTCACTCCAGAATGATCTTTTCAAGCCACTTGGCATGTTGACCATCTTTCCTAGGCTGAGAACAGCCGCACTGGGAGAAGATCGTGTCATCTTAGGGCCTTTTTTGGGAGATAACTGGAATTGTTCACAGTGTTTACAGTATACATCTGTTGGTCATATATCTGTCGGCTGATGGAATAATACCTTCTATTTCCATCAGTGGCAACTTGCGGCAACAGTGCAAATGGAGGTTTTGGGATGGGCCGTAGCGGCCGTAGCACCAACTCCTGAGAATCTCCCATTGGCCCACGGTAGGAGAAGCCCATTCTGCTAAGGTCTCATGACTTCTCTCATGAATGGTCATGAATGGTCATGAATTCCCAAAAAATGAATGGACATGAATGGACCCAAAGATCGTATAGCGGGAACTCGGCGGTGTTTTCAAGATCGATGAAGTTCGTGCAGATCTTAGTCCCCCCACGAAGAGTGCCCTGGTCCGAGCTACACCAATCGCACGGGGCCACCTGTTTCAGTTGTCAGTGCTTCACCATTTTGCTCGTAAGCCAGAATGACCTTGCGGATGAAACAGACTGACGAACAGGGCATTGTAGATGATGATAGATTATGGCAGAATATGTGTTGAATATTATATTGCACATCAAACGATAATATTATCATACCAAATAATTACCGTTCCTTGCACAAATGCCAATTCAATTCTACTGGTTCTTGAAGTGATGTCACATAGAGACATGACAAATATGCTGCTCCAATGTTTGACCTGCTGGTGGGGCCAAAATAAACTTCTCAGCGTGCGGCATCTTCCTTGAGGGCTCGAGACAGAAACATGGAGTATCCAAAGCCATCCATTCCAACCTTGGAGTCAACTTGGGGGTGCAGTTGGGCTCATAAGGCGGGATATGACCCCTACAACTGTAGGTGTCAAGTTGTAGAGTCAAGGAAATCCTATCCAAATATCCATGGGGTATCCCGCATGTCCTAACGGTTCAAAAGCTGGCAAAACTGCAAACGTTGCTACATCACCGAGGTATATGAGACAGTTAGGAATCGCCTCCGCAAAGGGATGTACAATGTATGTATGTATACAGTATGATTGAAACTCATATATATATATCAATATAATATATATATATATATATCAATATAATATATATATATATATCAATATAATATATATATATATATCAATATAATATATATATCAATATAATATATATATATATATATCAATATAATATATATGTATAAAACATATATCTGATATATATATATATATAGCCGTATCAGCGTAACCTTCCCCCTGATTGTCTTGTGCGGGGGAAAGCCTCCACTCCCATACAAACACCACAATAGAAAGGTCCAGTAGGAAAGAATCTTCCAAACCCTTTGATTTTGTTTCCATGTTAGATTTCAGTGGTGCAGTGGGCACCAAGATCACCAAGAAACAAAGGTCACCAGCGGATCGTAAGACCGCTCCACGCGATGCTTGGGAAGCAGCTCGCCAATCCAAACACCGGTCCACTCTTGTTGATTCCTGAGTGATCCCCTGGGAGCGACGGCAAACTCCCGTGTCGGATGATTGTTGAACGGCCTAATCACCATTCAGATGGGGTTTTGCATGTATATATATATATATATTATATATATACTATATCTGTGTGTGCATATGTATATGTATATACACATATCACATATATAAATAGATATATGATATACACCTATACACCTTTTCAATCTTCCTGCGCAACTGCCAGTACCTTTTCCCCTCTTGGTGTCAGCGACGCACCTCCACAAGCGCAGGAGTCAAGAGTCTGGAATTTTCCGCAAGCGGGATTCGGGTGTTGCATCTATTGGCCCAAAACAAAAAAAGAGCTCCATAATATCAATCTTGTACTAATAGCAGCAACCCATATTACCGAATCAATCTATACTCCAAATGAATAAGCTATACAACTACAGTATGCCAAATCACAATCACAGTCAACAGATCATCTACTCCAAATTGCCATCCATTCCTGGAAAACCAGGATCTGGATATACCCCGGTACACATGGCAACTCCACCAGGCGATTCTGGATTAGATTGTCACCCCGCAGGGTGACCACCGAGTCACCTTCCCCGGATTCACCGAGCTTCAGATTTCCGGATGTGGTGCACTTGTGAGTGACTTTTCTGGTACTTTTCTCATACTTCTTCAGTTCGTCGACCGTAAACACCTGAGGGTCTGGACACAGGAATCCAGCCCTGTTTCAAACATCGTGCCTGCTTACAGTATTACACCAAAAGCGATTCGGAGCTGAGAGAAAGACATGGCTGAGGCTCAAATTGAATCATAGAAATTAACGAGGTTGGGGAAATTGCTCAAAATTTTCGGGGAATTGTAAAATCAAGTTAAATTGCAATTTCCACAGAAAAGCGAATGCCCAAAGACGGCCTCTAAACTTTGATATGAAAGGCAAGATGGCCAGGCTGCATCTATTATGCTTTGAACTGCCCTTGGGGGAGCATCTTCCAAGTCTTAAATGACCTATACACCAAATAAAACATAAACCCAGAATAAACCCAAAACCCAATCATTGCGTTCCTACTTAGGACCCAAAAAAAGCCAATGATTCCTCTTTTTATAGTTATGAGTTATGAGCATGAATTTATCAACCCAAAATACCAAGTTATATTGTTCATAATTTTACGTGTTTTCGCTCACAAAAAGGAGAACCCCGTAATATCGGATACCAATCAACTCAACATCCTCACTGCTGACTCATCCCCATATGTGCCGGCGAATCCTGGCCGCTATCTATGAAATGGATTCAGTAATCAGAGTGAGTTAGTCATAGTGAGCCACTTATCTCTCTACATCCCAGTTATGTCCCATTAAAATCCATTAAATCCCAATGAAAAAAGAAAACCACCATCCAAGGATGAAAATTTGGACTTAAATCCCAATGTTTCCGGGTGAAATCCCCATCTATTCCAGTAAAATCCATTGGATCCTCATTGTTCATTGGTATTTCAATGGTTAAATCCACATTTTTTCCGGGTGAAATCAACATCCCCCACCTGCAGCAGCTGTCCATCCGCCCCTTCCAGGCGCAGCCGTAGAAGGCCGCCCTCCTCCGGCCAGAGCTCCGCGGCCGGGCTCGGCGCGGCGGCCTGGAAGCGGCCCAGTTTGTAGGGCTCCAGGAGCTTAGTCAACCTGAAGCCATTTGATGACAGGGGACCGATGGGATGGGATGGAGGATCTGATCCATCACTGATTCATCCGTGGAATTTGACGAGATTGGATCACTGATGAGATGATGTAAAATTGGGAATCTGATAGAATGGGCTTTCCTGACATTTTCGTGACATCATCGGGTTTCATGGGGTGTAATGGGATTTAATGCCCTTTCCCTCTGCAGTGTGAGCCACCCAGCTTTCATGCCAGCGCTGCAATTAGCATCGGGTCCACATCCTTTGCTACAGATGGAATCTGAACGTAGCTCACCATGTTCCATGACAGTATTATCTGGGGATGATTTCTCCAGATTCACCAAAGGTTTCCTGGATGTGATATCGACTCCGGAGTTTCTCCAACTTGCCAAACACGAATGTTACAGGATTTGTTGGATGACACATCAAGCACCCATCTTGAGGTCATGTGTTCGTTCGCGTATGACCCGACCCGCTTCCAACATGAACCGCCACAGCCTATGAAGATGGTTCCAGTATGCTCATGTGGGACCATGATGCTCAAATGTTTAACACACAAGCATCAAGGCATCAAGCAATCAAAGGCAGCCAAGAGAATCAGGGGCTGAGCTAGTTCCAACTTGCCTGGATAGCCGCCCTCAAGTCACAAATATAAGTGCATGTATTAAAATTTGAATCTGGTTGGTGGTATACCTACCCCTCTGAAAAATATGAAAGTCAGTTGGGATGATTATTCCCAGCATATGGAAAATAAAATTCATGTTCCAAACTACCAACCAGGAATGTCGGTAATTATTGACATTAGGGCCACAAAACACAGCACCCTCTGCCAACTCCCCCATGCTTGGGCCTTTTTGGGGATTTTTGCCAAAGAGTCCCAGATGTGCCGGGCCAAAGGCGTCGCGTCCCAGGAAGTCTTCGAAGCGACGTCCAGCCACGCGCTCCGCCCAGTTCAGACCTGGTGGGCCGTGGTGTTGTCCGTTTACGGGAAGTGTTTCGCCCAAAAATATGCAAACATGGGGGAAGATTGAAGAGCAACATATCCCACGACCTACGATTTTCTTGTAACGGTTTGAAGAGGATAGGATGCACATAATGTGCAAATGCCATAGCATCACAGGCTGATCAAAGTGACCAAGTTAGGCAGCCACTTGGCAGCACCCTTCAAACCAAAACATCATTTCGAGCCCCCAAAAAACGCGCCATGAATCTCATCAGTGGCCTGGCATTTGGTTTTCAATAGCTCCATATTTGAAGTGGTGGGCCTCATGGCCCTAATCTATCCTGAACCATGGGCAAAAAAAACTTGATATATCAGACAGACCAGCAGTGGATGTAAAAATCATGCAATTACCAGGGCCTGGACATGGAGGGTGTCTGTGCACATATTTGGTGATGTCATATACCGCGCCATTGAAGCTGATCCACGCGTCTGAGACCTGATTGTGACGCCTCACTTCCTCTTCTTTGATCACCACCTCCACCTGCCAAGCTGACACAGCAGGCCTGGAAGAGCTCTCGTTGTTTGCTTGGTCCATTTTGCTACTTGCATAATTTCTGGGCAAAACATGTCCCCACCTCCTCCATATCGTCCGTGGCATGATTTGATAGTATGCAATTATAATCAATTATATATATATGTGTGTGTGTGTAAATAAATATATATATACACATTTCCAGACAAGACTTCCAAGGGTTTTGGGGTTCAAATAGCAAGTAGAGAGCCATGATAGACTTTCACCGGAGATGGGCAATGCAAACTACCCAGAGCGAGCAACTGTGTCAACTGGAAGGTTGGTTCTTGGGGATCGATCATTGCTGATCGCCATGGGGTTAGATGCTCAGTAAATCAGGAAGCTCATTCCACCAAAATATGACTAATAAGAGGTAAGAAGATCCCAGCGTCTCCATGAAACCATCGGCTATCTGAAGTCCCTCATCAAATTGGCGCTTCCCTAGACTTTTGTTGGTACAAAGCACTCATCTCAGGGTTCTGGCAACTGCTTAAACAGAAAACACATTGCAATAATCCAGCACATTAAACAGCAGAATATCATAGAACGATTCCTATTGATAATGTTCATAATAGTTTGGAGATAGCGTTCAAATTTAATTACGTACCATAACCAGAACGCACCATATATTGCTCATATCATATATTGCGGAGAAAAAACATTGTTCATCTTCATTGGGGCTGATTCATATTCATAGGGTGAACATGGATAATATCTAATTGGCAATACTATACTGTGAACAATTGCTACCATTGACAACCATAACCATTCACAACCAACAGCATACTATTGACAATACGATATCATTGGTTATCATTGAATAGTTACCATACTATTGATATGATTGGTTACTATAGTTACCATTGAGTAGTTACCCTTGAATAGTTATCATACCATTGATCATTGGTTATCGTATAATATCATACTATATATCCCAGAGGATCCATGTATGGAATATTTACCTACATTGACCCCTAAAGTAATTTAAAATAATCCCAATGTAGGTAAATATTCCATACATGGATCCTTAGGGTATATATATATTTGATAACCAAGTTTTGGAGAACTCCGCTCGCCAGTTTTTTCTAAGCGCCGCCTCCTCACTGCGACCCTTCGTGCCCTTTGTCCCTTTCGCCAGTGCCATGGCCGCAACGGCCATGGCCCCATGGGCACGGCAGGGAAGTCGCATGCTGCGCATGGGGCAACAACTGAGCTTGGCGGTGGTGTGAAATGGTGGCAATATGTGACATTTAAAAGTTTAAGGCTGGAATATATTATGATGACATGTTGTTCATGACCTTCATGAACAACACAGTATATTTCATAAGTGTTATTGAACCGGCAATGACGAGTGGACCACTATAGACCGCTAGCGACCACCAAAAAAAATGGAATAAATTCACATTCACGATTCACGACTTACTTGGATTAGGGGGTAAACATGTTGGTTGGTACTGGTATTGTAACATGAAGAGATACGTCTAGTCCGCAAATGGATTCTAGTATTCGCCAACTCCAGCTATTCCATGCATAATATAATGCATATAAATCATACAATATAGAACATTATAGAACTATATATATGTATAGGATTGTTTAGGTGATATAGATGGGTCTTATCATCACATCAAACATGGTATCCTTTGAAAGCTGCGAAGCCAACGGCGGCAGATCAGGGGGAGTTTTGGGAGCACCTCCGGGCTCCACGTGCAAGTCTGTTAAATAGTCCAAAGAAGGACTAAAATGCCATGGGCGAGTTACCCTGTGGGGGTAACATAGATGTGAAAAATGGTCCATTTATAGATTTTATGGATAATTTTATGGGTGATTTATCATGATCTCTCTATGAAACAATCTGTGGTCAATCCCAAATTCTATGTGAAATTCACCCGTCCCGCGGGATCGCGACCAAAACAAAAAAATCACGGCACCAGGAGCCAAAAGCGCAACAGTTCCGGTGAGGACTGGGGGAGCTCCAACTGGACCGGCTTAAGGATCCCAAAAAATGCTAACACCTGTTCTGGTTGGTGGTTTCAACCCCTATGAAAAATATTAATCAATGGGAAGGATTATCCCATATATTATGGAAAATAAAAAATGTTTGAAACCACCAACCAGCTGTTGCTTTGAAGGAGTTGAATCCTTGCTGCGTGCTGGTGTCAACCTGACCAAAACAGGGTAAAACACTAAAACACCAGCCGGGAACTCAATAATTCTCGGCATGGGTGTCCGTAACATCCAATGGGTTATTAATAGTTTCCGCCATTCAAAATGCCACTTACGCCCAATTTCTGGACAAACCATGACAAACCCGTACAATTAATGTGGGGCCCCACAGCTATAAGTTGGCTTGTAACTCCCATTAACTATATTTATCTCTCTCTCTCTCTATCTCTCTCTCTCTCTTTATATGTAATATATATATTTATATTATAATATAAATATGTATAATAGTATGTATATATATATATGTAAATCATGAAATAATCATGATATATCCCAAAGTTCACCTACTTATAACCCAACTTAGCCATCTAGGGAAAATCTCAGTGAAACCTCCAATCTGCATATCTGTCATAGTTAACCCTCCAGTTATCATGATTTGGGGGTTTCCTAAGTCATGGGGGTGGCCCCAAATCATCCAAGTCATGGATAACCAAACTATTGACACCTATGCGGGATCTTCCATTTTAGGAAACCTCCATTTAGCCCCCCTTGTATGATTTCGATCAACACAATCCCCGGCGTCACCTCGGCCTTGTAGCGGAACGCAGCCGCCCCGCATCCCATTTGGATTTCGTGGTCTTTTTTCCTCAGACCATTCGGCCTGGGACACATGAGTAAGGTGGAACGTGGTGGAACAGTTTGTGGTTCTGATTTAGTTGTGATGCTAATACCCATGACGGATCCATGGTGCTGGTATATATACTAACATAAAGGGGGTATATTGATGGTAAATGTTACCATATACAGCATACATGGATCCTATGGGATAAATAATGGGAATATGCTGGGATATGATGGGAATATGATGGGAACACGCCGAGATATGATGGGGTTTATTTTAAGGAAGCCTAGGAGAAAAAAAAAACAACATATTCCCTATCAATTCCCCAAGTAGCGGATTTCCCATTGGGAAACAACATCATCTTAACATTCATCTTCAGCAAATGCAGGTATGGGGAAACTCACTCATAAGAATATAATATAGGAATACATACAATGATTAAAAAAAAGGGATATAATATGATATATATATATATATTTATATAATATTGGCTTTTGCCTCTGGTAAAGGCACAGTTTGCTGTGGAAGGTGATATTCTATGGAAATGTAACTATGACTTTTTTCAAAACATGGGATATACTATATATACGCCACTGGTATGCTTGGAACTAATAGGCCGGCCAACCATATGATTCGTGGGTTTGAATGCCTCTTCAGTTCTGGCCAACTTACGACCTCCACAAGATTCGAGCACGTGATTCGTTGATTATCTGAGTACGTTATCAAAAAGAAGTCACAACTTTGTAGATCTTTATCTTGACCATGCGTTTTCGTGATAACCACAAATAAACGCTATCAAAAACAGTATTATATAGACTAGGTGGTATCAAACCAGGTGGTTAATAGTCGTCAATCCCTTCACCTGCTGCACAAGCCCCACCCTACGCTTCACACCGCCCAGCCTGGCTCTTTGTTGTGCGCTGAACTACATGGCTTTGCCATGGCAGCACCGGTGCAACATTTCAACGATCCAACGCAATCCATGGTGGGGTCAGTGAAACTGTTGCTGAAGAGGCTTCAGGTTGCCCATTCTGGTCGTTGTACAAGCTGCAAAGCAGTGTGGAGACGCGCAAACAGTATGACAACTGTGTATTGTGTCTGGATGAGTATGCACATGCATGTAAGACTATGGATACGCACGAAAACAACAGGAAGTAAACAAAATGGATCTGATATCGATGCAAAGTTTCCATCTACACACTTCTGTAGCTTCAGTGACTACGTTCTGTTGAAAACTGAAGGGGCTGAAGGGCGCTGCGCTAGTCATGACTGCTGCATGAGATTTTGTCCCCATCTCTCCATGATTCGACGCTGAGGCAGCGGTGTTCATCCACCACATCAGTCAAGACTCGAAACAGCTGGTCGGCCCCCTGCCGAAACAATGAATCAATGATACTTCTTACCCTCTGGCAATCTCTGGCAATTTAACGTATATAAAATCGCCATCTGTAGTGAATCACCAAAAAAAGGGTTGAATTATCAGGTGGTAAACCACCATCCACCAAGGCAGTTGGCTCACCTCTCTTTTTCCATGTGGCAGTTGGGTCACCAACAGCCGGCTGCTGGGCTTTCCCAGCCAGCACTCTTCGACGCAATTTAAGGGCAGACTCGCCTTGATTGTGATGCCGTTCTGGGCATGAGACGTCATGTAGATTAACATAGCCATGGAAAATCACAATTTTTAATAGGTAAACCATCTATTTCTATGGGCCATGGCTATGTTAGTTTACTGAAGGGCAATCTAAGTCTTGATACAATCGACGTCATGTCATATAGGCCTTGGACTTCGATGCGATGGCGATACTTTTTTTGTTTGTTTGCACATGTTGAATCATTGAACAAACATGAGATGGGCACTTCCAAAATGCTGGGAAACCATGGGAAAGCTAGTAGCAATTGCTTTCCATCGCAAACATGGATCCATGTTTATGCAACTGGAGGATGTGAGTGATCCAAACATATTTAAAACCATTTCAAGAAGCAAACAAAACTCTTGGTGAAGCACCATTCGAGTCTAGACCCCAGACCCGCAAATCTTGCTCACTTTTTGTATTCAGGATTCGCCATTTGGGCGCATAGATAACTACAACACATATTTATGTTAGCTCTATAGTTTCACATGGAATCCAAAAGGTGGCAATTTCCAAACCCAGACATGCCAAAACGCCCCAAAACGCGCCAAAACCACTTTTGGGGTTCGTGGTTGGTTTTAAAGAGGTAAAGCCCCACAGATACTGGTGACACTGCCCTTATTAGCTGAACATTTAGCTGCGGATCAAATCCATGGCAGCCATGCTTTTCACATGAAAACCTATCAGAAAAAACATATCTTATGTAATGCTCACGCATCCACATTATGTTAAATCACATCATGTTAAATCTGAATTGTTGAAGCTTCAGCCAAACTTGTTGATGGTGAGATTCTGAGTATCCTAAATGCTGATTGCCAAATCATCCTATTTTTTCTCAGTCAAATCCTGTCTAAATCCTGATTTTGGATGGTTAGTTAAGTCCTACATCTGTGGTCAACTCCTCCAGGTGGACTATGGTGGACCAGACCCTTTCTTTCCGCGGCATCGGCTCAGGAATCAAGCATCCTCCTAAGAGGTTTTGGATCAAGCCCTATGGCTGGAGGTTCTCTGTCATCTTCCCATATCTCACCAATTTTTTTCAGGGTCCAAACTGTTCCAAATATCTTTTCAAGAGGAACATCATTTATATCTACAAACTGGCGATTTCAGTTTTGACTACGGAAGGGTTTCAGAAATGTCACTGGAGACCACGCTTTCGAGATGTCTCGTCCATCAAAATATGGACGTTTTTTTTGCGCATTTTCCACTGAAACTCTTGGACCCTACTGACAACACAAGATTGATGACGAAACCCAAAGAAATAGAAGTGTATCACCCCCATCCCCAGGAGGAATGTTGACATCAGAGTATCAGTCAAATTTAGAGATCAAGGGGGTGGAGTCGATCCAGCTCTATAGATAAGCAGCATGTCCACAACAAATGGTAGGAAATCAAGTCATCATGGCCTCGGCCTACTCAAGCAATGGCCAACTGCTGCTTTGGATTGTTTCCACTCCAAGGATGGGCAAAGAAAAGTTCATCCAGGGCTGTGATGGGAGGTTTCTGGTGCACTAAACCCACCAAGTTAAGCTAAGTCTGCTAACTTACATCCAGTTCCCCATTGCTTGGCCGGTTGGCCTACCCGGCCTACCCCTTGTGTCGCTGCGTTCGCCCAAGTGTCTCACAGGTTCGGTGAGCCGATTCACAGCACCGGACACGGCCCAGGAATTCTGAGATGCCCACGGCCGAGGCTTCATCGCCTGGGGACGGAGGCAGAGTGCCTTTGCCAGGTCGGTGGGCTGGGAAAAAAAGGTCGGTGTGTCCCTGGTACCCTCTGGTAAACGTTTACATAGCGAACTGGAAAATCACCATGCTATTAATGGGCAAATCCACTATTAATGGCCATTTTCAAGAGCTACGTTAAATTACCAGAGGGTAGGGGTTGTTTTTTATTGTTTTTTTGTTTGCATCTTTGGTATGCATTTTTTGTATGGGGGTTTCATTTTGCATTTTGCATTTGCATTTTGTTGTATTTCTTTTCACCCGTGGATTTGATTCTATTGTGTGGCTTTGTGTTATTGCTTGCAATTTGTGTTTGGTGGATGTTCTTTGCCTCCTGGATTTGAGTTGTGTTTTGTTTTTTCCTTTTTTGGGCGTGATATGCATTGACATCTTTAAGAGCTTGGGATAACTTCGGGTTTGATCAAACCTGCGGAAACCTACAGAAGGCAACCTTGCGCAGATACACTGTCGATCCCCATCTGTCCTGCCTTTCAGCAAACAATCCATGCCCAAATCTCCTCAGGGTTGATGCACGAATCCACCACAAAGCACGCAAACTACGATACGTATAATTACCACCAATGCATACATTCCTTGGTTCTGGTGGGTTACCAAAAATTATCTGACAGTGGCCACCCGACAAAAGAAACTGCATGTTTTTCCTCCAAGTGAGGGCAATAGCATCTGTCAAAGAATGGAGGAAATAGCTAGGTCTGACATCATGGAAACAAAACAACCCAAGTTACATACATTTTATGCAGTTACATGTATAAATCACAAGGCAAATCAGCTTGCTGGATGACATCTACCCATATCTACAATATATATATATATATATATATCTCTCTCTCTCTCTTACTGTAAGCACACACACATCTATCTATCATCTATATGTGTTTGTGTGTTTATGTGAATATATAAGTAACTATAAATACATTTCATATGGCACCATCCTCTCCCCAGAAAGGGATGCAGCAGGTCTCTGAGTTGAAGCAAGCAATTTCGATCCAACCACAAGTCCATCGCTTCGCCATCGTCATCGCAGAGCGGCAGCGCCGACATGGTCAGCAGCAGGGATTGGACCTGAGCGGGTGACCTGGCGACCCATGTCTGGTGGCCGAGCAGGCACCTGAAAAATTATTATACCATACCAGTATTGGGGATCATCATCTCATGTCTATTGAGGATAAGGCATATTTCAAAGCACTCTGCACATAGCAGGAGGAAATGATGGTTTAACAAGGTTGCACCCAACCCTAAATACGACAGGTGGACCGGGGTTTCGATAGGACACTAATACGTCCATCAATTTCCCCCTTGTGGCTTTGACTCACTTATGATTATGGATTGGAGCAGCCCTGTTTAAAAGACTCGCTTTGGGGGTTCGCTATTCTTGCACCAACCCTCAAAATTAGAGAAAAAAACATCTGGTCCATCGTTTTGAGGATCTCCTGTGCTTCAAATAGAGGGTCTCATCATTGCAATCAACTTGCTTGCAATAAACCAAGTGATGTTTTCGCCACAGGGTTTCCCGGAGATTTGTCCCTTCATTGCTCGTCCCTAGTGACTGGCTGGAAGTAGACAACTGGCTGGGCGATTCTCCGTCCAAACGTGAGCTGTACTTTCTCTCATATGACAGGACGGGAACATGGTTGAAAAAGCTTGGAAAGCCGTTGAGTATATCTTGTAATGGCCAAATACTTATCATTGGAACTTTCTCATGGGTATTGGAAAGTATAAAGTCAGGGAAAGCGGTTGGAAGGCGATGACTGTCATGCTTCAGTCATCCTTCTCATGCCATCTTCCTATCATTTCTGGTCAAGTGTGCAGGCCAGGTCTTTCCAGTTTCCTTCCCAGCTTTCTCTATGTCCAATCGTTGACCTTACCCTCAGCTGGGTCAAATGATAAAAAGGCCTGTTGTGAGCGTATATCTTCCCATTCTCACTAACAACCAGTGAAAAACTCACCAGTGCACCAAATTTTCTGCAAGATTATAATCATTCAGTTGTGGGATTGACCGTGATTAACCCAACCATAAACTCATCTGAATATATTGAACCTGCAAGGGGGCGCCCGTAGCTAGAAGTTGGCTTCTAATTCTCATCAACTCATTCGATGCATCCACCATAAACCCAAAACATATTGGAGTTTGTGCTTGCCAACTTAGCTATTTCATCATTACCCAAATCCCCATGGAATTCCCATGGAAATCCCAATCAATCACGATTTTTGCGGGACTCCCAAGCCGACCACGGACCACGCCACCAGTAGCTCTGTGCTGTGCCCCGCGAGCCCCGCGATGCGCGCGGCCGCCGTGGACTCCGCCAACATCTCCACGGGACGGCGGCTGCACTGCGCCGCACCAATGTGAAGCAGGTGTGCCACCAGGGCCTGTGGGACAGTGCGTGTGTATGTGCGTGTGAATATATGTACATATGTATGTATATATGTATTTAAACTATATAAATATGTGTGTTACAACTAAATAAATAAATAAATATATATATATTTATACTGTATATTGTAATCATATATCGACATGCAAGTGATTTATAATTACAGTTATGTCACATGAAAAAATATAGATACTCAATCAAAGTAAATATGTGATTTCATGTTTTGTATTTATACAAAACGATAAGTAATATATTATTTATCTATATGTAATTATGTATGTCATATGCCTCAATTGATGAGAGCGCGCGCACACACACACACCACACCTTTTTGGATGGCAATGGTACAGTGGTTGACAACCATCCCAAAAGCTTTCCAGCAAGAGCCAGGCAGCAAGCCTCTTGCCCCGCTAGCACCGCAGTTTCCAGAGCTGAATTGGAAACCTCAGCTCATCAGCATGGTCACCTCACACCACTTGTATACCTTCTTAATGCTATCCTAGAATTAGGAAAACAGGAAATCCCTATACTTGATGTTCAAAGCCCATGGTTATCTGCACATTCTCCCTTAAAGCAAATCATTGACGATAGCAACCAACATCATGTGCCCTGCCCTAGCCAAGAAACCAACCACTGGGCATCAATGTCGGCTCTGGCCGCTAAAAGTGCTTCAACCACCTGCAGCTGGGCACGTTTAATGTGCTGAACCAGGCATGATGTGGGCACACGGCAACCCCCCAAAAAGATAGAAACGTGTTTCCAGCATGTATACATTACATACATACATACATACATACATGCATGCATGCATGCATACATACACACATACATACATACATACATACATTACCTTAACTTTACCTTACCTTACATTACATTACATTACCATACATGCATACATGCAAAAGTATACATACATATTTCTTTCTATATTTATACATACACCTAACACCTACACACACGTATATCTATATATATATATCTACATATGTATGTATGTATATATATATACATATTATGATATGATATATATGTACACACGCACAAATATATATATATATATGCGTGTGTAGGTGTGTATATATATATATATGTATGTATGTATTTTTGTATGTATGTATGTATGTATGCATGTATGCATGTATGCATGTGTGCATGCATGCATGTATGCATGTATGCATGTATGCATGTATGCATGTATGCATGTATGCATGTAGATATGTAGGTACGTAGGTATGTAGGTATGTAGGTATGTATGTAGGTATGTAGGTATGTAGGTATGTAGGTATCTAGGTATGTAGGTATGTAGGTATGTAGGTATGTAGGTATGTAGGTATGTAGGTATGTATGTATGTAGGTATGTAGGTATGTAGGTATGCATGTATGCATGTATGTATGTATGTATCTATTATTTACTTCATAGTTCCAGGTTTCGCATTTTTTAAAAGATCATTTGGAACTATACACAGCCGACTGCAGTTGAAAGGGTTTGTAGAGGGGGCCTGGTTGCTGGAAGGATCATCTGACCGAGCAAGCCCCCATCACTCGCAGAAACCATCCGATGAAAATACATGTGATTAAAAACAAATCGCATCCTGCAAACAACCCTTGCATGCGCAATGACAAACGATGATAGTGTCATATAGTGTTTGTATCTTTTTCACATGTTAGGTCTCCCACCAAAACATCGAAGCATTTGTTAATATTGCAATTTGGGGATGAGAGTCTGGCCGGACTGCCCACTGTTGAAAGAATGCACCCTCTCAAACATCACAGCGTGGATCATGGACCCACAACAAAAAACCTCTCGATCTGTGTTTCAGCCTTGCCCCACAAGGCCAAACCCTCCCTTCGGCAGACACAGACTCCGCCAGGTAAGGGTTCGGAAGACAACTTTCCTATAAAATGGATGAGTCTCAGGGTCTAAAGATTTGTTAGAGGGATGATAGTTGGGATAGTTATGGCATGTTATGGCTAGATATATCTAGGTATGCTAGATCATCCATCAAACAGCCAGCTTCTGGTTGAGGAAGATCAGTTTTCCCCAGGAGGACCTCCACATGACCACTTTGGGCAGCACAGTGGAGTGCAGTTCGGGGTCCCGCTGCTAAGTCCTTGGGATCAACGGTGGATGGTGGTAGATCCCGTGGAAGAACCCTCAGTTGGACCAGGAGACCCGGCTGTGGAAGATGATTTGTTGTTGAAGAGGAAAGCTTCATTTTCTCATCCCAAATCTTATCCCAGATCTCAAGGCCCCTTCAGCCCCTAAAAATCTGCGGTTGAAGACACGGCATGCGCTTCCAGAAGTTCTTTGACGATCTCCAGATGCCCATGACGACATGCACAGTGTAAAGCGTCCTCTTGGAGGAAGGGGATCCTGGAGCCGCAGGTCACTTCGTCGCTTCGCGAAAAGCTACGGAGGCGGAGATATGGTGAATATGTTGGATGTGTTGGGTATACATATGTTTGATATATGTTCATAGATGTCAAGAACTCAGTCTGCTTCTTCTTTCTGTAGTGATAGCAGATTGTTCCCCCCACGATGCTGCAGTTCTACATTGACAATCGCAGCATCATTGATTTTAGACGCTTGAAAACTGTGTAACATGAAAAAACATGTAAGCAGCCTTAAGCAGCATGTTTACACATACATATGCGCTCAAATATGGAGTCAGATGTGCATTATACATCATGATATGTGGGCTGTAAGAACAATAAACAATCAAATTCCTATAATTAGATAATAGTTATATAGATCATAGAAAAAGTAGGACAGCAACATCATGACCATGGGGTGTCTTCCGGCAAGGATCAAATCGTCTCGGGTGGCCAGGTACCTGGACTTGGTGTGGTCCTTCAGGCCTTCAATCTCGTACTCGCCTCAACGGCAGCGTTGGGATGGCAGAAGTTCAGGAGTTTGGAAAGGCCACAGTTGGAAGGTGAAGCATTGGTGCATGTGGCATATTAGGTGCATATAAACCATGTATTACAAATATCATATTATGATCTACCTTCATCCAAATCTGGCATGAATCTTGGGCACAAGGCCGTGACTCACAGCAAAATCCCACAGTCGGATCTTTCAAACTGCTGCGGCCAAATGGGCGATGAGTTGACCGTTTTTTTTTTTGGTAGGTCGGAACGCCCAACCCAAAACCCCAAAAACATATATACGGAAAATTCAAACATGTCCCAGGCACCTGATGAATAAATGGCCACCACCTTACCGACATCCCCGGGCACTAGGATCCAATCCCCGCTGCTGCAGTAAATTGGTGCCTTCAGCAACTGACAAAATGGCCAGCGTGATTGGAAACCGCCACAAGGGTTGGTAATTTGTTTGCGTCTGAAAATGTGTCCGTAAATTTTGGGATGTTAACTGGGCTGGATAAATGGAGAAATGGATGCATAATTTCAATGAGGACAATTATGCTAAATAACTAAGTTTGGGGTCCCCTTAAATCAAACAAACCCTCACACGTTGTCCTTTTTGGAGGGAACGAGGGAAATTTTGAACGTCACCTTTGAAATGTTGATCTGCTATCACTCACTGGTTGGGGCATGTTTTACATTGATCTTTCATCACCCCTGTGCCGGGGCACATCTGGAGAATCAATGGTCTTCTGGTCAAGTTACTTTCATCCACAAGAAACACTCCTAAAATTCAGGATGAAACATGTGGTGATTTACTTCCAATATCTCCCAATTTGACCAGTTTGGTAATGTTGATCTGGTGGTTCTTCGGGTTCGCACCAATTGGAAAGCTGTAGTTCGATGTATTTTGGCCCTCCCCCCCGCGAGAAAACAATCAAAAGAACAATCCACATCTTCAGGAGCATGGAACCAAACATGAATTGTGGAGGTATAGTGGGTCCTAGACTGTCGTCTTTGTTCGGTGAAGGGTACCCAACTTATTGTAGACGTGTAATCAGGCATGTCATGCATGAAATGTCATAGAATCATGTCAAATAGCATTCGAACTGCAGTGCATTGTCCCAGCAGTCTGGGCCAGCTATGGGCCAGCACCAGACTGAAACCATCTGAAACCCATTGCGCGAAGGATCAAAAAATACTGACACCCTTTCCTGAAGTCTGCAGCCTGGTCCACAAAGTATGGGAAATTGAGCATTGTATATCTAATATAGTTTTGCACGTTGCTTCATGAATAGGTATCCTTAAACCAAGACCCCCAAAAATGAAGTCGTCCCAAATGGCACACCTTGATGTACACCGCTTCACCGTTTTTGATGACGTAGCGATTCTCCACCAGGGTCGAGGTCAAGTGAGGCATGCAGTGGTAGCGAGACACACCACAGGTGATATCCCCAGTGTTGATCATAAGCCTTGGAAGTTAAGAGATCGCGGATGTCACTGGATTTCAAATGTCAGTGGTTCACCAACCAAAGTGAAGATGAACTCCAAACTTTTCCAAAAACAACGGCCACATGTGGTCCCATTTGCATCACTTGCAAAATTGGTCATCTGCGAAATGTGTTATCAGATGTTATCAGTGATCTGGGGCACATGGATGGTGAAAAGAGATGCCAGCAGATTCCACACCGCGAAACTGGACTTCCTCATCACGTGCGTTGTTTATCAATGTTTTTCTCCAGGGGCGAACCAAGCAACCGTTGGCTACCAGACCCATGCGTGGCTCACATGATCGACATTCCCTCCTGGACACTAATTTCGTGGGTATTCCTCCAACCGCCACCAAAAGTGGCCCCCGCAATGATAGATGCGACTTCAGGGCGGCCGCAGGGCACCAATCTACCAACCTTTTTTGGTTGGTTCAAGTCCAAGATCGGGTGGTTCAACCCACGGAAAACCACTGGTTTCCCGAGGAAACCTGCATATAATGAATTTGCAAATTATCCCTTCCCCCGTTCACATGCAACACCTCCAGTCTATGATTCCTGACATGTGGTTTCATCCCCTACATCTACCATGGTTTCTGGGGTTGTGTTTCTTTAGCATTTTTGAAGGGAAAAATGTTTTTTTTCTATACGGATTCTTATAACCATTATTCAAAAAAAAAATAAACCTTCCCAACACCTAGAAGAATTGTTATCTCATTGCTGATATGTTGATAATATATATATATATATATGTAGAGAGAGTGGAACGCCACCAGGTCCCCAAACATACGTGGGTTTAAGCGTTTTTTGATTATTTTTTTTCATCTTTTGATCACATATGAAAGATCAAAGTTCTTGGGAGAGGCACTGTTTTTGATTTTTGTAGCTCTATTGTTTTTTTGATAGGTGGTCTTAGTGCATGAATGGCAAAGTTCTTTGCCCAACAACATCTTGAAACATAGAGATTCATTGTGTCAGTTGGTACTTCATGTATATATTAACGTATAGGTACTACCTAGGTATACAGCTATTGCAAAGACAGTGTATATATACATATACATAGCACTTTGTATTTGCATTGGTGGCTTTTGATATTGGATTGCTAGGTCGCCTTTTGGTTGGCATCATAGTTCCAGTGGAACTCTTTTAGTAAATGAAAGTTCAAATTCCAATCTACTCTCCCTCCTCAAGTAGTTGCATTTTTTTGGCATGCTTCATGGTAACTTGCTGCATCAATGCACAAGCAAGGCAGCCATTCTATAGATACAGTTGTTTGGTAAGGTTGCTTAAGTGTTTCCTTTACTTGGTCTTGTGCCCTTCTGGTTACCATGATGAAGTTATACTGACATAGTTTAAGTTTTGCCCACATCCATGAATACATTTATGGTAATGAAATGTTTGCCGTTATATTTGTAGTGACACAGCAAATTACCATGGAATATGCAGGTAAAAACGCCTTTTCTGAAGTAAGGGGGAAATGGAAGTGCCCCTGGAATTTGCCAACTCTTGTGATCAATCGATATTTTAAGCAAAGATCTTTTACCGCATTGAAACCTGGAAGAATACCATTGCATATGCAGGAAAAATGTAGAAACTTGTGTCTTTAAGGGAATAGGTGACTTATATGCCACCCATTCCATAACTATATGTACTATATAAGAAAAATGTATATATAAAATATTTGCATACTAAGTGCAAATGCAGCTTGGATGTGTGGCTATGGTATCTGCAAAAAAATATTGCTTTTATCACAAAATACCCTCTAGATATCAGTGCATGTTCGAAGCTGCCATTTCTACTGTATATATACTGATACTGCACACTTGTGACAATGCGCTTGCATACTGGTTGAAACCATTCACCCACTAAAGCACAAACAACCCCTGAAACTTTTCATACAGTTTATAGATCAAAGAATTAAGAACAAGAGTGAGTATTGCTCAAAAGGATGGAGAAGGGAACCCTTTCCATATGAATGCATTCTGGGAGCTGCTACTTCCTAGTCCAATGTGTTGTGTCATAGCTGTTTTCTGGCAAGTTTTAAAACAGTCTTACCTCTTTTTAGGTGTTACTCATCCTGTCATAAAAGATTCTAAAAGCACAGCCAAGCAATTATGGTAACAGGGTACCTGGATTAGATATGCAATAGCATAGCAAATTACTGTGAAATATGCAGGGAAAAAATTTGGAGAAAGGGTAAGTTGGAGCTGCCCTTACCATGTGCCAACTCTTACGAGCAAAGTCAGTTGCAACCAAAGAGTCTTTATTGCAGTCAATCCTGGAAGAATTCCTTTACATATGCAAAGTACATGTGGAAAATGTGTGTATGTATTGCTATGCGGTACTTATGTAGCATCCATATCATAGATGCATACAGTAGTACTACTACAAGGAAAATGCAAGTCCATCAATGTATATAAGCGGGCTATATATAGGAGGGCTAGGAGAGGGGGGAAGCTCATAGAAAAAAAACAACTCCCTTTTCTTGGCCACCTCTCCCCCTAGGGGAAGCCAGATATATATATATATATATACACACATTATGTTTGTTTTTCCTCCTTCCTTTTCCCTGGGAATCTTCATGACTCTTTGGACATTCTTTGGCAACCTCTGAGGAAGTCTGACAATCTGTGTGGATCTCTAGCAATACCATCACAGGTATATGAACATAAAGGATTGAACATGATGTAGCAAAAACACTGCATTTCCAGAAACGTGGAAAAATGGGGACCTGACAGCGTTCCTTTCTGTATACATATATATATATATACAAAAATGCATATTGTTGAACAATGTTCCCAATAAACCTATTGTTCTATTTTTACACTAGTGGAGAGAAACCCCAACTTCCAAAGGCCAGCGAGTTGCGTGTCATCGAAGCGATCTTGCGAATCGGGGTCCAGCTCCACCCCTTCCTTGGGGCGATGCATTGCCCCGAAAAGCTTTGGCTTTGAAAACCCCACATCCATTCATTTGGCTTTCAGCATGTTCAATATGTTTTTTTCATGTTAAGATATAGCAACATTCATGTTCGTTGATTGTCATTCATTGTATTCATTTTTCAATACCATAAAGCGCCTGAATCACACCATTTTAGTTTCTTTCAACATCCAAGGCTCCAGGATGCCAGAGACCCATTGGCTCCCTGAGCAGTTCTGGAATTCCGCCAAGTTAAAACTCACGCGGGCACCCACCTGCCACCAGGATCTTCAACATGCGCCATGGAACATTATCATTCTTTGGAGGTATCAAACCCTCGAAGAAGGCTAGCAACATCCTTGCTTGGTGCATGTAAATATAGATATGTATAAAATGCAAGTATGCATGTCTATAAATGTATATGTATATCTATATATACATATACACATAAATATATATATATATATATATAATTGTATATATATATATATCATTATGTTAAATACATCCATGCACACAAATTTATGTATGTATATTTGTAAATGCATATATATATATATGTGTATGTGTATATGTAAATATATATATACACAAAAGTGTGCATTTATATGCAAATAAAAATGTATATATATATATATATAAACACACTTATATACATAAAATGTATATTATATACTGTATACTATATACATATTATAATGTATACTATATATTGTATATATTATGTAGATGTATATATATATATGTATATATATATATGTGTGTGTGAGAGAGAGTGTGTGCATGTAAAAATTCACCGGTGAAAATTGGAACCTGGTCGTTCTCCCTAACCGCATCTCTGAGAGAAATAACGCGTGACGGCGTGACACTTGGAGATTCCCACATCTTCTCAGAGCCGCACTGCCAGTATTTCGGCTTCACTTCTGTCGTAGAGTGATTCAATGACTTACCCCGGGCCACCCAGCCTGCACGTTGAGCACGTTGGCAGAGTCGCGAGGCAGATGCCAGTCCAACAGTGAATGATGGACAGGAAAACAGTTGCACGGGATGTTCAACTTCGCACTCATCAGAAGCAGAAGCTTCACCTAAGAAGGGCATTGCATAAATAAATGTCCCTCTATTCTGCCGGCATCAAAGAGGGCAGGCCTAACACTGCAGCAAAATCGAACATGGGCTCAATCATGTGCTGTCACTTTTCCATGATTCTACAAATTAGTTCTGCATGCCTTTGAATGCTCTACCTCTCCGTCCATCCATAGCCGCAACATTCCACACTATCCCTACCAACAGCTGCACAATCTCCACGGGTTGATCGTTTTTAGTACATGTTTTTGTTGGGCACATGCCCGGGTCCCAATTTCCAAACCCAAATTGGATATAGTCTTATATATCTCCTCTTGCATCCAATTTTTCATTAAACTGCCACGAAGATACTGGTGAAAGCACCTATTTTCAGCCATCTCCAGACCCATTGCTCATCATGATTCAATGGTGCCTCAATGGTTAAGTCCCAACTGCTCCCGCCTAAATCATCTTCAACCATCAACTTTAACAGCACATCTTCACCATGTTAACTCATCCCCAATCACAATTTGTTAAAACGTTAAAACCACCATGTTTAACAGCTAACTAATCTTCAATCACATTCTTTAATGGCAACACCATCGCCCATGAATATTTCTAATTTACTAATGATTGAATCAGCTGAAATCATAAATTTTGGAGCCATCTCTTCCAAGCCGCTACGATGACATGCCCATTCTCCGTCGCCAGGTGCAAGGGCGTCACCTCATGCGCGGTGCGCGCGTTGAGATCCGCCCGCAGCCGTAGCAAGGAGTCCACGGCGCTGAGGTTCCCCATGGCACAGGCGAAATGCAAAGCAGAGAATCCCGTGGAGGTCTTGGCATCCTGCGAAGGAAAGCCCTTGCTGCTTGGTGGGTAGTAATGATAATAGCCAGATGTTCGTGGTTTTTTCCCCAAACAGCGTGTTCACACTTGGAGTTCTTACGGTAAATTTGATACGGCTTGATCATTCAAGTGGTCACATCCATGTCCGCCATGATTCCATTACAGCGAAAAAGTTCCTCGATCTTCCCTTTTCGATCGGGGGCTCGCACGATGGTACTGTCTGCACGTTGCTACAATGTTGGCAGGCGTGTGTCGGCATGAGAGATGATTTCGTTTGTTTTCTCATGGCAGGCAGCGTACTTGGTGAAATCGCATGATGTTTTAAAAATGTTTAAAGGGCCCAGCCTCGTTTTGTGAGATTGTCGTCTTTTTTGATTTGGTACATAGTGATCATTTTGAATGGCAGGCGCAGTACTTCGGAGGCCTCGGGCTCATTTTCCGTGGCACTTGCACGCACTTGCAATACTTCAGAGACCTCAAGAAAGAGTGGCTGAAACCTAGGCAAAACATCGCTTTTCGGATTTTCAATGTTCATGTTTAGTGGCGCGCACAATCTTTGTGAAAATCTCCGGTGTGCTCAAGCAACCCTCTCGTCATTCTGAGTGTCAGATCGCTCTTGTTTTGAAATGAGATATTGTACAGAGAACTTGCATAGAGATCTCTTGCAACAAGCTTGCTCAAAGATCTCTTACAGAGATCTTGCCACGAGACCTCTTTTTGGAGAGCTTGCACAGATACTTTGCATAGACATCTCTTGTTGCGATCTTGCCAAGAGGTCACTTAGAGAGATCTTGCTAAGAGATCTGCAGTAGAGAGTTTGAACAGATCTTGCATGGAGATCTCTTGGAGATTTCTTTCGGGGTGCAGAGATCTCTTACTGAGATCTTGCCAAGAAACCTCTCGTAGAGAGCATGTGCAGAGATCTTTCCAAGAAACCTCTCGTAGAGAGCATGTGCAGAAATCTTTCCAAGAGACCTCTGGTAGAGAGCATGTGCAGAAATCTTGCCAAGAAACCTCTTGTAGAGAGCATGTGCAGAAATCTTTCCAAGAGACCTCTCGTAGAGAGCATGTGCAGAAATCTTGCCAAGAAACCCCTCGTAGAGAGCATGTGCAGAGATCTTACCAAGAGACCTCTTACGGAGAGCCTGTACAGGGATCTCCTACAGAGATCTCGAAAAAGAGACCTTGCAAAGAGATCTCTTGCAGAGATCTTGTATGGAGATCTCTTTGAGATCTCTCTCGGGGAGCTTGCGCAGAGATGTCCTACAGCGATCTTTCCAAGAGATCTCTTGTAGAGACCTTGTGGATACGTTTTTGGAGATCTCTCACGTAAATCTTGCCAAGAGACATCGTAAAGAGATCTTGCACAGAGACCTGGAATGGAGATCTCTTGCGCAAATCTTGCCAAGAGGTCTCTTGCGGAGATCGTGCTAAGAGATCGCCTATAGAGGGCTTGAACAGAGAGCTTGGACTTGGACAGAGATCTTTTTTAATAGATATCCCTGACAGGCAACTTGCGTGGAGGCTTCTGATAAGGCCAAACCTTGTACAAAGATCTTGTATAATGTTTGCATCTGATTAGTGTGAGGGCCCCCCCACCCTAAACAATTTGAGGATACTCTATAACTCGCACTTTTTTTTGCCCCCCCCCCTCAACATTTTTTTGGTCAATCAACTTAAGAAAGGATTTCAATTTACTTTCAATTGATTTCAATTTAGTTTCAATTGATTTCAATTTACTTTCAATTTACTTTCAATTGATTTCAATTTACTTTTAATTTACTTTCAATTGATTTCAATTTACTTTCAATTTACTTTTAATTTACTTTTAATTTACTTTCAATTTACTTTCAATTGATTTCAATTTACTTTTAATTTACTTTCAATTGATTTCAATTTACTTTCAATTTACTTTCAATTTACTTTCAATTTCAATTTACTTTTAATTTACTTTTAATTTACTTTCAATTGATTTCAATTTACTTTCAATTGATTTCAATTTACTTTTAATTTACTTTCAATTGATTTCAATTTACTTTCAATTGATTTCAATTTACTTTTAATTTACTTTCAATTGATTTCAATTTACTTGCAATTGATTTCAATTTACTTTTACTTTACTTTCAATTTACTTTCAATTGATTTCAATTTACTTTTAATTTACTTTTATGTTTTTTTCACTCCCAAAAGTTGGTGCTCACAATAGAGTACCACCCAAACAATTATATTATTGAGTAACTGAGCCACTCATGAGGTACCCCCTTGAAAAATTGTCTGAGTGCTGTTTTTTAATAAGGGTTTAATAAGGCATCTAATTATTTGGAAAACCTTGCATTTTAAAGCTTTAACACAACTATGGCTTTCTAAAGTGAAAGGGCCAGCTTTACCCAAAGAAAGGTGGAGAAAGGGTTTTGCTTTTTTTTTCACTCCAAAAAGTTGGTGCTCACAATAGAGTACCATCCAAACAATTATATTATTGAGTAACTGAGCCAATCATTAGGTATCCCCTTGAAAAATTGTCTGGGTGCTGTTTTTTAATAAGGGTTTAATAAGGCATCTAATTATTTGGAAAACCTTGCATTTTAAAGCTTTAACACAAATATGGCTTTCTAAAGTAAAGGCACCAGCTTTACCCAAAGAAAGGTGGAGAAAGGGTTTTGTTTTTTTTTCCACTCCCAAAAGTTGGTGCTCACAATAGAGTACCATCCAAACAATTATATTATTGAGTAACTGAGCCAATCATGAGGTATCCCCTTGAAAAATTGTCTGGGTGCTGTTTTTTAATAAGGGTTTAATAAGGCATCTAATTATTTGGAAAACCTTGCATTTTAAAGCTTTAACACAAATATAGCTTTCTAAAGTAAAGGCATCAGCTTTACCCAAAGAAAGGTGGAGAAAGGGTTTTGCTTTTTTTTCACTCCCACAAGTTGGTGCTCACAATAGAGTACCATCCAAACAATTATATGATTGAGTAACTGAACCAATTATGGTTTTTTCAGGTATCTAATTATTTGGGAAACCTTGCATTTTAAAGTTTTACACAAATATGGCTTTCTAAAGTAAAGGCATCAGCTTTACCCAAAGAAAGGTGGAGAAAGGGTTTTGTTTTTTTCACTCCCACAAGTTGGTGCTCACAATAGAGTACCATCCAAACAATTATATTATTGAGTAACTGAGCCAATAATGAGGTATCCCCTTGAAAAAATGTCTGGGTGCTGTTTTTTAATAAGGGTTTAATAAGGCATCTAATTATTTGGAAAACCTTACATTTTAAAGCTTTAACACAAATATAGCTTTCTAAAGTAAAGGCACCAGATTTACCCAAAGAAAGGTGGAGAAAGGGTTTTGTTTTTTTTCACTCCCAAAAGTTGGTGCTCACAATAGAGTACCATCCAAACAATTATATTATTGAGTAACTGAGCCAATCATGAGGTATCCCCTTGAAAAATTGTCTGGGTGCTGTTTTTTAATAAGGATTTAATAAGGCATCTAATTATCTGGAAAAAATCTGGAAAAATCTAAAATTGAAAAAATAAAATTAAAAAATAATAAAAAAAAATGAAATAATCTGGAAAAAATCTAAAATTGAAAAAATAAAAATTAAAAAATAAAATAAAAAATAATTGAAAAAATTTAAAAAAATAATAATAAAATTAAAAAAAATTGAAAAAATCTCACAATAGAGTTCCCCCCAACAATTAGCATGTGACTGAATTAGGAGCAAGAAATTTCTCACAATAGGGTACCATCTCTTTAATCATTCCCAAACATTAATTATAAAGCTCTCTTACCGGAATCTTGCCAGGAGATGTTTTATAGAAATCATGTACAGGGATCTTGCCAAGAGAACCTCTCTCAAAGATTTTGCACAGATACCTCGTGAAGAGAACAGAAATCTTGCCCGGAGATCTCTGATAGAGAGCTTGAACAGAGATCTTAATCGGAGATCTATTACAGTTATCTTGCATGGAGATCTGGCACAAATATCCTTAGAAGGCGATTTTGCGCACGATCTTCACCAGAGATCTTCACAAAGGGAGCTTGCAGAATCTACCCTGGTATCTCTTCGTCCTCTTTGTCATTTTCCAACACTGTTTGAGGTCTCTTGCCGGGATAGTGAAAGGCTTGCATATGTATCTGTAATTATCTGTATCTGTACATGTGTATGTATTATATGTGTGGGTTGTATTAAGCACTTACTCGATCCTGGGAATGTGTGTGGTTATCTATCACTAGTAGAGTTTACCAAGTCCCTGCGGATTTTGCATTGTTTGCTATAGAATATGGATGAACATGGCCAATGTAGTTGGATGATTTACCGATTTCGAGGCTGGAATAATTGTCCATTGCCATGTGAAACCACCGGAAAATATCTTTGCTGACTTATGACGCTCGTTAACTTGTGTAATATATGATTATGTCTACCAGCCATAAACCCGATCGTTAGCCTAGTTATAAACCAACTTTGCTAAGGGACCTGGGACAGCACCTTGTGTGGGGCAGTTGGCAATGACACGCAGAGAATTCAGCCACCCTGTTAGTTTTGGGGGTTCAACGCCTTCATAGATTCATCAACCAGTGGGGGAAAGGACATCTGTGGGGCAACAAGTGGGGCTTCGAGAGACTGCTATACGATGAATCAAAATAAATCAAAATGGATGGAGCATCAGGAATGAGTTCCTGCTTCTTCAGAATTTGAACCTAGGAAAAACCTGCATTTTCTGTGTTAACAAATGCGATTCTGACTGCTTCAACCACTTCTTTGTCCCTCACTTACCGGGGATGGGCGGGGTGAAAGCTTCAGTGGAGAACGCTTGGAACTCGAAATCAAACATGTTTGGTCCTGAGTACATCTGGGTGAGACTATCAATTTTTTTGCCGAGGCAACACGTTCCTGTCTTCCTGGTGTTTTGCTTCCCCAAAGTGTAGCCCAACAAGAAGACAGACAGAACAACGTATATAGTTATAGCTCACGGTCTATAGATTTCGCCGGGTCCCAAAATCTGAACGACAAAAAAAAACAAAAGCAATTCCTCATTGTGAAAAGTCAATTGGGATCTTCTTCAAGGGTTGAACATGTGCACATGCTTGCGGTATCTTGCGGCCGTTGATGTCACCTTTAAAACAAGAAATTCCGGAAACGTTTAAGCGCCATACGTCTCACTGTCACTCCTTCCACCCACCTTCCAAAAAGTGGAGCTATACCCCCAAAATCTGCCAGCTTTGGCCCAGGCACCACCAGTGCTCGGCCAAACGGGTTTTGCATCATATCGATGACTTCCCAGTGATCCATGCGCCCTGCGATGTGCAGAATCGTCTCATCGTATTGCGCCAAGGCATTCACCACCACACCCTGGGCCACTCGAAGCAGCCATTGACACACTTCTGTACACATGTCCTGGCGAGTTGTTCACTGTACACATGTTATCAAATATTAACACAAATTGATATTAGTTGATTATAACTGCTATGCAATGACCGCATATGTGATTCCCAATGCTTCCTCGGACTCCATTGGTTCACTGATGCATTGATAAAATGACCAAAAGCAGTAGCTTTTTAGGGGCAACTCAATTGTCCACCTGTATCCGGTTGTCTTCTTTGGATGGCCATGGCAAACCACCACGCTTCTCAGCCCCAATCAGCATGGATGGACTATGATGGAATGTGGCTGGTGGATTCCCATCCCAGGCACATATTTCATCGTCTTAGACAAGCTCAAACACACACACACACACTGAACTGACACACACACACAGATACTTATATACCAGTAGTACCGCACAAGGCGGTGGCGGAAGTTTCAAAAATAGGAAACCTATAGGAGAGGTTGGTTGTTGTGAATCGGGGATGGCAGAGCGAAGCGACTGATGGACTGAAAGGTGCTTGATCTCTCTCACTCTTTCTCTCGCTTTCTCTGACTATCTACCTACCTACCTACCTACCAATCTATCTATCTATGTATCTATCTGTCTATCGATCTCTCTCTCTCTCTCTTTCATCTGTCTATCTGTCTAGCTGTCTACCTGTCTATCTCTCTATCTATCTATCTATCTATCTATTTATCTACCTATCTATCTATCTATCCATGTATCCATCTATCCATCCATCTATCTATCTATTTATCCATCCATCTATCTATCTATCTATCTGTCTATCGGTCTACCTGTCTATCTGTGGTGCAGTGTCATTCAGTGTAAGGTAGTGTTGTGTAATGTAGTGAAGTGTAGTGGAATGTAGTGTAGTGTAGTGTAATGTAGTGTAGTGTAGTGTAATTTAGTGTAGTCGAGTGTAGTGGAGTGTAGTGGAGTGTAGTTGTAGAAGAAAAACATGAAAAAGTGTTGCCCATCCCTCCGACGTGTCCCCCTCACGGTGCCCCTGCAGCGTCTTTTTTTCCAGGCGGTGCGAACAGGAGTCTTCAGCTGCCGCTGTGCTGATGTGCGCCATCGTGTTGTCAGAAAAAACACACACGAGGCCGTGCTCGGCTTGAGAGTGCTGTTGCGCCATCGTGTCGGCAGACACGACTGGCACGCAGGTGTGCAACGAATTACGAATGCTGATGCGCCATCGTGTCGTCAGAAAAAACAGACACGAAGGGGAACAACGAAGTACAAAAGTGGTCCGAACCCCTAGTGTTTTGTACAGTTTGACTTCGAAATGTGCTTCCCGCCACAACGGCGTGCACTTTTTCGACATCTCAACTTCCAAAAGTGGTCCGGAGCTGAGGTGTTTTGTACATTTTGACTTCAAAATGTGCTTCGCGCCACAACGGCGTGCACTTTTTCGACATCGCAACTTCCAAAAGTGGTCCGAACCCCTAGTGTTTTGTGCATTTTGACTTGGAAATGTGCTTCGCGCCACAACGGCGCGCACTTTTTCGACATCTCAACTTCCAAAAGTGGTCCGGACCTGAGGTGTTTTGTACCTTTTGACTTGGAAATGTGCTTCGCGCCACAACGGCGTGCAATTTTTCATCGCTCCTGTGGCCAGCTGGCTCCGCACTTGCCGCTTTAGCGAGCCTACTTTTCGACCCTCCTGAGCCACAAATCATTGGAAAACACAGTGTTTCGCGACTTTCCTACCTTTTCGCGCATCTGTATCTTCTGTCCTCTTACTCTTTCTCTTCTACTCTTCTCTCTTCTAATCTTTCTCTTCTCTCTGCCTCTGCCCTACTCTGCTTTTCATCTGTCCATATTGTCGGAAGTTTGACTTCTAAACTTCCTTCGGTAAATCTATATGGCAATCCCAACGAGATAGAAAAAGTAGTTGCCCAATATGTTGACATTATTTTACAGGGTTTGTTTATTGTGTGTCCATCTTGTTGGGGTTGCTATACTTGGGTTCAAATACATTGCAACCTTTGAGCTTCAGGTTTGATTTGATTTGTGTCCCCCTCTCCTCGACTGCAATATGTAGCGCTGTGAAACCCCAAACGCTGCACTTCTGCGGGTCTGAACGGGCAGCCAACCTGGGGTTTGCCGGGCCAGAAAATGAATTTGAGTACCCTTCGGTAATCAAACCCGCACTAAACCGAAGCTTTCATGGGAAATCACTAAATGCGTGATTTTTCATTGCCACGTTGGATTAACGGGAAGGTATTGTGTGTCTTTTGGCAATGTTTGGGGAACTGCTGATCCAGAAAAAGCCACCTCTCCATGCCCAACATGCCAAGCTGCAGGTAGGCTGCCACCTCCACATGCCCGCCACTGCAGGCGGTCATGAAAGGTGTCAAATACTCTCCGTCGAAGCGATCCAATTGCGCCCTGCAGTACCATGACCCCCATCATTCATCGGGATTCAGCCAGCCCCAGCTTTTGTGAGCCTCCCAATGGTAGATGATTAAGATTCGCCCTTGTAAAGGTGGCTGTTGATATCTGTTGATGGTCAAAAAATGAAGCTCACCATCAAGTTCAAGATAGTACCAGTCCCGGCGCTTTGCCGACTGGTCAAGATATCCCTTCACAACGCCACCATCCCATGGTTTTCGGTGACCAATTGTTAGCCTATACGTACTATCTGGGTTCGTTGCATGATAAACATCACAAATCGGATAAACCCTTGCATGTGGCCCCCCATTTTTTGTCAACAGATGTCAATGGGTTGTCTGAAATTATCAGGATCACCGACGCGACCCGTTGTTGGTTGTGGCACATTTATTGTGTCGTATATGCCCATAAAATGGTCTATATATACGTAGCTGTAACATGTTGTAAACCTTGTTCTTCTAACAAGAACACAAGACAAACCTGGGTGGTGGCCTTAACGTATCCCAAAAAATCTGGTCGTCATCTCAAGCAATCATCCCTTTTGGTATGGTTGAAAAACAATAGTCATATGATCGAACCCCCAAAAAGTTCATCATCGGTTATATCCCCATGATATTTCCATGTGTTCCCCATCTTTTCCATGATCAAATCCCCATTTTCCATTATTTGAACACCCCAAGCAGCGCCGTTGGATCGACCTCACTTGGACCAAAAACTGCACCATCTCCAAATGTCCTTCGAAGGCCGCCAGCCCAAGCGGGGTTGCTCCCTGGCGCTGCCGTTTGGCTAGGTGAAATTGAATAATCCTAAGTCACTCACCTGGAATAATAGAGTCATTTTGGGATGATTCCACTTGCATCTTACATGTTACATGCACCATCATTTACAGTGACGTCGGCCAGTGAATTTGTTATAATTTGATATAATTTGCCCAAAAATATGAAATGATGGGACTTAGGTTGTGAAACAAGCCCCAAATATTGAAAATCAGGCAGGACTTTATTGTGAAATATGCTTCCTCGGTTCTATCTGCGCAACTAGAACTCTGCCCAAAAACATGAAATAACATGAAATAACTGCATTTTTTGGAGGGCGGTTTCCTTTTTCCCACTGCAGCATCATCGACAATGAGGTCGCACTGAGGGAACTGGAATTTCCGACGCTGTATAGCTGGTGGTTATTGCTAAAAAGTAAGGCTACTGCAGTGGATAAAGGACTCGATGTTGGTCAGGTGTCTCAACTTGGATGGTCCCTGGCAGAACTTTGTCGTTGGGGAACGTTGGGGATCATGATCCCTCAGGTGGCCCTAACTTGAATAAACTATACCCATACCATGCTCGTTTTTGCTCCAATTTTGCTGTGAAACAAAGCCATACCCGCCAAAAAAAGGATTCATAACATAGTCTTTTTATGTTTTTTTTAGGGTCCCAGTGTGCCCACAAATTTGGTCATTGAACTGAGTTTTAACTTTCACAGCAAAGTTTTACTTGGAACCGTATTGTTAATTGGACCCGTCACCACCAGTGTCCTATCTTCCCTGGTGAGTGGGTCTCGCAATCAGGCGCCCTGAAGGATCTTGGAAATAGTTTTTGGGTCCCTGCTGTTAAACTGACTGCATCTTTAACCACCGGTGCCCTGCCGTATCAAAAACTACATACTTTTGTCACCCCAATGGGAAAAAAGAGAAAATGTGTATGCCATTCCATCCTTAGTGGACACACAGATCGGCACCTGTGTATCCACCCTGGGAGGCTGCATTCATATGCATTCGATCCGGCATCTGTCATTTTGCATCCGTGCGTTCGACTGTCCCATGGTGTGTCTCGTTGTCACCCCTGAATTTGTTGTTTTTTGTTTGTTTTGTTTGTGTTTTTTTAATTAATGATCACAATCATTGGTGGGGACTTCACGCGTAGCTGGTTGTCTCTACCGCTGTCACACAGCACTAAAGTCAAAGGCGGAAAAAAAGTCCATTTTTTGGGGTCCATAGTTTCTACCCACACACCACCTTTTTTTCAAAATACAGAAGCCACATTCAGCAGTACCGTAGATTCATGCCACTTTCTTCTGTAGTATCATCCAGCTGGTGTCCCACGCAGCTCGACCATAAAATCATCTTCGGGACACGATTGGATAAATTTCACGAATTTGCCCATCTAAAAACCCACCAACTAGTAAGCTTGCTTGGTGGTTGCTAGCGGGCGCATGGGGCGCCTGGTTGTTTCATATTTGTTCATACTTGTTCACTGACATGTTGCTCAACCATGCACGTGAGCCGGGGCGGGCTATTAATTAACGTTCATGCTCACATGCACACGATGTGGATGCTACGTTACCAAGATACACACTATCACAGTATCTGGATGCTACCTTTACCACAGATCCTGTCTAGTACTTACACACTACCTTGATGCTACTTTAGCTACCCTCTGGTAAACTAACATAACTATGGAAAATCACAATTTTTAATGGGAAAATCCACTATATCGCGGACGATTTTGGCCATTTTCAATAGCTATCTTAAATTACCGGAGGGTAAAGATCTTCTCTTGCACTTGCACAGTCTACAGCTGCTACGTTGCTCTGTAGCCATGTAGCCATGCTCGCCCTGCACGCCTGGCACGCCTGGTGGTTTCACCCTGTGGAAACAGCCCGTCCATTGCAATTGTTTTTCCCCTTGACTAAGGACAAACACTTTAAGAACACCGCGAAACAATGCTTGATCCCCAAAAAAAACAAAGGGCGTGTTTCATTTGAAATCGCCAGTTAAAGAAAATGTAAAAAACAAACGCATTCAGCTTGTTTCGATGAAACATGATGAATCCACCGGGGGAAAATCCATTAAAGATCCACCAGTTTAACCATGGGATGCGATCCCCTGCTCCACCTCGTCAGTGTCAGAGGCTTCGACGAAGGCTCGCGCTTCCACCAGAAATTGCGCCACTTCCATGTGACCCTCTTGGGCAGCGATGTGGAGAGGCTGCACGTCGTTCTCCTCTGGCTCTAGCAGAAGCCGGTAAACATGGGTTTTTCAGGTTTTCACCATGATTAAATGGAATGATATGGAATGTTTGTGGGGGTACCATGGGATATAATTTCAATCAACTATATCTGAAAACCTGTCCCGGTTTTTCTGGTTCGATACATTCCTTTCATAGTTTTGAGTGTATAATTAACAGAAGTTCAGCAGGAAGTAGCTGCAAAATGCGGTTCCTTTTAAAGATCAAGTTCATCGACCTGATGTCTGCAACTTGAACGGCGCTGAATCCCTGTGATAATTAGCAGATTGAAACGCTCAAGGCATGTCAATCTGTCGGGTGCGAAGATGTTTCTATCTGGACATCCTATAGGTTTCTCAATCCCAAGTCAAATCTTGTATTCCTAGTGCTGTCGCTATTATTCGTATGAATTCCCAATATTACCATCACTACAACTACTGTACACTATATATATATATATATATTCTTCATCGATCATTTCGCACACTCGCAACAACCCAGATCCATCCTTTATTGAGCCGAGCTTCTGCGATGTTCACAGGGCAGTTCCACTCCACGAGTATGCGCATGATTTGCAGGTTGCCCTGCGACCTCAGAGCCAGCTATGGAAATCCATTGATTTCCCGACATCTTTGGACATGATCCAATGGTTGATTTTCCACATCTTCGTTTTACCATTGGGAGCGGGATGTGTTGGCGCTATGTCTGCTATGTCCTTTTTGAGGGGATCCTGGCAGTCCAGACATGGCGATCTCATGGAGAAAAAAGTTCGGAAGCACCCCGGACGGCAGCTTGAAAGCAACCGCTGTTTTTTTTGCAATGTGCTTTGCAACAAACCAAGGGTCTTGGCAGTACAGTAGATCTAGATCATCTTTTCATAATATACGAAATCTTGTATGCAGTAATATGCAGTATATATGGATTATCAATCAGCGCGGGGTTGCACATCATGAGTGCTACATGTAGTACTTGGTTCCGATGGCGTTACGTAAATTAACCAACAGAATTACCGAAATCCACAGCATGCCTTGCAGCTTGGGTCGGGAATTCAAAAACATCCCATGGCTTGTGGCAGCACCATAGCTCTGTATTTATGCATGTTGAGAGGTTTCCTTCTGTGCGTGTCGATACTTCGGAAAGCTGACATGTAGTGCGGTTGATGTTTTGGAGAGGAACACACTATGACTCCAGCACACCATGCAAGACTGCTAAATGGGCGATTTAAAATTTAAAGCTTTTTTGTCCTTCTTCTGTGGGTTTAGTCATGGCTGGGTGAAAGCCAAACTTGGGATAACTTGGGCACCCCAAGACTGAAATTAACGGCGACTAAGAATAATTTATTTCCCCATCTCATAATATGTAGATAAAGATTAGCCATTACCCAGAAACCAAGTTTACTGGGCCTTTGAAGCAGGAGGCTCAATTCCCCAAAAAAGAACCGATGGAGCTGTTGAATTTCTTCCAAGCAACACTGACTCCATAAGCTGATCGATCATCCAATCCTCACACTGACCCGGCCTCTGCAAACCTCCGCGCCCGTGAACTCTGCAAAACGGCCATGGTGAGTCATGGTCATGTGTAGAATCAATGATGGAACCCTGTAGGAGCATGTCTGTTCCTGGATTCCTTTAACTATGCAGTGCCCGCACAACAGATGAAACATGTCATAACAAACCATATCAATAAAAGTCAATCCCCAGAGCTACACAGGCAAATTTCTAGGAACTGCAACGTCATAATATCGGCGATTCGAATCGCCGAGCAGGAACCGGCCACCAGGATCCCTCAACAGCGGGCACCGTGGCACCCGGCCAGGAAGCAGAATCTCACAGAGGCGAGGTTACAGAGACAAGGGTCCATCAGTTTGACTCAGTTTACCCTCTGGTTATGTCAAAATAGCTATTGAAAATGGCCATAGAAATAGTGGATTTTCCCATGAAAAATGGTGATTTTCCATAGCTATGTTTACCAGAGGGTAACTCAGTTTAGCCCAGTTTAACCCAGTTTAACCAGCTTATTATCAGCTCATTATCAGTTTCAAGAAACGCTGGGGCCCAACTGGCTGGAATGACATGGCTTGAACCCCTGCCCAGGAGCTGAAGAGGAATCGCACCACAGGTTCGGATCGATTCCTGGACACCAGAGGGTGTAAAACCTACACGAGGGATATGATTTGATACGATGATTAGAATAAGTGAAACAACTATCCTATTCTAATCATATATGAGATATAACTATCCTATTCTATTATATTAGAATTCATATTCGTATATAAGTGAAACAACTCATGAAAAAACATTGAATTTGCCTCGCAGTGCGTTGTTTTTTGCACGACGCATGACACATGACACGGCCTCACGTTGGGTTGCAAAGAGTTTTGCCACATGACATTGCATAAATATGAATAAATTAAATGGCCATATATATATAATAATTAATAATGTGCATTTCATACAATTGTGCGCATCGCAATGTCGCTTGCCTCATTTGCCAGGAGACATTCGTCGTCTACTACATATAAATATAGAATATCATTTGGTCATACACATATCCAACAAATCAGAGTATACAACCCGGGATAGTATGGCGCACTATTGCAAGTCTGAAAAAATCAACCCAAGTGCCGTGGCAAGTTGCGGTTCAACATGGATAACCCGTGACATCGCAACATGCCAAAAATACTGGTAGGTCAGCCTCCCAGAATACAGAATTAGGCTCCTATAGCATGTAGCTGAACTGCTACCTCCATCTATCTGGGTATATTATATTATTTCACTAACCTGAATGAAGGCCTTCTTCTTCTGATTTCCCTTATTAATTCATGATTCCAGGGTTCGGTCGCAGTGAGGTCGTGATGAAATTTACCCAGATCTATTGACTGCTTCCCCAGCCCAGCTGCCGACAGAGGGGACAGCACAAAGCTTTGGATGCTGCCAGGCAGTCGTTGCAAAAGACATGGGCACCAGGACAGGGGCACACGACAGCATCCTGGGGCCTTGGGAGGATAGCGACTGGATATAACTTGCCAGACGTCGTTGGACATGGATGGAAAATGATGGAAGTAGATAGCAACCACCGGAAATCGACAGATATTGGCTATTGGGATAAGTTTTATGGGTCACGGTCAATATTTGGCATATAGTTCCAAGTCATCAATTAATTTTTGAAGATTGTATTATCGTTTTTCAGGTTTTGGTATATAAGCGAGTGTATTATCGTTTTCCAAGCCCCAACTCAATTTCAAAAAAAAAAGATGTCTCGAATACTACTCTCCATTAACCTAAATTTTGGTTGTAGCTCATCTGTAATAATAACTTATACAATACAACCAGCCGGTCTTCGTTGGACATTGATGGAAATAGGGTATGTAGCCAGCAGAAACCAATAGACATTGGGTAGATAGGCAGCATTGATGGAAATGGGCGAACAAAATCGACAACAACTTATTCACAACCAACAATAACAGGCACGGGGGGTGAACGAACAAACATGGTCGCATATCATCGAAATAGGTTAGGAACAGCGTTGTGTCCCAGTTGCAAATGGAACCTCAAGTCACGGAGTTGTTGACCGTTTTTTTCAACGCGATTACTTAGCCAATTAAGTCACAATCGGAATCAACATGAGTCAATTTTTGCGCCTCGTTTGTGAGTCTTAGAGGCTTCCATGTGAGCAATGTATAGTCATGTCATGGTTTCCAGTGTTGGAAGGGGCTCGAGTCGGTCTTTGGTGCCCTTAGTGGCCACATGATTGGGGTTGCAAAGCCTTGATCCAAGGTTTCATCCTTGGCTGAACGAAAAAAACACGTCGCACTGAATTTCTCATCCAGATCCATCACTTGCCAAGCCACGCTTCTTCCAAACAAATTGGGCAAATGTCATTGGACGGCTGCCGTCTCAAACCATTCTCCATAGCTCCATGGTGGTAAACCCTGCCATTGGTTGAAACGGGTGGAGCGCACGTGAACGTCACCCCACCGTCTTTTCTTTAATGGGGCTATGGCAGCTGCCAAGTTTCAGACACAGGCCTCGTATGGCCTCGTTGTAGTTGCTAGAATTGATCGGGGCGGCTGCTGTGATTTTACTCGTGATTTGAGATGATGGCATGACATGGCATGACATGGCCAAACCTAGCGCGTCTTTCTCGAACTTTTACGGTTCACTTTGCCATTTTGCACTTTCTGAATGCTGTGCTCTGTGTTTTTTGAGGTCGCGATGTTGGTGAATGGCTGCCAGGCCGGGTGCTTCAGAGACCCCCCATCCACTTGGGTTCAAGATGGATAGACAAAAACCATCCAACCATCCCACTACGTTGCTCCGATTGGCTCCTTAAAGGATTTTAAAGGTGCAATCCTTGAAGAGACTTCAAGATATTTCGAGGGAACAACTTGCACCACTGAAATCACATTCAAGTGGAAACAATGATTCCAAACACGTCGGCCTGATGGGTGTGGCATTGCCAAATCTGATGTCACATGCGTTTATTCTCTGTTGCAAACTGTTTTCCGCCAGAGAGGACGATAAAATCGATAGAGGTGATACATGGTGATACGCAAACTCAACAACTCAGAACCCACCATAGCCTCAGTGCGGTAAGTCGCAACCCAGCTGACACAGCTATATGGTCTGTGGATGTCTGTGGGAATCTATATTTTCGGTTTACTTTGGCCATTGAAGTATTCTTGGTGTTTCGGACACATTCACATGTTTGAGAACCTACATTAAATACGGGCCCAACAGCCGGAATATCAAAACACATCATGCATCTTGAATGGATCAACGATTCCTAAGGCTGCAGCACCCCAAACCCTCCGGAAAAAAATGTGACTTCCCAGCACCTTCAATGATTAATTGCAGCAGTAAACAAGTTGCCATGTTTCCCACATCACAAGGGTACATACAACATATTTCTCTTGGGGGGTGCGGGTTGGGTTCTATCACTGACCACATCGCAGCGGTGTCCTGGATCCTGTCGGTTTGCCTCGGGTTCCCTGACCCATGGCTTGTCTGGAATGCTCGTAAGTGATCCAAAAAACCAGCTGCCAAGGCCTCAGGTTTTGGCCATCTTCTTGGTGCCCTAGTTTCCCCTATGGTGAACGTAGGACAGCACAGTTTGTATGGCTTGAAATAGGCTAGCCCAAAGATCCCCCAAAGTTGGTAAACCATCATTTTCCCGAATCTATTCGATGGCGATGATGGCGATCCCCGTTTTCAGACAAATCTGTAAAAGTCTGATGGTTGACCATCCGCAAGCCTGAGTCCTCAACCCAAGGCGCGCCCAGTTGGGGAAGAACCCCTTCCTGGGTGCCGTTGAGGGCCAGGGCGCGTGGAATTGAAGCATGTTCCAGTGGTGTAGCTCTATTGAGGTTTCACCAAATATAAACTACGTGTCACCTATTATTGACCTATTTGTTTTGTATCTGAAACAAAATTACACACATAGATAGAAAGAAAGAAAGATAGATAGATAGATAGATAGATAAATAGATAGATAGATAGATACATAGATAGATAGATAGATAGATACATAGATAGATAGATAGGTAGATGCAAATATTTAGAGAAAGATAAAAAGGACAACAAATAGATCCATCGATCCATCGACCGATAGATAGAGAGATAGTTAGATAGATAGATAGATAGTTCGATAGATAGATAGATAGATAGTTAAAATTAATAAGATATATAGACAAAATAAGATGAACATAGAAAAGATTGGGCTAGATGGATTATATTAGATAGATCAGATTAGTTGGTTAGTTTGTTAGTTCGTTAAAACATAGATAGACAAGAAAAAACCAAAAAAAAATCAAGAAAGACAGAAAAAGGAACAGGCGATACAAAGAGAAAATGAACAAAAGAAAAATAAACAGAAAAAAAGAAAGAACGATAGATAGATAGATAGATAGATAAAATTAGAAAGATATATAGACAAGAAAAGATTAAATTAGAAAAGATTGGGTTAGATGGGATGATATTAGATAGATCCGATTAGTAAGTTAGTTTGTCAGTTAGTTAAAAAAATAGATAGACAAGAAAAAACAAAAAAATAAATCAAAAAAGACAGATATAATGAAAGGGCGATACAACGAAAGATTGAACAAAAGAAAAACAAACAAACAAACAAACAAACAAACAAACAATAGATAGATAGATAGATAGATCGATAGATAGATAGATAGAAAAACAATAGATAGATAGATGGGTAGAAAGATAGATAGATAGATAGATAGATAGAAAAAACAATAGATAGATAGATGGGTAGAAAGATGGATAGATAGATAGATAGATAGAAAGATAGATAGATAGATAGGTAGGTAGATAGTTCGATAGATAGACAGATCGATAGATAGAAAGATACATTGATTGATTCTTTGATAGTTGGATAGAAAGACAGAAAGACCGACATATAGATAAGATAAGACAAGAAAAAATAAGATTAAATTCGACGAGATTGATAGATAGACATGAGCCTATTTAATTACATATTCAAATTACCAGTTGGCTGGATGCAACTGCAGACAGCGAAGCTGGGAAGAGAATGGTAGGGAATGTAAAACTTCAGTTTGCTATGCATCAAAGATTAACGAAGTTGACGCATTCACACATTCTAAGATTTAGCTGAGTTTCAAGATGTTTCAAGGCCATGTCGAATTCGTGTCCACTGGTGCATAGCTTGAAACTCAGCCGAGGCACCACAAAGCCCAAAGACCTTCCTCGCTGACCTCACTGCGGCACACAAGTCGTGCAACTCGGGGCACTGTGCAAAAGCAGTGGCCGCTGCCAAAAAACCATGCTGACTGTTCTGACTGGGCATCATTGAGCTCACTCTGGGCTTTCCGCGCATTGCGTGCACAGAAAAGTTGAACCAACATACAGTATCATATGGATAAAAGTCACCACGTGAAGGAAAACATTTGGTTTCCGTTTACAAAACAGTGGACGCAATATTGAGATGCCGGCCGTTTTCTGCACCTTGAATTGACGACAAGAATGACAGCCGCCCTAGTGAATTGCAAACCAATAATATTCCAAATCTTGCTATGGAATATTTATTTTGCAGGAAGACCGGAAGACCCCTCAAATTTACCATCGGAGGGTGGCAACAAAAAGAAACGGTAGGTTTACTGGTGGCTTTACCAGGAGTTGATAAAACAAACAAAGCATGGCAAACATGGTTGCGGCGCCTGTGGAGGTGCGGCGCTTTCAGCGCTTTTCAAAGTGATGAATCGACAGCCTTTTTTCATCATCATGCAAGACGCCACAGTCCAACTTTGTTCTTGTGTGTTTTTCTCAAAGCTTGGCCAACTGATCCCATAAGGAGTAGCCAGGAGCCAAAACTTCATGCAACCATTGCCATATTACGCAGTGTCTCATCAGCGCAGCTGTTGTCCGTGTGCATGAAATTTCCTGGAAGAAAGACCACGTGGGATGTGTGACTTCATATCAGGTTCGGTCAATGAAGAAGATGTTACAACGTATCAAGAGTTGCTTGGAATTTACTTGAAGAAGATGATACACCGTATCAAGAGCGCCTTGGAAGTTGCTTGAAGAAGACGTAGCGATGTATCAAGAGCGTCTTGGGAGTTACTTGAAGAAGATGTTACGATGTATCAAGAGCGTCTTGGAAGTTACTTGAAGAAGATGTTACGATGTATCAAGCGCGTCTTGGAAGTTGCTTGAAGAAGATGTTACGATGTATCAAGAGCGTCTTGGAAGTTACTTGAAGAAGATGTTGCAACGTAGCAATGTTGCAACGTCTTTGAAACGCAGACGAAAGAACGTTATTACACCCCCCCAAAACACCCCATTCGCAAAAGTGACAACAGTCCCGACCCTCGAGGGGCGCCGCCACCGCAAACATCTCATCTCATGATCCCACAAAATCATATGACATCATATGAAATCATATGAAATCAGGAGTTGATGGTTACAATCGGTTCAATATGGTAGGCGCCCTAGCATTGATTGCAGCTGAGGCGCGCAGGAAAGCACACCTGAGGCCTCGCGCATATGGTGAAGAATTGGATGTCTTTATAGTAACCTCCAAATAGGTAGGAAAGTAATTCGTCATTGGTTCAACGCGATTCTCCTTGGTTTTTTGTTTCCTTTTTGGGTGGTTACAATAAGCCACGTCAAATCACTTCAAGTGTTAAACTTGCCTCACTGACCTAGATCCGGCCTCATGACCGCCCATGAAAGCAGCGTCAAATTGATTTGTCCAAATCCGACTGGAGACTCAAACATGTTCGGTCATCCATCCTCTTAGGTCATTGCTTGAACACCAAACGCTGCGCGGCTTTATATTATTACTTTAAATCCTGAGCAGCTAAATCATTGCAACATATCTTTCAATATATCCATCTTGGTTGAAATCAAAACTATTTGGTCAAATCATGGTCAACCTCAAACTTGAGGTTTCTGAAATCCTTCAGTTTTCCATGGGTTTATCATGGTGTTTACCAACTCAAACGCCGAGTTCATCACCTCCCAACCCCCACCTGCCCCGCCTGCCCCGCCATGACACGGCTCTTTACCACATCCGCTGGGGTGGCACAGACCGAGGCCACCAGGCCGCTGCAGCAGGCACTCAAAGTGTGGACTGCCACGCCTGGCGATGGGAATGGTGACTGGGGAATGAGAATGGAATGGGCGGAATTGGTTTTATTATTATTATTACCAGTAGTACCGCAGAAGGCGGTGGCGGAAGTTTCAAAAATAGGAAACCTATAGGAGAGGTTGGTTGTTGTGAATCAGGGATGGCAAAGCGAATCCACTGATGGACCGAAAGGTGCTTGATCTCTCTCACTCTTTCTCTCTCTTTCTCTGCCTATCTACCTACCTACCTACTTACCTACCTACCTACCTACCTATCTATCTTCTATCTATCTATCTATCTATTTATCTACCTATCTATCTATCTATCCATGTATCCATCTATCCATCCATCTATCTATTTATCCATCCATCTATCTATCTATCTATCTATCTATCTATCGATCTCTCTATCTCTCTCTTTTTCATCTAATTACCTATCTAGTTACCTATCTATCTATCTATCTATCTTTCTATCTATCTATCTCTCTCTATCTCTCTCTATCTATCTATCTATCTACCTACCTACCTATCTATCTATCTACCTACCTACCTATCTATCTATCTATCTACCTACCTATCTATTTATCTATCTATCTATCTATCTCTCTCTCTCTCTTTCTGTCTATCTATCTATCTATCTATCTCTCTCTCTGTCTATCTATCTATCTATCTCTCTATCTATCTATCTATCTGTCTGTCTATCTATCTATCTATCTGTCTCTCTATCTATCTATCTCTCCATCTATCGATCTATTGTTGTTGTAGTTGTAGTTGTAGTTGTTGTGGTTGGTTGTTGTGGTTGTTGTGGTTGTTGTTGTTGTTGTTGTCGAGGTTAGGGTAGTTAAGTTAGTGAAGTTAGTTAAGTTAGTCAAGTTAGTTAAGTTAATCAGTGTCTACTTTTTCGACATCAGCACGTCAAAAAAGGCTCAAAACCCTCAGTTTTTTTACACTTTTGACTTCGAAATGTGCTTCGCGCCACAACGGCGTGCACTTTTTCGACACTTTTTCCACATCGGAACCTCCAAAAGTGGTCCGAGACCGTCAGTTTTTTACACTTTTGACTTGGAAATGTGCTTCGCGCCACAACGGCGTGCACTTTTTCGACATCTCAACTTCCAAAAGTGGTCCGAACGTGGTGTGTTTTGTACATTTTGACTTGGAAATGTGCTTCGCGCCACAACGGCGTACACTTTTTCGACAGCTCAACTTCCAAAAGTCGTCCGACACTGAAGTGTTTTGTACATTTTGACTTGGAAATGTGCTTCGCGCCACAACGGCGTGCACTTTTTCGATATCTCAACTTCCAAAAGTGGTCCGAACGTGGTGTGTTTTGTACATTTTGACTTGGAAATGTGCTTCGCGCCACAACGGCGTGCACTTTTTCGACATCGCAACTTCCAAAAGTCGTCCGACGCTGAGGTGTTTTGTACATTTTGACTTGGAAATGTGCTTCGCGCCACAACGGCGTGCACTTTTTCGACATCTGAACTTCAAAAAGTGGTCCGAGACCGTCAGTTTTTAACACTTTTGACTTGGAAATGTGCTTCGCGCCACAACGGCGTGCACTTTTTCAACATCTCAACTGCCAAAAGCGGTCCGAAGCTGAGGTGTTTTGCACATTTTGACTTGGAAATGTGCTTCGCGCCACAAGGCGTGCAATTTTTCATCTCTCATCTGGCCAGCTGGCTCCGCACCCGCCGCTTTAGCGAGCCTACTTTTCGACCCTCCGGAGCCACGAATCATTGGAAAAACACAGTGTTTCGCGACTTTCTTACCTTTTCGCGCATCTGCATCTTCTTTCTTCTGACTCTTTCTCTTCTGATCTTCTCTCTTCTAATCTTTCTCTTCTCTCTGCCTCTTCCCTGCTCTGCTTTTCATCTGTCCATATTGTCGGAAGTTTGACTTCTAAACTTCCTTCGATTATTTTATTTTTGTTATTATTCTTATTATTATTTCATATGCGGTTTCGAAGTGTAGTGGCTCAAGAAGATTTAGAATGGATTACATTACGTGCTTCGTTCAATTTTTTTATGTTAGTCTTAATGGATATTGCTGGGAATGCCCAGTTGGGTATGGGTCAAAGCCCTGGCAGCCTGGTGGGCAATCAAAATAGTTGGCTTATGGATGTTCATTCCCCCAAAAGAGGTTCTGACCCGTTACCTTCATCTTAAACACACACCACAGCAAAAACAAACAAACACCAACTCAAAGAAAAAATCTTCGCTGTGCACCTGCAACAAATGACAGTGACCCACAGTGACCCAAACATTTCTAGTGTAACTCTGCAACTTCAGCTGGGGAAACCATGGTCCCCAGCTGTGGTTCTTTCCCCCGAACCCTTCAGGTGGCTAGGGCCCGGCCATCGCGCAAACCACTGTGTTCCAAAATGCTTGTCTTTGCTTGGTCATAGGTGGATAACCTTGAGAACGCAGCAACAGACCGAGTCCGAGTGTGGATAAAGGGAAAAAATTGTCGGAATAAACACGGGACAACCAACAAGTTGAAGATTCAGCATCAGCGAAATACAGGAGACAACAAAGGAAACATTGAGGAAAGGATGGGAAATGAACGTGCTTGGAACCTGGAGGGTGGGGCGTCAGTTGACATGTATCCCCGGTGCTTATTGTAGCACCCTTTGGCATGGAACAGCAAGGAACACGGAAAAACATGTTGCCTACATACAGTATATATACAATTCGGGATTCGGGATTTTTTAGTCCATGTCGTAAACAATTCTTCCGAATCGCTCCAAAAAATCAAGTATCAAAGGATGAAACACTGGACCCCTTTGTTTCTTCCCTTCCCTGTAGCACGTATATCTGGTTGGTGGTATACCCACCCCTCTGAAAAATATGAGTTCGTCAGTTGGGATGATGACATTCCCAATATATGGAAAATCGTAAAATTCATGTTCCAAACCATCAACCAGATATGGATTGTGGAAAGTCCAGCACTTCTCTTACAGTGCACACTGTGACTCCACGCTCTCCAAGGTTCACCAAAGCAGCACGCTGCACGTTGATCACCACCCCACGATAGAGTCCCTGGGGTTCCAGTGGGTTGGGTTTACAAGTACCGTTCTAGGGTCGACTAGTTTTAATTTCCTACAACTCTATAACCAACCATTGAAAACATTGAAAATGAAATTATGGGACTTTGACAATGAAATTCACAATGGCACGAGATCTTTTTATCATTATCGGGTTCTAAAAAACAATCTGACAAAAACGCATATTATAAAGGTGATGTTTCCACCCATAATTCCAAGTTTCAAACTGGTGAATTTGTAGATTCAGCAACCGTTTTCGGTGTTGAAATTGCTAGGTTGTCCTAGGTTTCAGGCCTTAAGGCCTTCTTCGCGGATGATCTGTTGAACCATGGCCGCCGTGCCGCGGCTGCCGCCCTGAACCAACATGACCTGTCGCAGGGGAAATGGGAGGCCTGCCATGAACCTCTGGGGAGCTAAAAATAGGCAAATCATCTACTAACGGGCCATTCCCCATATGGCTAATCTGTGAAATTGCCAGTGGGTATCATCGGATTCAAGTGGACCATGTGGCCATGTGTAGTAAATTGTACTAGTGTGGTACACCTAAAACATCCTAAAACTCTATATATCATCACCAATGACACGCGACGGGAGGGATTAAACATGATTAAACTAAACCATCCCCAAATAGTTTATGCTTGGGTTTACCAAGTTAAATGTTTGCAAAACGTTTGCTTATCACAGGTTTTTATCATTTTTGGTAAGCCATTGGGGGTGGTCTATGTTTTTAGTATGTTTTAAAATCACATCATGCAGGTCATGACGAAAAGAGGGGTCGTAATGTGACAGCTGGGAAAGACCAGGGCCCGTGACCCTCCAAATGTCTCCAAATTTCATAGGACTAGAAAACGACTGGAGCAACATCTTTGGATTAGTAACCAAAACCACCATCTCTCATGGTAAAAATCATCGTTTCCGATTAACATGTTCCCAACGAAACCTGTTTCGCCTAGGTCAACTTGCCAGGTCTGATACAATCGACGCCCGCAGCCCCGTGCCTTAACCCTGTCTGCTGGTGAAGCAATGGCCTCGCGCGTTGAAAGCTGGCGCACTGGCACCAGAATCTGAAGAGATACCCACTGGTTATACATTAGTTCCATGGTTTGTTGCAAAATCCACCATTTAATCCGAAATTGTCCCATCTATAGAACCATCAATTTATATAGGGGGTTTCCATTGCCACGTTTGTTTTACCGAAAGGTTGTTTTTTGGAAAACGTTGGTGGTACACAACATCCAAGACCCTGTGGAGTATTGGGTGGTTGAACTCTCCAGTACAACAATCGCAAAACATCGTGAGCAAATCATCAAACATTGTTCAGACATATGTTTGGGAAATCAACCATGACATCACGTTCCACCAAAAAAACATAGTTGACAATACACCTTGCCAAAACATAATTGTGGGTTCTCTCTCGAATTCTATGTGGGAGAAGGCCCGGGGCCCCATTGGCAATTCAACGTTACTGATTAGTGGCGATAGTTTCTAATTTGGTCCTCATGATCCCTATCATGTGCCAATCTTATCACCATTATATTTCATTAATTCCGTGTGGTTTGGAAATGTTTGATTTTTTTTTGTTTGCCATGAACATGATGTTCAGCATTTTTTGCCATAAACACAATGTTTGAAATTGGGATACAATAATGATCCAACAGTTTAAACCCATAAATGTTGAAATCCCACCATGGTTTATTGCGTGCATGAGTTATATATGCATATAAGAGAATAATCGGGTTGAAATACAATTAAAATTGTGTGACCCCTCATTTTATTAGTGCAGGCCTCGGGCCCTACCATGGTTTGCCACGAAATGAAAACCGCATGTTCAAGATAAACGCCACAAAATGAAAAACCAGGGTCCAGTTGCATCAACAAAGTTGTTACAACATGACATGCCCCGCGGCAAAAATCAACCCAAAAAAACAACATGTTACCACCTGTGTTTGTGTCGATCATTGTTCATCAATGTAAGTACATTTCATCTGTATTGCCAATGAAAAAACTACAAGATGTTTTTCGATTCAAAAAATTCACGAAGTGCTACAAAATGTTTGGTTTTTCATTTTTACCTAAAAAACAATTGCTACACAATTATTTCGCATCCTACCAATTATGTAACCTCAAAAACAAAGTCGAACATATACTTTGCTACAATTAAGCCCCCTGACTGCACACAGGAATCCAAATTTAATCAAAAAATGTTTACGTTGAAACCCTAAGGCCTATCATTCTGGGGTGGAGGTGCTACCCAGATACAGAATATGAAATGCAACCATTAGCCAATTTAAATTACTTGATATTAGGGAACCCCAAAATTGAAGGATTATAATCATCATTTTCCATCATGTTGACATCATGTTCCCATCATGGCACCTGTTTTTTCATTAGCATTTTCAGCCACTGTATAGGGTTGGCGCCACTGCCTACCACACCTGCGCCAAGCCGCCGCCCAAAAGCCCTGCCAGCGCGCTGCTGGCGGAGGTGGAGGTATAGCCTCGGCCATGTCGTAGCTCCAACAGGTTCTCTTGAGATACACATTGGATCGACTGTATAATTTTCCCAAACATAGGGAATAGCAGAACCGGGAATAACCTCAGGTCCCAAGAAAGGGAATTTAGATGCCCCTTACCCAGTTCGTGTACATTCACCAGTGGATAGTCATGAAATGTGCTTGAACATGATATGGGTTCTGCATTTGTTGGTTGGTTGAACTGATTGTTTTTGATTCTTTGGGTGTGATTTAATCGAGATAGAAGGGATGTAACCTAAGCTCAACATCATCGGAATATGAAGGGTAACTGTGACATACTCTTGAATATTGCTTGGCCAATGGCAAGCCTTTTTCTAAAACACTATTTTCAATCCTTGGGTGCCCAACGGGCAGCTTCCAGACTCCAAACAAGTAAGGTTAAAGCTAGTGTCGTGTAAACCCACAACCTACAACTCCTTGACCTATTCCATCAATCACACGTCCCAAGATGTCCCAAGCCTCTGTGAGCATGGGCCGATTCAAGACCAAGATTCAAAGCTGATTTCTGTCCGCAAACGTCGTTCTCACCAACATGAAGTCACGCTACAACTGCGTTGGGTTCTTGCCTTACAGTTTTGGAACTCTAGGCTTCCCAGCATCCAGCAAGCGATCTTTGCTCGTGGTTTGCAGCCAAGACATGGTCCCAGCAGAGTTTCGCAAAGTTTTTCTTTCCTTCCAGCAAGCTTTTGCAAAGGCTGCCACTTTTAAAATGGTTCACTGCTTGGCGAAGCACAGCAGCGACACGGTCAAGTACGAGATGGAGATGATGAGGCGTGGAAGCAAAAGGACGGTTGAAGATGCAAACCTAGCAGGACCCAGATCGTTCAGATGACATGCCTTGCAAGAAAAAAACGATAAAATGTTTGGAGGAAGCCTTCCATCACCGTTGGCTACCAACCCAGGAGTATGAAATTCCCGACCCCTATGCGGAACAGCTCGAGGGGTTGCCCAAGCAGAACCAAGTCATCCATGTTCATGCATGTGTGTTGGCGCACCGAGCTGCCAACATTAAATCAAATGTCCTTCTTGTCACAGATGCTGGTTCTGCAAGTTGGAAGGCGGCCAGGCCCCAGGACGATACGTTACCAGAGATGAAGCAAAATTCGGAAATTTTGTGCCTGTCTCGTGCGGGTGATCTTCGATTGCTGATGCCCACCGAGATCCTTGCCTGTAAAGGATTTTCCGGAATATCATTGTCGCTCTTGTCGCCAAGTTGCCTCAAAGGCGTCCTGGCTTCTTGCACCCCAGCACCTGTAGGTTGCGCAGTGCTGCTTCTGGCTGCAGCTTGCTTGAAATGATTTGTGAATGTTTGCGCGCAGGCTCTGGAAACTCTTCGTTTTCAATGAGCACCCATGGAGTCCACCATCATGAGCAGGCACTGTGGACCATTGATTTCTTGGTCGAGCGCATTTTCCGTCGCACCACTTTCCCAGTGCCAAGGGATTTGGTGATGTTGTAACACATAAGTTTTTGCTCCACAGCGCCTGCTCACGAAGGTGGGCACTGAGCAAGTAGTCAGGCAACGCACTCATTGTTCATTGCCTGCCTCGCCTTGCAACTCATTTGTTTCCATTCGACTTGATTTTACTAGTTTTGCATTGGCATTTTTGCTTAGGCTGACGCTATAAGTACTTGGTTTTTTTGCGAGCAACAGCTGCGTGCCTTGCATCACCGCAAAGCCGTCATGAATAGGGCCAAAAACAAGTACAAGTGCAAGTGCGAATGGCTGGTGACCTATGACTCCATTGACGTGCACGTGCTTGCTGATAGGGGTTCTTGTCAAAGCGTTGTTTTCAAGAGGCATGTGTTGCGACCGGTGGCGGATCGTCAGCCAGAGCGGCCGCCCCCAAAGTTGGTTTTTACTTGCGCCTGCCGTCGTTTTTTCTGGTGGAATATTTATTCCAAGTTTTATTTTTTTTGGGCGATGGCAATGTTTGAAAGCCACATAGCTAGCGGGTGGAGGCCACCCCGAGCGGGGTACCGCAGAGGTACCGGACAGGTCTCGAGAGGTCATCTCCTGAGCCCCCTTTTGATTCTTACTATATTTACCTCCATAGCCCATAGCCTCTGGTTAATTAAAACATGTTAAAACCGTCCTTCAAATCTCCATACTTATTTTACTCTCTGAATGCCTTGGAAAGATGCGGCAATACATTGCACCCCCGGCACATTTATTTTACTAACGAATTCTGATTTCATAAGCCCACCAGAAGAAAGGAATATTGTGGAACATGTTTTCCTACCAACATGGTTTTGCAAGAAAAGCACGCTTGAACCGTCCAACCATGGCTGCTCAAGAGGCTTGTGTGGCAAGTGCGGTATGGAGTTTTCTTGCTGAGGAAAGTTGATCAGAGAATCAAAGGCATGTTTGCACGGCTATCCTTATGTTTTTTCCCCGGGGTGCAAGTCGCACAGTGCGCTGAGCGGCCTTGAGATGAACATTTCAATCCTAAGTTGACAGTTGCCACGATGAAGAGCCCTTGGTGCCACTTGGCGCACACATCTGTTTGCCCAGCAAAGCAATTTCAAAATGCAACATGAACAAAAAATCAAAATATATAAAATATAGTCTGGCCCTGGCCTATCTTGATTGTATATGGGTCCTGGAAAGTTGGCTAGCATGTGCTAACAAACGGTTGTTTTACCTCGATGACACATTATGAGAACATGTATGAGAAGCATTGGAATCATCATCCAAAGCGGGGATTGCAATGTTAAACAATAACCTTGGGCCACCAACAAAAAAATATGTTTTTGATGGGATGTCGGTCACTCATCACCACAATATTGGTAGTTGAATCGCTGCCCCAAAAACATCATGTTCAAACATGAAATACGTCACTCATACGTATTGTAAACCATGGGAAATTTACCTTCCTGACTGAGTAACATGTTATCTAGTTTTACCTACCAAACCTTGGTTTACGAGTGTGTACCGCCAGTGGCATTGCAAATTCAAACGGTTTCAATGAAACTGTCCGCCTCCATCCAATCAGGTGCCCGGCTTGTCAGCCTGTGTCGCAATTCCTGTGTAGGCCATTCATTGCACAAAACTCATACATGTAACAGTCAATAGATTACGGATTCCTGTGGGTCACTCACTTGGTGATAAATAGTGGGTGTGGTACAGCAGCATCTAAACATGTCAAATTAAAATTAAACCGCGAAACAAACCAACACACACACACACACCAGCCTCGTAAAATGAAATCCTCAATGATGAGTAAATCAGATGGCGAACGATGGCCGGCCTCATCTGCAACAACTTGGAATCCAACCGCCGACATCCAACAACAAATTTTGAGGCCAACGCTGGATCCCAGCATAGACGCCACCTTTCCCACCAACACAAACCCACCGTGGAACATCCATGATTTCATATGTTTTTCACATGCTTGCAGCGGGATCCGTTTGTGATCTTGACAGCGCTGGAAACAAGCCGTGGTATCTTGAGGGCTGAACCTATACCTTCGCTGCGTATGGTGGAAACCTGGCGATGACGTGGAGGCTGTTGGCGATTTTGCCACATTATTGTGTGTTTCTAGCCGTTTGCTTGGCAAGAATTGCACTCAGATGTGCAATGGTCAGTTCACCAACTTTCAAAAAAATGATTTGCAACAAGTCAGCTGCACCAACGCGCCAACGAAACTTTGCCTGCCGTGTCGTCTTACCGGAATGCCGACAAACAGGGGAAAAAACATTTTCTTTTAACCAAACAATTGGTTTAGGTGGCTGCAGCGCAGGGTTTGCAAGCACCGTGTGCCTTGCCTGTCCGTAATCCTAGGCAATTTATCGCCAAACAAAAGCCCTATTCCATTCCAACACGTTCCCTCCAAGGTGTCAAAACTGTTCATGACATCACCCCAGGCCCCACCTCCCCGAGTGCAGCTGCATGCGGGTCTTTCCAAAATCGATGGGAAACGTCGCCGCTTCGGCTGTCGCAGCTGACGCAGCAACCAAGGCCATGCGCACGCTGTGCGGGCAGTCTTGGCGATCGCCCGCCTTAGCCTTTGCCATCTCAAGTGCGGCAAGTGCCCGCCATGGGACAATAGTTTTGCGCCAACAGGGTGACTTTCCAGCAGGTCTTTACTTCAGTTGTGAAAAATTGAAAAAATGCGGTGCCAAAATTTGCAAAGCTGTGTCGAAACACGCCGGTCTCAGTATTTTAATTTTGCTAGCGCTTCCACAACCCAAAAAAAAATCAAGCGTGCAAAACACGATTTTTTGCTGCAAAGTTCCCGTGTCCGGAGCATTTTTCCGCAATTGTATGCAACTTTGACGTGACAGATGATGCTGATATTGAAGCACCGTTGGTAATGATACAGCATCAGCAGCAGTGGAAAAAATAAGTATCTTCAATGTGGTTACGGCTGCCGGAAAAATAAAGTATCACCCGCCGTTTCGGAATTTCGTAACCAGTGGGACATCGGATGTTTGTTTGGCAAATCAAAGGTCGCAATTCCGCAATGGAAACCGCTGTTTTTGCATCCCAAGGAACCCGGCAGGGTCCATAGGCTTCACTTCTTGCAAAACGGACATCGGAATTACAATCTTCTTATCGCACATGATCTACGGATCTATTTTTGTTTTCTTGGTGTGTCCGACTGTGGCCGACTAGACCCCTGCCATTAGTAAACAATTTAATTGGTCCCAGTCGCAAGACGTAGCATACGGACTGATTCGGGATACCGGCCCGGACACGGGAGCTACCATGTGTCAAAGCTATAAAACAAGAGCAGCCCGAAAAAAATTGATGGTTCTTAACGTTTTCACAAAACTAAATTAAAAAAAAACATCAATTTTGCTCAATTTGTTTTGCTCAAAGCTAGTGTCAACCCATTGTAGAGCCGAAACGTACGGACCATGAGGCTTGATTGTGTATTGAAATGCGGTTTTCCTCATTTGTAAATGGGATCTTATGGAGCCGCCTTTGGACTTTGACCTTGACATTGCGCCCGTTCGAAGCCGCAACTACAGACCGTGAAGTCATGGGCCAACCACATCTAGTAGATGTGTAATTGATTCAAACTTCCTCATCCCATCTCTTCGGAGGGTGTCCTCTGTTCGAATTAGTTATTGTGGAAAATTGTTGCCAGCTATGAAACGGGCACCACTTGAGTACGTGTTTTGGCCAAAAAAAAGTTCCAGCGACTGTTTTGGCAAATGAACACAAGTTTAATATTGATTTACAAATCAAGTTTTGACGCCCGGCGAATGTAAAGCTGATCGCACACCCTCATTCATACGAATCATCATATCTCTCCAACGTTTATCCTGCACACGAACCCAACCAACTAAAGACAGAAACCTGCGACGCTGTATTGCATCGAGTTGATTTTAATCAGATGCGGTTAACAGCACCGTGATCAAACCGAAGAATATGATGGTAGAGGTCACAATTATTGCATCAAACAAACGCAAACGCAAGAACACATAAAAGTTAAAATCAATGCGATTTGGCAGTTTGATTGTTGGGTAAAATAGGCCGGCAAGAAGCAACAGGAAACGGCAAACACAAAGTTGATTTTTTCTCGAACAAAAATTGCACACCACGGTGAAAATAGATGGCGAAAAAATAATGGGGATGGTAGATGGCGCAGCCTGGCTGCCGTGTTATTTACAGCTCGGCGTGTGTACTTTTTTGTGCCTCCCAAGGAGAATTGCGCCACCTACAGTGCACAATTAGTGTGTGTGTGTGTGATTTTGCGTTAAATAGATCTAATGAATTGTTGGTCTCCACATTTTTTTTAAAATGTCTAGGCTGAAGATGGCAGCTCCACCCGCAGCAGCCCTGGTGCAAAATTTGGTGAAAATCCAAAGAGAAAAATAATCGTTATTTCCAAAAAATGGCGATGCTATTCGGGTTCGCGCCATCTGCCAAAAATAACGATTTTACAGGGAAAACTTACCGAAATCGGGCAATCCACCCTAGATCATATGCACTCACGCGCGCGCGCACACACACACACACTAACATGAACCGTCATTGTGGATGGCACAAATCACTTTGGGAGACATAAAATGCAAAGAGCGAACTGTAAATAACACAGTTCACCAGGCAAAACTCACGGAAATAGGGCAATTCACTCTGGACCATATGCGCGCACACAAAAACAAACACACACACAAACTGTGCACTGTAGATGGCGCAATTCACATTGGGAAACATAAAATACACACAACGAGCTGAAAAACAATAAAGTGCAACCGGGAAAACTCATCGAAATTTGGCACGTCACCCTAGATCACATGTGCTCACACACTAGGCAAAATTGGATCTTTTAAGAGATCCATCAGGAACTGAGTCCTGTAACGTGCAAATTAGACGGGAACGCAGTAACCTACGAAAAATTATTTGAAAAATGGAAGTTCTCCAAAATGACTATCGACAAACATGTCGTCCAATAAGGCCCAAATGAAGTCGAAGAAACTCTCAGATTGCGACAACCGTGTATCTAAAACCAAATCCGTGTTTGTTGGGGTTCTTGGCTTAGCCCCTTGCCATTGCTGAACATGTTTGCAGGTACACATCCATGCCAGTGGATGCTTCCCTCTCTGATGCAAAGCTTCGTTGGACAGAGTAGCATCAAAGAGTTTTGTCCCCCTGCATGTTAGTCACTAACTCCAAAAACAACGCAGGAGGGGAACAGACGGACCTCCAGAACCAACCTACACGGCGAAACGGACCTAACCAGCACAGGGCGCACACCCAAACCCCACAACACATTACAGAGGGGCACGGGGGAAGAATTAGGGACCGATGGGGATTAGTTGGTGACAGAAAGGAAACAACGAAATTAGTAGACAGGACCCAGTTCAAACAGAAGAGGTGCCGGGACGGTTGTCAAGTCGTGCCGCAATGGCATAAACAGCTGTTCAAGTTCCAACGAATTAGATGCACAACATGTTCAACCTCACCAGAAACAAAAAAAAACACACCTGCAGGAAAAGGAAATGCCTGTTGCCTGTTGTCGCACATGTCATGTTGAACTTCGAACACTCGAGCTGCAGTGGCAAAAATTGAGTTTCTGGCTGTTCAAATTCGCATCAGGCGTTAAAAGATGATCTTTCCAATGGATCCCAAGGGACGGCAGGACCAGCGGGACATCGCAAAAAGGCTGATGAATGGAAAGGCCGTCTGTTGCACTTTACTTAGATCGATGAATTATCAAGTTAAAATGTGTAAATTTGAAGGTCAAGTCTGTCCTCAGTCACCCTAAAAAGGGTTGCCTCAAGTGGCCCCATGGCACCATGTCGGAGTCACCATGGAAATCACACTAGACAAAATTGGATCTTTTAAAAGATCCATCAGGAACTGAGTCCTGCAACGTGCAAAGTAGACGGGAAACACAGTAACCTACGAAAAACATATTTGAAAAATAGGTCTATCGGGACCAAACATGTCGCCCAATAAGGTCCAAATGAAGTCGAAGAAACTCTCAGATTGCGACAACCGTGTATCTAAAACCAAATCCATGTTTGCTGGGGTTCTTGGATCCCCGACCCCAACTGGTTCAGGAGTAGGGGGGTGGATCCTACATTTCTGATAATGTATGAACATAAGGGGGGGTTAACCCCCTCACTTTTTGCCAGAAATGTATGGGAACTAGGGGGGTACGGACCTCACATTCGACCCTACCGCAGCCTCACATTCGACCCTACCCGAACAAAAATACGCAACCCTTCCAAGAAAAAACAACATTTCCCGGTTCAAATATTAAACCTATCCTACTTTCCTGCCTCAAACCAGACATCCGTGAACCAGCCCCCCTTGAACAATCACATTCATTGGTATCAAATCAACCAGCCCCCCTTGAACAATTACATTCATTGGTATCAAATCAACCAGCACCCCTTGCACAATGACATTCATTGCTATCAAATCAACCAGCCCCCCTTGAACAATTGCATTCATTGGTATCAAATCAAGCAGCACCCCTTGCACAATTATATTCATTGCTATCAAATCAACCAGCCACCCTTGAACAATTACATTCATTGGTATGAAATCAACCAGCCCCCCTTGAGCAATTACATTCATTGGTATGAAATCAACCAGCCCCCCTTGGTCATTGGAAATCAACCAGCCCCCCTTGAACAATCACATTCATTGGTATCAAATCAACCAGCCCCCCTTGAACAATTACATTCATTGCTATCAAATCAACCAGCCCCCCTTGAACAATTACATTCATTGCTATCAAATCAACCAGCCCCCTTGAACAATTACATTCATTGGTATCAAATCAACCAGCCCCCCTTGAACAATTACATTCATTGCTATCAAATCAACCAGCCCCCCTTGAACAATTATATTCATTGTATCAAATCAACCAGCCCCCTTGAACAATTACATTCATTGGTATGAAATCAACCAGCCCCCCTTGAACAATTATTTTCATTGGTATGAAATCAAACAGCCCCCCTTGCACAATTATATTCATTGGTATCAAATCAACCAGCCCTCCTTGAACAATTACATTCATTGGTATGAAATCAACCAGCCCCCCTTGAACAATTACATTCATTGGTATGAAATCAACCAGCCCCCCTTGAACAATTACATTCATTGGTATGAAATCAACCAGCACCCCTTGCACAATTATTTCGTTGCTATCATCATCACCATCATCATCATCACCATCATCACCGTCACCATGATCATCATCATCACCATCATCATCACCATCATCATCATCACCATCACCATCATCACCATCATCATGATCGTCCATCGTCATCATCATCACCATCATCATCATCATGATCATCATCATCTCCGGGACCCTCTTTTCGCAGCTAAAAACGTTACTTTCTCACATTCGACCCTACCCAAAAATGGGGGTAGGGTCATATGCTAAACCATTGGGGTAGGGTCAAATGCGAGGCGCGTACCCTCGGGGGGGGTAACCCCTCAAAATGAGGCATGTATGAGTGCCAGATGCTGGAAATGTATTATTGGTAGG